AAACAAGCATTGTAATGTGGATATAATGTTTTGAAGTTAGTCCCTAGCTTTTTTGGTTGAAAAATTCTCGGACGAACATGTCTATATCGATTTGTCTCGTCATGCTGCTTATAAGATAGAGTTTGTCACTCCTTCGTCTGTAAAGAATTTTTTTCTACCACTTTACAAAAATTGTTAGTTTTATATTTATTTTTTTACAAAGCACACCTACATACAAGTAGTTGACTGCATTAGATCTTGAAATAAAGTAATTGCAAAAGTTGAACTATATGTTTATTTCGCATATTCTGCTCTATTCATTTTGAATAAAGTATAACGATTTAAACGCATGTTCGCAATAATGACTGGCACGGCTTTTGAAATATTTTCGAGTATACAAGTATAAATTAAACAAAGAAATTAAACAAAAATATATATATATACTTAGGGTTATAAAATGAGTTCACATTTGTAAGCATTTATTTCTTTATCCTGAGTTATTCTGGTCTGTTCTAACAATTCTTTAAAACTCTGTACAACTAAAATAAAAAAAAAGATTCCTGCAAAAGCTAAGAATTTGTTTAATAAAAATGCCGAACACAACTAATTTTCATACTTGGGCATTCTCATCCAATCCTTTCGGCCCACTGTGCCTGATTTGTCTACACAGCAGCAAGAGGCACAGTGGCAACCGCATAAACGTATCGGCGATGTCGGCAAAGATCAAAGGCATAGAGACCCTCTCAAAAGCCAAAGCAGCCAGCCTGCAAAACGGTTAAATCTTTTGAAATGTGCGCACTTTTTGACACCCAATTTGTTTAGAAGTGTGCATGGGCCACCGCTGGCCCCATCGGAGCACCAGCTAAGCACTACGGGGTGGGGGAGAGGGAGCGGTACGAGGAGGGCAAGTGGCAGGCAGCAATCTGCAGCAGTTCATAAAAACGCACGCGTACTTCATTGGGGTAGAGCCATCATAGGCTGGGGTATAGCATCGGAACTTTTTCTGCGAATTTCATTAATAAAAATGTCGAAAGTGTGGAGCAGAGGGTGGTCTGGGGAGGGAGAGGGGGACCCGAGTGCCCCGAGTGCCCCACAAACAGCATTACCTTGAATTTTCACACAGGTAGAGGTGCCTAATCAAACAAATTTCCATTTGGCGTGCTTTTTGTTTCGCTTTCATGCTATTGTTTTTAATAAAAACTCAAAAGATTTACAACGCCCAAGTATTTCCACTTAAATTTCTGTAATAAGTGATCGTTTCATTCATAAAATTCGGGCGGGCGTAAAAGACCCCGACAACCAAACAGTTCTGTGTTTAAAACTGAATGGCAGCCGCCGCCAAACAACAAAATGCTTAATTAAGATTTTTCTCAATAAAACATCGAAGAGGGTAAATAATAAGTTTATTGATTTGGGAAATGCCATAACCGGATGTTTACGTCGCACCACACCGATATACTATACGTACAATCGTATCGCTAGGGGTCGACAAATCCCTTCCCATCACTCCAACACGCTTAGCAACGTGTGAAATGGATCCGAACCATGAATGGCAGTGCCAGTATAATGGATTATTTGACAAGATCCACAAACAAGTGCCAATTGCGATTAGAAAGAAAGTTTCCATCTAAATGGAATTTATTTTGACTGACATTTAAGAATTTCTTATTATTGTACAATATACTATATGTATATCTGTTTTAAAGATAAGTATTTTGTTTGAATTCATTTGTTTTAAAAAAAATATTTATTTAAAAAACATTTCGAATTTATAAATACTACGTGGAATAAAATCAGATTTGAAAATATTAAAGAAATCGATAGACAATCCTAGTCTAAAGATTTAATATAGGTTGGTTTGATTTGTAAAAAAAACCTTTTATTCTAAAATTATGCATATTAAATATGTTTTATTTTTTAAAAAACTAATGTTGGAATAAAATTCGCTTTTTCTTTCAAAACTATGAGATTCTTTGGATGTGAATATTTAAAGACACTTTTAGGAATTAAACGTTAATTTGTTACTCTTTTTAAATTAATAAAACAAAATTTATAATTTATTTTTAAAGCTATGCTGCGTGGAATAAAGGAAATGGAGCCGATTGGAAAATAAATTGAGCTTGATGCTTGTTTAAAATAACAAAACATTTATCAATGTTCTTTAAATTAGTTTGTTTTGGTCTCAGACCCTCAATCAACGTTTAGCTACATAATGGAAAAATAACTATTTTATATAATTTAACTTAAACTTATTGTTTCAGTTTTTTTTCTAAATCTTCTATCTAGAATATTTACAACCTAATGTGCTTAAGGTTGGTGTTGTACTGCAATTGTAAGTCATGGCTATATTAAGTTAAGTATTAAGTTAAATATTTAGTTTGTTCTTTAAATACTAAGGTTTTAAGATCCCTTATTTTTAAGGAAGTAAATTACTTAAGTTATAACAGCAAAATTGACTTGAATTGAAGTGTTTCTGTAGTATAAGTAGAACTATTTCATACTTTGTCTAAATTTGTTGTTGTATGTTTCTATAATAATAGAAATAAATTGTTGGATTGAAAAATATAGTAAATCAAATGTGTACAAACCAATCTGCCTATAAACTAACTTATGAGTAAAAACATGAGATAAATTTTTGGATCAATCGATATGGAATGGATGTGGAAGCCACTTCAATCCTCTATATAGCTTCCTAAAATAGTTTCAGAGGCACATATACGAGTATCTATCGGTTCAAGTTCCCGCAAGAATTTAACGAAGCTGGACTTTGCAAAAGCAAATCCTCGTTGGCCAGTTGCTGCCAAGTTGGTAAGTCAATCCGCGCTTAGCTAGCTAGCACTGAGGGAATTTCCATTTGCCAAATATATTTGAATGCTGTAAAGTCAAAACATGCGGTTTTTGTCTGCGCATTAGGCTGGGAAAAGACGCGTCAGGGGCAGGATTTATTTAGACAAAATGACTTTGCAAATGAGATTCGGATGGTAGCCAATGTGTCAATATTATCATTGGCAAGCCTATGCAAACAGTTAGTGGTAACAATGAGGAACCCACACATGCACATTCGCACACACAAACACACACACACACACACACTCATTATATGCGAGAGAGGTGGAGGGACTACCTGCTGCGAGCAAACATCGAGGTGTGCATAGTTGTCTTAATTTCTAACACCTTCGCACTTGAAGCGACGACAAATAATCAGTTTCTGCCGAAAAAAAAAAAATGATGTGTATACTAAGTGTATATAGCAATGTGACGTGACCTCTGACCAAACCAATGGCTTTTCGCGATGACCGATGACTTGCGTCCGGATCATTATGAGTTATGAATGGAAGGGAATCGATCGCAAAGAGCCTGCAACGTGCCTCACCAGCAACTGGCGCGTTAAGTGCCATGTAATGATAATCGATGTGATTAGGCCGTGCTGGAAACGCTGGAAAGCCTTACAAGCAATCAATAACACTATGCCACAAGTTTTTTGTGCGCCGAGGCTTACTAAAATGTTTCCCAAGACATTTATGTTTTCTGGGCATCCAAATTCATTGTGTATCCAGATTTAGACAAAATTTCTGTTAAAAAAAAAAAAAATAAAAATAATAATAATAATAATACATTCCTCTTAACTGATTTGTTTTCTGTAATCACTGGCACCATTGATTCAACTCATTAAGCATAATAATAATTTGATTAAATTTCACAAATTTATTTCATTTGTATTTAAATATTTACCAGTTCCTTTAAATAACCAAAGAACCAAACCAGCGATATAGACTTTTATGAATATGCTAATACCATATTTTATATTTTCAGTAATTATGGAAAAAGCTACTTATACTGCTACAGTACAGTATAAACTTTTCAAATATTTTAATAAGGAATGCATACTTACAAAAAATCAGTTAATAAAAGGCAATCAAATGTAACAAAGTGAATAAGGATTCACTAATCTTATAAGCAGCTCTAAAACATGTATCAAATGATGAGACAACTATTATTAGTATAGCATTTACTGTTATAATAATAATAAAATAAAATTGTTTTGTATATATTGTTGTCAATTCTGTTGCAGAGTGTAATTCTATTTTCAAAACCAGTGACGTATTTGGACAGCCACTGACAGCAAGCGGTGAGCAAATGCGTGTGTTGTTCTTGTCGTAGTTGTTGTTGTTATTGTTGTTGTCTGTGGCACCAATACCAGAAATAGCTGCATGACTCAACAAAAAATTTGGTTTGGTGAGTTAAAGCCAGGCCTCGCACTGGATCGATGGATGGATGGCAGAGGAAATGAGCTGCAGTTAAATACATGCGAGAAAACCACTCGATCCCAACAAGTGGATAAGAAGCCACCACAAATGATGCCCAAACGAACTATCAATGTCAGTGAATTGGCAAAAAATTTAAACTCAATTTGTATGCAGGCCGTAGTCCAGGCCACAACGAGGAGGAGGAAACCCTTTACTTGACACACCTCAACGACGGCCACAGAGATCGGCTCTCAAGTGGCATTCACCGTCTGCCGTTGCATTAATGTGTGATGAACACCCAGTCAGTCGTCGTGCAGCTCCAACTCTAGTCTCAGCTCCAGCTTAAGCCCCTGAAGTATGCGTATCAGCGGGCACAACAAATCTTAATGATCGTTAAAGATATACATAAGTCAATCGAACGCGAGGCGTTGATGGCGTTGATGACGCGACGGACCAACCGATCGACCACCCGCCCAATGACCGTGCATATTTTAAAGCTGGAGTCGAGAGTGTTCCGTCGAGCCCATTCATTGATTCATTCATGCAGTCCAAATGAAGTGCTCGAAATGTTTTCATCAAGTTTGGAAGAGAAATTAACAAAAAAAAAAAAACCAAAAAGGATTTTACTTTGCATTTGTACAAGTTTATCTTTGCTTTTTTATTTCTTCTTCATTGTTCTCTCATAATTTTATTGTACTTGCATTTTTTCTATGCCTTCGTCTCAGACTAAATACAATTCAAGCGCAAGCAAGTGAGTTTAAAAACATATAAGAATTGAGTTTCGTAGTTTTCTTCGATTATCGAATAATTCACAAACGCGCTTAACAACTTTTCGCCCCTCGGTTACATAATGTACAAAGTGCTTTAATTAATTTGCTTATAAATACAAAATATAAGTATGTGTTTAAATAATTAAAAAATATACTGTGTATAGATATAGAATATAACATATATATGAGTGTATGTATGTACTAGTGTATTTATATGTAACCGCCACATAAATTGAAGGGTAAATACTTTTCGATACATGCAACAAACGGAGAAAGCCATTTTTATCATTGTTCACACAAAGTTAAGTTTTAGTTTTCTTGTTTTTGTTTTGCTCGGGTTAGCCAATTTGGAAGTTTGAATGTATGTAAGTATGTATGTAGTTTGTTTTTAAAGCCACAAATGCGTCTAATTTTAACGAGAACTGCTTACTTTGGCGTCCTTGTGGTCTGCACTTCTACACCTGTCTTTTCACATTTTTCCTCTATTTTGGTTTAAATTTGCAATTTTAATATTAATGATAAACATATTGCCATATCAACTGTTGGCCTGCCTAGTTAAATTTCAACACCAGTAGTAATATTATTACCAACAGCACAATTCCCGCAATGCCCAATACAATCAGCTTCTTCTTGCGCACTTTGTTCTGCAAAAGAGAAACACAGAAAGATTTGTAAATATTATACTTTTTTATGCTACAACATTTTTACGCACCCTGTATGAACTGGCCTTGCGCAGATTCTCCGTGCCCTGTGACACGAATACGCTCGTTTGCTCCACCTGCGATTCAATCGAGTCTACAGTAAGGCCTTGTTCGTAAACCATAGCCCCCAGTTTCTTGTAAATCTCATTTACACCCACTATGTTGCTCTCCAACTCGCGTATGGCTCGCTCCTGCTCCTCGAGCGCTTGTAGATCGCTTTGCTCCTGCAATTGAGTCTGCAGTTGCTGCTGCTGCTGTTGATTTGATTTGCGATTGAAAAAATTGTCCTCAAAGAAGGAACCATTATCATTGTTGCTGTTTGCATTGGCGCTGTTGCGCGTCGAGCCTGGCGGATGTGAAATATTATAGCTGTTGGCACGCGCCTGGCGTAGCGCATTTTTTTCAATGTCCGCTGTCTTGCGTTGGACGGCCTACAGTTTAAAAAGAAAATCAGTAGTTGGGTTTAATTAGAAATAATCGGTAGCATGAGTCATTTGTTTATCAGCATTCATTTGTTTAGCAAATAAAACATTCGTAGGCCCACATACTTATCTACATACCTGAAAAGCAGTTAATGCCGCTGTGAACTCATCGACCAGGCGATCTCGTTGAATTTTCAAATGACGCTCCTTGCACTTGTCCACTTCCTTCAGCTGATTGTTGGTATCGTTGACCAATTGATTGGTATAGGTCATAAGTTGGTGTCTGTATGGGGCGGGCATATTGACAAGTTAGCCTTGCGTCACATTTTGAATATATAGGCAAAGCAAACACTTACAGTTGTTTCTTCAAATCGGGAGAGTCCTGTGGCGTGTTAAGTTGATTGACCATGCGTTGCATAGTAGACACTGCGTACCATTAGAACCATGAAGAAGGGGATACAATGATTACTCATAAAGCTCATAACACGCCCAACAAATACTCACCATTTTTCTGCACCTTCTCTATGCTTGTTGCTATTATCTGTGCCAAACGTTGAAAGTCTATCTCACTAAGACCTCCAACGCCAACACCACCACCCCCGCCCCCACCACTACCACTCAGACCGTTCTCCATATGCTGCAAATCCATGCTTTCGTAGGCAGACACTTTGCTGGGGTGAAGATTTCAGAACTCGCGCAGATATTGTACTGCCACTGTGTTATGGAATGTTTTATTTGCTTTTAAATGTATTCCTTGTCGCTGGGGTTTTTGCACTTATATCATATATGCGTTTTAGCAAATTACATTGATGTATGTGTTTGTGTGTTGTTTGCTGCTCGTTGGGGGGCTGCCTTTGTTTAATTTTATTAGAGCCACCCACCCCTTTTGCCCTTGTAAAGTACTCTCTGTTTCTTTTGCGATTTTCGCTCAAAAAGTGATATGGCAAATATTTGTCATGTCTTACATACACCTCTGTAGCGTTAGATTTCAATTAAAAGCTAACAAAAAACACGAAACACCTGAAATTTTGGAATTTTTGTGTACCAATTCACCAGCGTGCTGCCAACTTTTACCAACGATTTTTCATATGATGACTGGACCAGGGAGTGTTGTTAAACGATTTATATCCAGTATTTTGTGGGATATTTTTTAGCTCCGTATTCTCGCGGTATATTGTAAAACACTGCAAAGTTTGATGTAATTGAAGTTTGAACTGCATTATTCATACGAAATATAGTATTTGTTCAAATAACTTTTTTACATTCAAATTTATAAGCAGTTGCTTCTGAAATAAATTATTAATACAAAATCTAATCAATTATATTTCTACATACTCTCTGTATTATACATGATGTGCTCAATTCAAAATCAAATAACTCATATCTAAACGGACTTTTTGTGTTGTCATATAATAACGGAATAAAATTGCTTAACTACTTTATTTTAATACAATGTACGAGTACACGAACCAAAAATAAATTTTGATTTTCCTACATCAATTAATAATTGTCAATTAGCAATAAGTATTATCTCTTTTATTTGTTATTATTGCAATTTGCATACTTGATTAATTATTTTGATTGATAATTTAATTTAAAAATTTGATTTATATACATCAATAAATTAAAATGATAATTGTAAAATAAATTTTAAAAATAATTTTGTTTCCCTTGTAAGCAAAATAAATTGTACATAAACAAATATGATACAACATAACTAAAAATGTTTTTTTATGATGTTTAAAGATAAACAAGTTATAAACAAATGCAATCAATTTTGTACTTTATTTAAATAAATCACCAAACTGAAACTGGTTTCATTCAAGTATGCTCAAAATATTTTTTTCATAAACAAAAAATCGTTATAACCAGGTTTCGTAATAATAAAAATCTCATTCCATTCACTAAACTAATACTGAAAGTTCAAAAACCCCATAAAAGGGGATCATCAACTGCTAACAGCAGGGATGACAAAGAGTAGAAAAGAAATTATGTAAATTTCTCATTCTTACGTAGGCGACACTGCGCTCAGGTTGCATCCAACTTGATTAGATCAACCAACCTTTGCACATAGGACTAACGTCAAACCGGTCGGAGGGTTAGAAAATCGAAGACATCACAAAACCCAACCGCGCAACCGTTTCGAATAAATATAGATTCTAAATGGCTTAAATATGAATTTGTGTTGGCCAAGACAAAAAGGTAGCTGCATTTGTATTGGTGATGAGAATGGTCTTAAATATAATGCAGCATAAAATGTGCTGCAATATGACTAGGTTTGTTTTTCTGACTTTTAATTAATTGCTTTGTTGTGTTAAAATATTTCGGCTTTTTAAAGGGTCCGCTCCCACCTCGGATCATATAAATAGGTGTGTAGCTCCCAAAACTGCGCTTAGTCGGCTCGCATACGCGCTGCCCGAAAAACCAATTTAATTTCCAACGCATTTCTCTTGAAAGTTGCTCATCAGCGCCACAACAGGTTCATCAAAATTCTACATACAGTTAAAGGCTAATAATGCGTGTGTTCTGGTTAACATTCCTCGTCCAAATCGCTCTGTGCTATTGTCAGTACAGATATGGGCCAGGTGCGTGACAATTTACCAACAATGTATATAATTCGACTGACGAAAAAACAAAAACCAAAACAGACGCTCACCAAAAGTGAGAGTTTAAAACGAACGATCGGCGACGTAAAAAAGAATGAAAATAGAAAACATATGCAAAATACATATATTTGCTAATTAAATGTGAAATAAAATTACAATTCTATTTTTTTATATTGACTCTAAAAATGGAATAAAAATAAAGCCTGCACTTTCACTTGACATAATATTGGTAATTAATTCTTCACAAAATACCTCATCTCCTCACAGATCGTCTTTGGAGAATAACCAACCCGAACGATCTCAAATCAAAGGAGCTCTGGTTCCACGATGGACAGCGTACACTCTACGACAAACTTGCAACGCCCCCAAATCAATATGTAGCCAAAAATATTATATTCTTCCTTGGCGATGGAATGTCCGTACCCACCGTCACGGCCAGTCGCATCTATGAAGGACAACTGCGAGGCATCATTGGCGAACGTAATCGCTTGTCGTTTGAGAAATTTAATTATGTGGGACTTTCCAAGGTGAGCGATATATTATAAAAACTACCATAGAGCTCCAAGTTTGCTTGAAAAAAATAAATCAAGTAAAAAATCAAAGAATTTTAAAAATAGATTTGATTTGTTATGCCCAGTACCTGAAGGGTGAAATGCTATGCTCTAGAAAAAAGGAAGCGGGGTCTGCCACCCCCTGTCTATCTTTCCGTCCACACAAACAGCGACCGCTTTTCTACCCTGAAAGCTAGAGCATCAAATTTGGTTTCCAGACTTCTCTTACCATAAGCATAGCTTTTAATGGAGGCAATAATTTGCCAACATTTTGTACGTCTTCAGCAAAAATGTTCAAATTTAATTTAAATTCCAATCAACTTTGAAATTGAAAGACTCTTGCGAGTCTCAGGAAAGTGAGGGCGCAGTCACTGCGGTGAAATGATTTCTTTTGTGTAAGTCTAGAAATAAATTTGAATCTCTTTTCAGACTTACTGTGCGGATAGACAAGTGCCCGACTCAGCGTGCACAGCGACTGCCTACTTGTCGGGCATTAAAGCCAATTATGTAACAGTGGGTGTTTCAGCAGACGTCGAAGTAAATCAATGCGCTGCAGCCAAGCTACCCGAAAACCGAGTATCCTCGATCGCATCATGGGCGTTGCGTGCACGTAAATCTGCAGGCTTGGTGACCACAACCCGTGTTACACATGCCAGTCCGGCTGGCTTGTATGCCCATTCGGCGAATCGGGATTTTGAGAGCGACGCTGATATTGCCGCCGATACGACTGTCACGAATCCGGCAGATTGCTCTGACATAGCCAAGCAACTGATCGAGGGCGATATTGGCAAGCGTTTAAGGGTTGTATTGGGTGGTGGTACTTCAAAATTCTTGCCAACCACCTCTGTGGATGAAAACGGTAATCCCGGCGAAAGAGCGGACGGACGGAATTTGATCAATGAGTGGACGTCGGGGAAGCCGGGCATTAGTCGTTACGTCTATAATCGAACAGGACTACTGGGCACTAATTTACGTCGAACTGATTATTTATTGGGTTTGTTTGCGCCCTCGCACATGCCTTATAGTCTGGACAATCCTGTGAATACACCCACATTATCGGAAATGACAGAAGCTGCGATTGGCGTTTTATCTAAGGATCCAAACGGCTTCTTCCTTTTTGTCGAAGGCGGTCGCATCGATCATGCTCATCACGATACTAAAGCTGCGAAAGCTTTGGACGAAACTGTACACTTCTCGAATGCCGTAAGACGAGCTCTGGAGCTGACCAATCCTTGGGAGACGTTGATTGTAGTTAGCGCGGACCACGCCCATACAATGACCATTAGCGGGTACCCACTCATAAATAACCCCATTACTGGTCTGAACTCGGAATTGAGCGATGTAGATGGATTACCATACGCTGTACTTTCTTATGCCAATGGTCCTCATCCCGAACTGTTCTATCCTTCTACTGGTCGCATTCCTCCAGTACTTGATGGTAAAGATGCGTTGTACCCACATCCTGTGCCTATGACAGAGGAGACACATGAAGGTTCCGATGTGGCCGTATATGCCAACGGTAAGTTACAGTCCCTACTTCTAAAACAATTTATTAATGTGCTTGAGTTGTGTTCGAATATGCAGGACCCTGGGCTCATCTATTTACTGGCGTATATGAACAAAGTGCTTTACCCCACCTCATGGGCTATGCCGCTTGCATTGGACCTGGCATTACTTTTTGCGATCTGCAGCCCAAGTCACGCTATAATCCATTAATTTAATAATGAATTTGTCTTATCAAAACATATAGTTAAAAACCAAAACAACTAATTTAAACATGTATTTTAATAAAACAAAGCAAACGTGAAAAGCCAATTAGGGACCCAATTGGCTTTGGAGTCTAAAATATGACACTTGCTTGTAAAATTGCAGTTTTGATGTTGTCTGTCTTGAGGGAGAATTTATATAAATGACTTGCAGGTTTTGCCCGTTTTGATGGCAATGTAATGTACCTGGAATGGATCTAGCCCTGTCTGCGTCTCTCTGAGACACCAAATTTTGCACAAACATGTCTTATGTGTGTACGCTGTGCAAGTTTGTTTTAATTTTTTGATTTTGCCCACTTCTTCCCTATGGAGGTTTTCCCGATTTTCCATTCCTATAATCACCTACATATATCTCAGAAACTATATAAGCTATGGAACCACCGAAATCACAAATTTTCCATAACTCCCATATTTATTGGAATTTTTGACTCAGTTAGTAATTAAACGTCCGTGTGCTAAGTCTTCATTATGATAGGCCAAGCACTGCGCGCAACTGTTGTTATAGTTGCAAAGTCAAAGTCGGGACACCCGACTTAAGCTTCTCCACTTGTTTTTTTTTCTTTTCTAATTGTTGAAGGAAATATAAACTTAAGCGCCAAACAAAGCGCACTTCGACTTGAGTGTTGTAAAATTCGCTGGCGTTCCTTTTCTTTGGCGTTTTGTTGCGTTACCAACTTACGGTCACTCTACTCTCACCGCCGCCATTTTAGGTGTAGAAAATTTTGCAAACGAAAAAGAATTGTGTATATCATTTTAAATATTTCATAAAGTTCATATGAAAAGCAATAAAGAGAAGTTCGGTGCAGAATTGAATACAATAATGTTGCAAAAAATTGTATAAACAAACGCTTAGTGGCAAACGGAACAATTTTTTCGCACGCCGGTGTCTCATTGTCGGTACGAGCGGGCGTGTGTGTGTTAGTGTAAAAGTGGTCAAAAGTAGGCGCCGCGCTCGAGTGTGTGTAACTCTAGTTTCATTCTTGGCCTCACGGCGTGCATTTTATATTAGTTTGTTGTCCGGTTACAGTGTTAAATCCCACACGCAACTATGGCTGATGGTGTGGTGCTCGACTTGTACGCTGAAGACTTGGACAAGGACTTTACCGGGCAATCTCAGGTAATAGGGCTGCGCACGCTATCTTTACTACGCACATGTCTACCTACATTCATACAAATGTACATATGTATATAGTATATACATATTTATATTCATTTGTGGGCCTATTAATGTCATGTGTGTACATATACATACATATATACATAACATAAATGATCAAAAACACATCTTTCTAACCGTTCAAAGGATGACTTTGGTGGCGACGGCGTCGATTTATATGATGATATCGGCGGCCCCACCGATGCAGCTCCTCCAGGCGGCAGTACGCCATCAGGTGATGGTCCTGCCGGAGTCGGTCCTGGTGATGGTGCCTCTAGCGGCGGTCCCAATGGAGTTTACCATCAGGGCAGTGGTAGCCAAACTCCAACAATGAACCGTCGCTATCAGCTCTATGTGGGAAATCTTACTTGGTGGACAACCGATCAGGATATTTCGAACGCCTTGCGTGAAATAGGCGTCAATGATTTGCAAGAGGTGAAATTTTTTGAGAATCGCGCAAATGGTCAGTCCAAAGGTTTCAGTGTTATATCACTCGGCTCGGAGCCAAGTTTGCGTGCAGTTTTGGACCAATTGCCAAAGAAAGAGATGCACGGCCAGGCGCCGGTTGTTACCTATCCCAGCAAGCAAGCTCTAACGCAATTCGAGAGCCTCCAAAAAACTCGTCCAGTGCCGCCGCCCCAGCAGAACGGGCCGCCACGTGGTCCCGCACCTCCAAACATGGGCGGTCCCATGCAACCGCATCCAGGCGGTCCCCAAGGTGGGCCGCAGGGTCATCCACCGCGAATGAACCCCAACATGCCGCCTGGTCAATACAGGCCACATATGTCGCAAGTGCCGCAAGTTGGACCTAATTCAGGACCGCCTCGTATGCAGGTGAGTGCTACCATTGCCCTTTCGCAATTTATTTGTTGCCTTTAAATTTCATTATGATTTTTTGTTCCTAATTTGTTGCCATTGAAAGGTTTCTTATGTTTGTTGTCGGCTTGATGGCCCGAATTAACAACACCATACACATTTTATTTAACTTTTCTCATTGAAATTGTTCTGAATGCAAAATTTGATTTATTAAGAATTACTAGAGAATTTAATGCTACTGTAAACTTGTTGTTTATTGTTTTAAGTATCCAATCTTTTGTTTTAATTAAAACATTTCAGAGCAATTTGTTTTTTTTTTTTAAATATGAATTTTATGTAAACCACACACATATGGCTAAGACACTCTTGATAAGAAAATGCTCAAGTGAACTCTGTAAACAACACAACATTTTATGCATAAGCCTTTACGTTAATTGTAGCTGTTTGGCTTAGAATCTTAAATTTGTAATTTGCCGCACTCACATTCGACTGTATTAATAAACAAATTATAGCGATCTCTTTGCGCAGCGTAATTGTAAGCGCCTTAAAGTACATTTTGAACATTTTATTTACCTAATCGAACTTTGTTTTGCATCTGATAATTATGTAATTGTCGGAATATTAATAGTTGAGAAATGTAATTAGAAGAGAATTCCATGTTTAATTATTAATAGAAAAACATTGTAATGTAGTTAGGATATTTAGACGTAGCTATATATGTATTTTTTTTTACTTTGTATAGACTTTCAGATGTAAAATACGAGAGAAAGTTTTCAAAGAAATAAAGTTATGGCCGCTTGTTTCTATGGTAATTAAATGATTCAGTAAATATTTTTAAATGATTTGATAAGAATATTTAAAAGAACAACTATTTGCAAATCTTTATATTTTGTGTTTTTATAAAAAGAGTTGGGAATTAAGTTTCACATTAACTTAAAAGGAAAGAAATAGGTTTGATTTGAACTAGACTGAAAGGCGAAGATGGTTTCAAAGTAATTTTTATTTTGTGATTGGGTATACTTCTTTACACTACAAACAATATATCCTTTTGCAAAGGATACACACAAAAATTGTAATTAGAAAATATAATAATCTTGATTTTCTTTTGTTTTATTATATAGTTTGATCTCTAATATTTATAAGTATTTCTGTACACTTGTCGCTTATAATAATTTTGGCACAAAGGGATCAATATTTGAGTAAACCACACATAGCCATTGTCAAGGCCGTGAGGCAGCCTATACATACATATATGCATAGCTATGTATGTATGTATCACGCAAAGTCTTAGTTAGTAATTGTGTTGCATTGTTATAAAACTGTTACTACATTTCGTACATATATATAGAACATATGTATCATTACCTTCTACCAAATAAAATTATAATGAAATTGTTTTATAACAAATTTTATGTATTACGCTTTATATTTATGTTCTATTCCATGTCTATGACAACAACGCTTACGCACACTTGTACCCACAACAACTACAATTATACATACTTTATTAGCCGCCAATGCATCCACAGGGCGGTCCGATGGGCAACCAACAGCCGCCACCCCGATATCCGCCAACGCAAGGCCAATGGCCGGGTCAACAACGTCCCGGTGGACCTAGGCCAGGTCCACCGAATGGACCACCACAACGACCACCAATGGTAACAAATCCCTAAACAAAAGAATAAGAAAAAAAAGAACGGTATAGTTCCATCTAAAGCTAACTCTAAAACCGTAAAAAACTCTAAACGAACTAACTAACCACAATAAGTTAATTTAGTTTATGACGTTAGAGATCGCATAAATTGTATTCAGAACATAAAAATAACGACATGAATGTTCATTTGCAACACCCTCCCCTCATTATCCAGCACCCAAACATCAGCAAAACATACATTGCTCGCTCATCAATTTCACTCCCGTATCTTAGGTGGCACTAATATACACAGCTTTTCGGGGTTATTATATTTTCTAAATCATTTTTGACACAATGCTCTTTTTGCAGTTCCAAGGTCCAATGGGTATGCCTGTTCGAGGTCCTGGGCCTGGGCCTGATTGGCGTCGACCACCCATGCATGGCGGCTTTCCACCACAAGGACCTGGAGGCCCACCACAAGGACCGCCACATATGCAGGGTCCTCCTCGAGGTCCACCTCAAATGGGTCCCGTTCCACCACCGGGTCCTGGAGGTCCCCATGGTGCTCCCGCACCTCATGTCAATCCAGCATTCTTCAATCAACCTGGCGGTCCACCCCAACACATGGGCGGGCCCCCACACGGCCAGCCAGGTCCACAGCAAGGAATGAATATGCCGCCACAGCATGGCCCGCCTCCACACTTTGCGCAACAGACCGGACCAAGGGGCCCATGGCCAGGACCGCCCCAAGGCAAGCCTCCCGGTCCTTTCCCTGACCCACAAATGGGACCCCAATTAACGGAGGCCGAATTCGAAGAGGTTATGAGCAGAAATCGTACAGTCAGCAGTTCGGCTATAGCCAGGTGAGTTTCTTGCGATGATTGTAAAGATCTTTAAACTAATACATGTCCACACGATTTGAGCGCAGAGCCGTTTCCGATGCCGCCGCCGGTGAGTACTCAAGCGCCATTGAGACGCTAGTTACTGCCATTTCGCTTATCAAGCAATCCAAAGTGGCACACGATGAGCGTTGTAAAATATTGATCAGCTCTCTGCAAGACACACTGCACGGCATTGAGGCCAAGAGCTACAATCGACGCGAACGTTCACGTTCTCGTGAACGTTCGCATCGCAGTCGTCAGCGTCGTGAACGCTCAACCTCACGGTATCGTGAGAGATCACGTGAAAGAGAAAGGGATCGCGATCGTGAAAGGGAACGTGATGGAGGGTGAGCATGAGTACGCTATAATTTTTTAAAATTTGATAAACCAAAACTCTTATCTGTGTGACAGCAGCTATCGCGAACGCTCACGAAGTAGGGAACGTGAGCGTCAGGCTCAAGATCACTACAGAGATGACAGGTAAGTAGGTGCTAAAAATGAATAACTCCCACAATCCGTCATTGTTAATTGTAATTTCTGCAGCAGTAGCCGTTCAGCGCGTCCAAGGAAATCTCCGGAAGCAGTTGCGGCGGAAACTGCGGAGGCACCGTCTTCAAAACGATACTATGAGGAGCGGGAACGCTATCGTTCATCGGATAGGGAGCGCCGTGATCGTGACAGGGACCGTGAGCGCGAGAGAGAACGGGAACGGGATAGACGTGAGGAGCATCGTTCAAGGCATTGAAATCTACAACAACGCCAATAAAAGTAAAAATATACAGAACGTACACGCCCACATACAAACAAATTTAAAAACCAACACACATAAACATAAACTCACAAAACTACTAGACATTTTTATTAACACACACACAACACATGAAGCAGCTGAAGATCAGCCACAGAATTAACAAACTTTGTTTTGTATCTAACATTACCAATACGTAGGACATTAAAATGGCATAAAATAGTTTCTCCTAGACGTACTAAGATAAGCCGAAATGTTGACAAAAATACATGCATAACAGACTATTTACAGACTGCCACTCACAAACATACCCATACATCAAACAAATAACACTCAAATTCCGTGATGCAATACACACTACGCAGGCAACGTTGGACATGGACGCATCAGTTGCAGCAACAACAACAGCAACAGTCAGCACTCACACCGATGGCCGCCGTACACCGATTGTCGCCGTCACAGCAGAATTTCAATATTATTGTACTTTAAACTTTCGGTTTATTTAATAAAACATATATCTATATATATTAAAAAAGGAAATGTTAAAAAAACAACCTGAAATGTGTTGCATTGTGTGTCTTCTTGTACCTAATAAGCAAACTAGTTAACGAATCTTTATATATACAAATTGTACAACACATTATCGTATGTAATTCATATTAATTCGAAATTAATGCGCTGCTGTGGCGCCCATCAGCCCCTGACCCAAAAAAGAACTAAACTGTTAGCTGCTAAACTGAGCTAATCATTTTAATATAATTTAGCTCATGCATATATTTAATTATATTACAAATTGTTATATTAGTACGCATTTATACAATTGTGTTGACAAAAAAAACAATGCCAAATATCGCCAACATAGTTTTTAAATAGCCGACAGACTGCAAAAAAGCAAAAGCGTATTTGTATTTAAGCACTCTCTACGTTTGTATGAGGTCTGAAATTTGTAATTGTCCTACTTACTCCTTTACATACTTTTAGTTATAAAAAGCTATATTTTTTGAGAAATATTTCCTATGGAAATCATATAATTTATATTTATTTATTTCCGGTTTCGTGTAAGCATAGTGACGATTTTTTGTTATAAAATTACTTTATGCATTTGTTTAATAATTTTTATTTTCTACGTTTAAGTCAACATTTATTTTGCGTATATCTACGGAAAAGAGTGAGTGAGCATTGTTGAAATTTATTTGTTGAATATGTATAGTCATGTCCCTGATGCAATCATCGAAATATATAGAACTTATAGAAAACAACATTCATCATACAGTTTGACTGACCACCCATCAAATTGTTTAGATTGGGAATATTCCACTACTATTTACATTTTATACTATTGTGCGAGTGTGTTTTCCCCGATTTTTAGACTAAGTTGTCCTGAACAAAACAAGACTAACAAGCATTTAGCGTAGCGACATTACTAACGCTCTGATTTGTTTGTTGTACCTTTCTGTAGCAGTATGTATGTACATAAATATTTAGCTTTTTAGTTTTAAACACAATTTTTATTATTTATTTAAACACACGCCTACTTATGTATATTTACTTGATATAATAGACTTAAGAACTTGCCACACTAACGTTCTTATGTAAACTAAAAGCCACCGCATTTACTTTTAAATAGAAAATTCCTCAAGCAGATGCTAATTTCTGCATCCATTTTGTTGATGTAGTTAAACAAATATGCATTTGCCCACTAAATGGAAGAAACAACTTTTTAGTGGAATTTTACTGTGATTTCGATAGTAACTGATAATTACATGTGTAACATAACTAAAACAAATACAGGTAATAGATTAACAATCGCCAATGATGTATAAATTGGTAAATTGTTATATAAAAATGTACCATAGCTATTAAGTGTGTACATTAACTCTTATTTATTTAGTTAAATTTTTTCAAACGAAAAATTATAATCTAGTCATTTGCACTCATAATTAAGATGCAATTTATCAAAAACATGCATACATATATTTAAATTCCCTTTCCACTATTTTCAAATATATTTTTCATGACCTGTTGAGTTTTCAAAATGCAGTGCGACTTTTAGTCATTAGTTTCCAAAATTTGCGCTTTTCAAATAAAAACATGGAATTTGAAAAAAAAGTTATTGAACCACTGATTGGCGCGCACGCACGCGTTATTGTGTTTTCCATTTGTACTATTTGCGTCGTCAATTGTGTTGGCAGCACTACCTTCAATTGTTAATTGGATTGGCAGTACTGTCTTCTGCTCGAAGTCCATACGATATACATACGACATATACAAAACATTCGTGAAATACTTTGAATGAGGAAAATTCTGGACGAAGTAACAAAGTAAAGTTAATCAACTTCTATTTCTAGTCGATTCAAACTACAATAGAACTCTAAATAGTTCACTCCTCCGTTTGATTTAAATAAAATTAAAAAACAAATTAATCCCGAGCGAAATAAAAGAAGGAACAAAAAAACTATGGCTGCAACAGCACAGAATATAAATGAACGTTTTCAACGTCTCATTGACGGCATCGGCGAGCGATAGTGAGTATCCAAAAATTAATTTAATAAACAATATGTTGGTCAGGCTTTGGGCTGTTGTGGGTGCTGCATTGTAGCACTCATTACATGAGAATGCAGGTGAATTGCGACGACAAGAGCACCCTACTGCATGCAACAACAAAACAAATACTTCATTTACATATGTATATACAAGTATGTACATACATAATGCATGTATGTGCGTCACATCGCATGTTTTCGTTTTTGAAGACTGACGTGTTGTTTTGTTGTTAAAGCCACATCAACAGTTGGTTTCCAATGACCACGCACAATGCTAAATCAATAATCCTTGAAACTTACACAAACTAACATTGACTCCATTTCCCCTTTCCCAGTGAGCCATACGTTCGCCAGCACTTGTCGAAGGTTTATATGGTGCTGGCTAGCACAGCCGCCGCATCAGCGGTAGGCGCTATGCTTCAGATGCGGGATTTCGTCGACCTGGGCATAGTAGCCGCAATAGCATCGCTAGTACTCGTTTTGGGCTTACATTTCTACAAAGATGATGGCAAAAACTATTATACACGTCTGAGCATGCTCTATGCCTTTGGCTTTTGCTCGGGCCAGACACTGGGACCCTTACTCGGTTACATATGCAGCATCAATTCCGCCATCATATTGACCGCACTTGTCGGCACCTTTGTCACCTTTCTTTCCCTATCCCTTGCCGCTCTTGTTGCTGAGCAGGGGAAATTTTTGTATTTGGGAGGTATGCTAGTCAGCGTTATCAACACCATGGCGCTCCTGAGCCTCTTCAATATGATATTTAAATCGTACTTTGTACAGGTGGTAAGTGTGTGGAAACTTGTTATCTTTTTATCAGCAACTCTCATTCAACTGCAATTATCTTGACTCTCCACAGACCCAGCTATACGTTGGCGTTTTTGTTATGGCCGCCTTCATTGTTTACGATACGCAGAACATTGTAGAGAAGTGTCGTTTGGGCAATCGGGATGTCGTACAGCATGCTTTGGACTTGTTCTTTGACGTTTTGAGCATGTTCCGCCGTTTGCTGATCATTTTGACGCAGAAGGTTTGTCTCACATAACAATTATTGCTAGGGTTTAGAGAAGCTTTAGTTTGAACCACCAATGTCTCACAGCTCAAGACTTTTATGGTTTAAAACCGTATCAGCTAGTCACAGTCAAGGCAGGCCCCAACGCAAAATTCACTGAACGAATACCAAATCAAACGGTATGCCGTATACCATTTACGTTTGCCCGATTTTTCGTATATCCAAGGCAATAAATATACTTTCACAAACCCCTCTTAATAAATGTATTAATTAGTTAATGATAATGAATCGTGATATCTATTAACTCTTGAAGAATATGTAATTAGTACCTTGAATCAAGTAGACTAGAACTACGAAGTTATACCATAGCCGAGTTTTATTTGTTGGAAGTATATTTATTTCCAGGACTACGAAAAATGCGCCCTAATTAAAAAAAAAAATCCCTCACCGACTCAGTGATTTAGCTATTTGTGAAACTATATTTATAACCTTGGAACGTACAGAAAAGAATTTTAAAACTAATTTAAAATTAACATTTGCAGGAGGAGCGAAAACAGGCCGAGCGTCGCAAGAAGAACTAAGGATAGTCCCTAGCTACACGAAGCTTCTCGAAAAGAATGGCAGGGCCATGGGCACGTGTAGGCGCTGTTTTCATACATCATTAAATTAACATGTTTTCAATATTCAAATTTCAAAAGCCGTGTAAGTTTGGCTTTCTACTATGTTCAATTATAACGACAAAAAACGTTTGGAACACATTACACCACAAACCCCCTACTGGAAAAGAGCGCAGGAATATATTACATAAAAAATTACAATAAAAAAAGTCCAACAGATAGGACTAAACCAAACACAATAATGAAGTTTATTATTCTCAACACTGTTCTTTTTGATTGTACCGATTAAACGTGATGGTTGATAGCACTCAATTAATTAGCTAAGTGGTCCTGAATATTTATGCATTGAACTTGAGAGCCCATTGAATTAGTTGCCGTTTCAAGGGTCGACACGCAACATGTCGCAGCCGACGCCATTGGTGCAACCCCTCTTGCAGCAGTTCCAGCAGTTATTTTTCCTTTCAAAATTGGTAGGAGTGTTACCCCAGGACCTGGAAAGTTTTCGCACCAAGAATGTACTCGAAAAATCCAGTCGGGGCATGTGGTATTTGCTAGGCACCATTGTGGCTTATGTGGCGCTCTACAACTTCTTGATTATCTCGTTCGGCGAGGAGGATCGCACCCTCAAAGCATCGCAGAGTAAGTAAACCTGATTTTCTATAAATATTTGAGCTTATTTCAGTTTTTGGGTTAAATTAAAATTAATGCAGTTATTAAATTATATTTTAATAACCTACTTAATATCCTGTTTTTAAAATGAAAAAATTCGTTTTCTTCCGTTCCCCACCACAGGTACGTTAACCTTTGTGATTGGTATATTCCTAACATACATCGGTTTAATTATGATGGCTACTGATCAAATAACCGCTCTGCGTAATCAATCGAAACTTGGCGAGCTTTATGAACGCATTCAGGTAGTCGATGAGCGACTCTACAGGGAGAATTGTGTAGTGGACAATAGTCGTCTCCATGTGCGCATTCGGCTGATGATTGTGCTAACATTCCTGTTTGAGATTTCTGTTTTGATGGCTACGTATATCAAATTGGTAGATTTGACGGAATGGATTGCGTTTTTTTGGTGCATATCAGCGATTCCTACGTTTATCAACTCGCTGGACAAGATTTGGTTCGCTGTTTCTTTGTTTGCTCTGAAATCCCGTTTTGAGGCCATCAATGCCACGCTGGACGAGTTGGTGGCAACACATGCAAAATTCAAGGCTTGGCAGAGTGGTGCTGAGACTGAATCTGAATTGATTCTGGACAGTAATTCACCACCTCAGTATGACAGCAATCTAGAATACCTGTATAAGGAATTGCGTGGCATGGACATCGGCTCGGCCAAGAACAAGGTATCTCCAAGTGAGTAGAAATATCAATCCTTATTAGTTATTTTTCTTATAAATTGTTCTTACCCATTAGTTGCGCACTCTATGAACTCGTTTGGTGAGTCAATAAAAACCCCACAGAAGCTTCGAAAGACTATGGTTAACATGGCACACGAAAGCGAGCTAGCCAATCCGGCTAAAGTCGAGGAAAAGCTTAACAACTTGTGTCAGGTGCATGACGAAATCTGTGAGATTGGCAAAGCCTTGAACGAACTGTGGAGCTATCCGATTTTGACTTTAATGGCCTATGGGTTTCTCATCTTTACGGCGCAACTTTATTTTCTGTACTGTGCAACTCAAGCTCAGGCCATACCATCGCTCTTTCGCTCGGCCAAGGATCCGTTTATTACACTTTTCGTGTTGTGCTATACTTCCGGAAAGTGCATATATCTTATCTATTTGAGCTGGAAGACCTCTCTGGCCTCTAAACGAACCGGCATCAGTCTGCACAAATGTGGCGTGGTAGCTGACGATAATCTGCTATACGAAGTAGTGAACCACTTATCACTAAAGCTGCTCAACCACTCGGTGGACTTCTCCGCATGCGGCTTCTTCACGCTGGACATGGAAACACTCTATGGGGTTAGCGGTGGCATTACCAGCTACCTGATTATTCTCATTCAATTCAATTTGGCCGCCCAGCAGGCAAAGGATGCCATACAGGCATTCAATAGTTTTAATGAGACAGCCAGTTTGATTGGCGCTGAAATGGAAAATGGTACATTTAGCTTCACCAGCACCACATTAAGTCCCACAAACTAATAAGTAGTTCTTTCAAACTTAAAAATTCTATTACTCAATTATATTTTTTTTGTTTAAAGCACCTATATGCACGTACTTATAAGATTTTTTTAACTGTCTGGCTGACTGAAATTTCGATTTTAAGTCGGTAGAAAAGTATAAAAATAGAAGGTCTGTCACTTTTAGTATATTTCTCTAGATTTCTGAAGATCTTCGCTAGTTGATGCTACTCATTATTCGGGTGTGGTTCTGGTTATTCAATAAATTGCGCCTATCTTTTTGAGGACAAGGAATATTCGCTTATTTTATATACCCTGTTTTGGCTCTGACTTCTGTGTAAACTTTAATAAATTAAAGCTCACGGTTACGCTTCTGTCAATTCATTATACTTAGTACGCGCTTCTACAATAGCCTCTAGCAGTTGTTTGAACGTTTCATTGGCTCCATCATAGTCCAAAACGGCCACGCAGCTGACCTGAGCACGTTTAAAAAGCGTATAGGCCAATTGACGGCGTGCAAACGGAAAACAGTATGGCACATTCTGACTCTGACATTTGGCTTTCAAATCGTTTATGGTGTTTTCTAAGCCGCCTGAAAAACAAAAAACTGTGATAGGCCGCTTGTGGAAGATTGTGGAACTTACCCTCGCCGGGACAGGTCTCACAATCGGTGGCTATAATGAGCAGCTTAACTTTGTTGATGCGTAGCTGGCAATTGGCTTGCCGAAACCCTACCACAAATCGTAGATGAGCACGTGCCTTTATCGGATTGGCGCCGTAGGCGCGCTTCTGAAATCTGTCTAAATCACGGAGCAGTTGATCGGTTAGAGTTGCCAAAGCAGGCAGTGTGCAGTTGTCGCAGTAACTGAAAATGTATAGTAATATTTTAGAAAAGATGTAATAAATAGTCATAAAATTGCCACAATTAGCAATAAACTTTCTTAGAACGCTAGAATATCTTGCTACAAATGATCTATTTAGAACCAATAGCGGTCTGATTCTTTTAGTTCCAAAATTGTATGAGTATGCAAAGTTTACGGTCAATATCTCTTACGCTTCTCCCTCAGAGTAGGGACTGAAACAGACAGACGCATCTACATACGACTGATGTGGCGATAACTTAAGTACCATAAATATAGTATGCACATACATACATATATACATATGTATGTATGCATTTATATTGTACATACTATATATAAACTTTGATGCCAAACACAAACTAAAATTGTAATCAGCACTAACTTTCTAAAGCGCCGAGAATGGTTAAGGTGAGGTGTTACCCGTGTTGCATTTGGTTGCTTAGCTTCATCCAATACTAGTTCTTTCAGGCCATACTGCACCTGATCCACTAACAATGCGGTTGATGGCTGTGTTTCTGATAATATCACAAGTTCTTGCTTTAATTGCTGCTGTTCAATATTTGTTTCGCTAATCTTCTCTTGTTCCGTATTCTGAGTTTGAACTTCTTGCCGCTTCGTCTGCTTCCATATCCTATATTTTTTTATTTTCCGTTTTAGGGGCGTCACTTTTGGCTTCGGCACCAAGCGCGTTTTGCCCTTCCGTTTGGGAGTAGGCAGGAGTCCACGATGCTCCATCAGATTCTTCATTATAGGCCATCGAGGCTGCTTCTTTTTCGTCGCCTGTTTCGTTCGTGTCACAACGAAATCCAGCAGTGTACATTGTTCCCGATCGTTCTTGTGCTTGTTTTTATATTTGGAACTGCGTAATGGCCTGGCACTGGTGGTATTCTGTCGATTTTGCAATTTCTTATATGTGTTCTCATCTATAATATTCAATTTATCAGAATTGCGGGACATTTTTAATAACACTGATAAAACCCCTAAAACGAAATTATTATATTAGATGGAGGCGAATAAAAGTTAGGTACATAGGAACATTTCCACTTATTCCTATTACAGTATTATTAATTTATACATACTGGGTTCTCCACATTAAATTCAACTTCTGATTTTGTCAAAACAACTTTGTAGGTATGTACATACATATGTACATGTATAGAAAATGTAAACAAAGTTTGTTACCGTCGAATTCGGAATAGTGTTGTGTAATGCAGAATATACTATTCATTTTCCACTATCCAATTCAAATTATTACAACGTTTTTACGAAGCTTGGAAATCGAGAATTACGACACATTAGAAAAAAATTTTGTTTTTGTATTAAAATATACCAGATATGACAATTTAATAACCATATTTATTAGTTTAATTAATTCGAGTATGTCGCATGCAACCGTTAAATAATATGGCATTTTAATAATCATATTTATCAACTCTATGCATTCCAACAAGTACTCTCAAAACAATTTAAACGTAAAATCTAAATTTAACTTATTTCCTTAATTTAATAGCTTAAAAATGTTCACCATGTCGGATATGATCATTTAAAAAAACTTATTTTCAATTTTTAATAATTTGAGGCTACATTTATTTAAAAACAGGTTAAATCAAATAGTTAAAAAAAGTTAATGAAAAGAAATGCTCATGTATAGATAATTTCATAAAAATATAGTTATTTTAAACTAATAAATGAAAATGATTTGAATCGCTGATTTGAAAATTTTACAATTTCAAAGCACCTGAAGTCACAGCCATTTGAATCACTAAATACAAAGCACATACATTTAAAAAATTATTCAATTAAGTTTTGAAACATACCAGATACCAACTGCCATAATTATCAGCTCACAAACGATTTAATTAATCGATGGTTGACCGTTAAATTAATGGCTACGCTATTAAAAAAAAGTTCGATTGACATTTGTTTAAATTTATTTAATCATAAAACAATTTTAAAAATATGTTGGCTACGCACACCAGTATCAACTGCGTTAATTACATAGTCTACGTATTTTGGCTTAAATTTTAAATAACTACATCCATATATATGTACGAATATAAGTCGGAGCCCTCTTTGAAGGTAATTTACACACATATATGTACATACATACGGATTTATCTAGATATGTACACGATAATTACAGCTATATAGTAGGTCTTTCTGAGGAAGATTTTTACTTGCTAACATCCAGTGAGACTTCAGAACATGTACCACTATAACCTTATGCTGCTCTCGATGGCTATGTGAATCTCATTGAATTGTTTAAGGTAAGACAAAATCAAGTCTCGCTCTTTCTCGAATATTTCCCAGTACTTCAGGTACTGACTCACATGTTGTAGCACGAGTGTTCGTGCAAAGTCTAGACAACTTCGCACATGGCGCACCCTTCGCCGACAACTGCTAAGCACCAGTCGAAGCTGCAGTTCCGGCTCCAATTGTGCCAATATAAATGCGAACACATTCTGCACATCAGCCTTCACATCGATGGGGAAAACAACGGACTCCGTGGGACGTGCTTGCGGAAAGACAAGCAGAGCGGGGGTTACATCCATGGATAGCTCCCAAGGTAAATCATTGTCCTGACTATTAAAGCGCACGAAATGCAAAGCCGGACTTCGCAGCATAGCTGCCACTTGCACCAAGACTTGTGACAACACAGCGGATAGCGCACAGTCAGTTCGATGCATAAGTACCACATTGGTGGCATTTTGACGTTGAAGCGCCTGTAACAGTAGTTGTCGGTTGTACGTGTGGATGTAGCCGTCTGAGATTGCACTGGGCAGCGTTGTTGGGGCACTTCTGTGCAAACGGGGCAGCTGCCTTGCATAGAATTGTTTGATAAACTCTTTCAGAGCCAGATAGGAGAACGTCTGTTGTTGTGGCATCACATATAGTGCCTCCTGTGCCACATCCACAATGAAAATTTGCAATGACGTCGCTTCCGTCTTAAGCTGATGCGCCGTTCGCCCAATGCCCAACTGTTGTAGATAGTCACGGTATTTTACTGCATCGAAGAGCACAACTCCTAGGGAACGATTCTGTGTGGAATACTCCGTCGAATGCTGCCATATCAGCTGTCCGTATTTAGTCACAAGCTTTGCTATGCCAATTTTCAGTGCTGGCGTTCCGTGCTGTGAGAGAGCAAGGCAGCGATTCCTACCATGTAGGGCTAGAAGTCTACTTGCTGTGATTCCGGAGGATACGGAAAAATGTCTCTGATGAACATGCTGTGACCAGAGAAAGTTTAGGTAACTGTTGATCCGATAATAGTTTATTAATGTGGCTCTATTTAGCTGCCAGATTTGGTAGCAATGTGTAGCCAGTTGCTGAGGCTGTAGTTCCTTTGCTGATGTATACAGTTCCGCAGGCATTTGCAGCAACGAGTGACGCTGTTTCTTCTCTCCTAAATTATCCTCAGCATCTAGTTGCCAGTAAATTTCACAGGCAGCATTATCTTTGCTTGGTGGCGAGCCCGTCAAGTCCTCTCCCATGAAAAATGACTTGGCATCTACTGATCGACTCGCTGCTGATTTTATGCCCATAGCCAGCACGGGTGAGAGACGTGCCTTTACAGCAATGGTCATAGGTGTGCCGTAGCCATCGGCCAGTAATGCCATCCCCTTGAGTGTAGTGCGAACCCAACGCAACAAATCCAACGACTGCCAATGTCTCCCTTTCGTCCCGTTATAGGTATGCACATTACGACTATCTATGACTGCCAACTGGGGAAGCGTTATGTGCTCCGATTTAAGCATTCCCTTGGCGCTGGGACCCAAGGCCACCGTGTATCGTATATTGCGCTCTGGATCTAATTCTAGCCATCGCACGGCCGCAGCTACAAAGCGCTTGTAAGCCAAGCTGTCCGGGGAGTCTAGCAGTGCCAATACCACGGCGTCGGAAATACGTCGCAGTGCGTCCAATTCCCCGCTGTTGTGTACACGATCTATAGGCTGGATAACGTGATTAAGGAAACGTGTCAAGTCCTCGAAATGCCAAGAGCCCTGGTATTGTATCGTCTGACGTCCCAAGTGCACAATTAACGTCGGCCACTTCTCCGGATAACCACCACCCAGGCCATGTGCCGGGCGATGCGTCCGACTACAGTTACATTGCAGGTGCCAACAATCAATGGCTCCAAAGTACGCATAATCGTGGTAGTAGTGTGCCACGCCATCATATGCTAGACGTGCCTGCCTCGCATCGCTGGACCAGGATACATAATAGAACAACAGCGACAGCTCAAAATGTGTCGCATCCGCCCTCAACTGTGGCACACTTCGACCAGGACACTCTTCGACAGCACCGGTGTGTGCCCAAATCGAATGTGCGGCGAATGGCAGCAGCATACAGTACACAACCACTATGTAGTCCATCGAATCCAGCTGTGAGGCACGGCGATGACCACGATTACCCCAAATCTAATCCTTAGTTAGCAACTCCAGGTGCTTTTTCAAGAAATCTCTACTTTTGAGCTCTTCAGGTGCAGAATGCAAGCGCTAATTAAATAAATGCCACGGTAAAACAACACCAGCTGATTGCATTGCTTTACAGTGTTGGTAAACTCCATAGCTCCTATCCTAATCTGCCGGTTCATGTACTTATTTAATGGTTATTTTAAATCAATTATTAATTAATCGGGTCAACATTTTTTTTTATGATGGGTATGATGATGGGTAAAAATAAGCAAAAATGTATATAATTAATTTCAAAAATAATTAAACATAAGAATATACAAAAATGTAATTAATTTTAAAAATAATACAACACATATATATAAATACATTTTTAGTTAATTTTGCTAATTTTTATATTAAATAATTTAAAACACAATTTCGACTATCAAGATATTGTAAACTTTTTGAAAGAATTGGTTATCGTGGAAAATGTGTCCCAAAAGTTCACTTATTTTGTAAAATGCAATGGTCTGAAACAAATATAAAAAGCGCGATTTTTAGAAATATAATGAAAATGTTGGATCGGAAAACTGGACTCGATAATGGAGGAGATGACTCCATAAGAATCTAGTATTTCGGTTCTATAGTGTGGATTGTAAATTTATATTGGAATTACTAAAAATAATCAAATGAAGATGCATATCTTTAAAAACGCCTGCGAATTAGTAAAAATGTTTCACCCAAATCGAATTAAAATATTTTATTTCATTAATAATTTTGTTTTTGCACTACTAGCACTTCCGAGAGAGATTATTTAAAAATTGCCTGCAAGATAGCAGGAAATTAAGTAATTATTTGGTTTTGAACAGTAATAAATAAAAAAAATTTTGAAAATATTTTTTTGTCTAATTTTAGGTTTTTTCTTTTAATTTTACTTTAAATTTTTATTTTTTGGTGCTACTAACATTTTGTATTTCTCGCATATATTAAGATATTAGTTAAGTAATCAGTAAAAAGGTGAACATAATTGTTAAATACTTAATGAAAACTTATACACATTTAAATTTCTTTATTTTACTGCTGGCATTCCAGAGAGGCTATTTAATCTTACTAAGAGACCCCAATATTATTAAAAGGGGAGAGCATTTTTGTTGGCTAAATGTCTGCTCTCAATCGCGTTGAGTCTCGAATAGATAGTTGGCCGCCTCAGTCTGTGGTGATCGTTGCTGCGACGCGGGTCGTGTTGCCTCTCTGTATTCATATGTCACAGGTCGAGCAGGTAGCCAACCGAAAAGTTACAATTGTCACGGTATTTGGCTTATAAGGCAACGTTTGCGCTGAACTAAATTTAAATTTGACCATTTCCCTAAAGTACAATGTTTATACAAATGTGCAGTGTGTGTAAAAGTTGACAGCTTGAGATTCTCATACCCCCCAAAGTGAGTGTTTATTTGTATTTACATACATATGTATGGATGTACATATGTATGTAAAGTTACAAAGTACAAATGAAATAAAAATACAAAAGTAATCTCAGCGTCGTTGCGGCCTCATTTGTGGGTTGCGTTGTGAAGAGACAAAAAGAACAAGTAATATGCATATGTACAAATGTATGCAAGTATGTATATGGAAAACAACAAAAACAACAAAGTCAATGAACGCATGCGGGACTTGATATAGATAGGGACTTGATATAGGTAGATAAAATGTAAACAATTGAAATATATTTTAAAATACAAATGCAATTGCATGTGAGAAATACAAGTGGATCGGATGCAAAGCTAAATAAATTACCCACAACAAAATTACAAATCAAATAAAATATCGACCCCATGAACTTGTTGCATGTGTGTATCTCATAGATACTTGGAGAAGAGTCAACAAACAGTGCAACATAATACCTTCTCAGCTGCGCAAAACCGGAAAATGCGGTAAAGCGACAATCATCCCTACTACGTTTTTGACTTGTCTTGACTCTGAGATGCTAATTGGAGTGAAAGATTGTGACCACTGCAAGCCAATTTGTTTCTGAACCCATTTATAAGTAATATTAATAATCACAAAAAACATTTGGCCATTAAACGGACAACTCATGCCACCGGCAACTGGCAATGAACTGGTGCCACAGTTTAATTGCCAAACAAGCATTTGTGTTTGAAAAAAATGCAGTACTACAGTCCGATATATAGTGATGTATATATACTACATATGTATGTATAGTATATAAGCGAAAGCACAAAAGGAATGCTTTCCAGTCATACGTGTTAGGCTGTTGATAATTAATCAGCCATTGTAGCGAGCTCTTCTATACTATTATGTTACATTTTGAAGCACCCAATACAGTCGACAATTACTTGAGATAAAAAAAAATACACTGTGTACGTGCCCCACGCTTACTCTGTCAATCACAGCAGTTCCTTTCAATTTAAAATCGGACCTTGAAAAGTATCAATCATCATTTAAAAGCAAAATTAAAGTGAGCGAAAAATTCGATAAATAATCATAAAGAACAATAATAATAAAAAGAAACGTTAAAAAATAATAAAAAAAAATTTCCTTGGCGATTTGAAAATGAAATAGATTTGCAATTATTAGTTGGGTAGAGGCACACATACTCGTATGTTCAAATGCATCTTAAGAGGGAAAATAATTTTCTCAATTATTGATTCATATGGTACATATGCGATAATAAAAATAAATAAAAAAAAAATATTTTCAAAACAATCGGTTATATAAACAAAATGTGCTTTAAAATATTTTCAATTTGATTTAAAGTTAGTTAAACAGTTCCAAATCTTCGCTGTTCCAATTATAGGCAGAGACAAAAAAAAAAAACCGTATATTGTGAAGATTGTTAATGTTGATAGCTTTGATGCAATTGAAGATATTTTTTAATAATGTACATACATATGTGGCTTCTTTCTATCTTTTAATTACGAATATTATTAAAAGAAAATGCAACATCATGAAACTGAGGATGGGTAATTTATATGAATGCTAAAACTCAAGGTTATATCGGCCTTGCTATATCACGCGAGCTGGTTATAAAAGGCAATCCCACTAACTAATACAAAGACAAGCCACTTTGACTAGCCGCAAAACAAAAAAAAAAACTAAAGCATGCACGCATGATGTCGGCCTTATAAAAACAATCATGCATACTACATACATACATACATACACGTACGATAATGCACTTATACATACTTACTTTCTTAATCAAACTAGTTGCCCACGATAAGAGCGAGTGGAAGAAGCTTTTGGTGTGAGTGTTAACTTAGCGAACTGAATGGCTTAACCAAACGCCCACAGCACAGCTGTGCACAATCTTTGATGGCTGGTCTCGTTCCTCTGATAAGACAAGCTAAGATTCCGTTAGCAGCCGTAAACGAGCACGAGTTTTGAATACCCTGTACCGGACTTGCTTTCCTACACAATCTTCAACATAAATAAACTGCTTTAAAATGTAACTTTTAATTAAATTTGGTTACGCACTACACAAGCAAATTTTGGTATCTAGATTGGTAAAATTAAAAAAAAAAGAAATACATAGAACTTGCACACGCCGAGGGAATAACGATTAATGGACTGACACACATTTTGTAATGAATGGGTCACGTTACACAGCAAAACAAAAAAAGCTCAAGAGGACTGTTGCAACAGCCAAAACCAAAGTAGGGTGAAAATGCAAAAGCAGGGCATGCAATAAAAGCTTAAATATTTGCTTCATGTGACATAAAAAAAAGGAAAAATAAGAATAACTGATAAGAGCGCACCTGCACCTGCGGCATCAACTTCCATCAAGCGCCTCGCTTTTTAATGAAACAGGGAAATCTGAATGTTGGTTTTAATCATAGAAGCCTGATATATTTTTTAATATTATTTCAAAACAGCCACATACTAAGATATGTATGTACATACAAATAAAATACCGCATTCTCTTATCCTTCTTCCACAGTTTTTCAGTCACACCCTCTGGTAATCTGAACACACACCCTCAACATGGAGAAAGTGCGTAAGATGCAAGACCACTTCAAAACCCAACAGATACCAACTGAGGTCGACGATGGCCTTGAAACTTTGGAGCAGTACAAACAACGTTGGCGCTCCGTCCGCATTATATACTTCACCATGTTCCTTATGTCCCTGGGTTTTAGCATTATACTCACTGGCATTTGGCCCTACCTCAACAAGGTATGTAGCTTTGTGGAACTGTGTGTTTCAGTGTAATGCAAGGATTTTTAGCTAGACCCCAGCGCTGGCAAGGAATTCATGGGTCTCGTTGTCGCCGCCAATCCGCTAGGCCAGATGATCTTCAGTCCCCTTTTTGGCTGGTGGAGCAACAAATTAGGCACCATTAGACTACCCCTGTTGCTCTCATTGGTGCTCTTTACAGTAGCCAGTGGGTTTTATTCGTCGCTGGAGTTGCGGCCGGATAATGTGAAGTTCTGGATGGTAATCTCGCGCTTTCTTATTGGTGTGAGTTCCGCAAACATTGCCGTATGTCGCTCATATCTGTCCGCAGCGACACGTCTAAGTGAGCGCACCCATGCCGTCTCCATGGTATCTTTGGCCCAGGTCCTGGGCTTCATTGTTGGTCCCGCACTCCAGGCAGCCGTGACACCTTTGGGAGATGTGGGCTACATGTGGCTCTGGGGGAAACTACACTTCAATATGTACACAGCATGTGGATGGATAAATGTTCTTATGAGTGTGGGCAACTTTATTATGTTTTTGCCCGGAACTTTTGAGGTGAGTTCAATAGTTTTAATAAATACCAACTCTATTTCCGTTTCCATATTCAATGAAAATCGAAACAAATAGGTTTTGCCAAAACTGGTAAAATTCTTTAAATAAACCCAAAAAGTATTACCATTAACCCATTTCGATTTCGAATAATTAGATCGAGTTTGGGAACAGGAACAGGTCTGTCTCTGTCTGCAATAATAATTATTGAAAAATGTATTTTCTCTCAGGAACATAAAATAGCTGCCCGTGAGATTATGGTTATGCAGGGTGGTACATCAGAACGAGAGACATGGAAGGCTATAAAGCCAAATTACTTTTCCGCTTGGACACTTATAGTGGCGTTTTTTGTGTTGGTCTTCAATTTTGTGCTGCTCGAAACGTAAGTTCAACTAAAGTCTTGTTTTTATGTCTTTAAAATTAACTCTAACTTATTCTCTGCCTCCACAGCTTGGGAACATCGCTTACAATGGATCAGTTTGCCTGGTCCAATAGCGAAGCCATGTGGTACATGGGAATACTAATGTCTGTTGGCGCCATTGTTGCGTTTATTACCTTTTTGCTTATTGTACCGCTTTGCAAACAATTTGCGGAGCGGTATGTGCTTATTTGGGGGGGTTTCTCTTTAATGGTTCTGGGGCGCGTGCTGTATATACCCTGGGGACCGGATCCGCCTAAGGTGGCACCAGCCTTCAACGAAACCGCCGGTCTACCCGAAAGTGATCCAATGTACCTCGGCTGTCCGGAAACTCAGGAATGGTGCGCTCGTCTGCCTGCATTGACGATTACTCAATTCATCATTGGCTATGCCTTCACATCTGTTGGCTACCCGATTGGCGTCACTCTTATACAGACAATATTTTCGAAGGTCTTGGGTCCCAGACCGCAGGGTGTTTGGATGGGTTTAATGACTGGTTCAGGCTGTTTATCTCGTGTTTTGGGCCCGGTATTTGTGGGTTCTATATACACACGTCTGGGAACCTACTGGACCTTTGGCGTAACATCAGTTATGATGCTTATTTCAATGTTTTGGCTGCTGGGCACAAAGTGAGCTTCCATTGCTTAACTTCACATTCTTATATTGTACAATCTGAACTCTCTTCTTTCAGCAAATTACTTATACCTCCGCATATCGATAAGCCAGCACATGTGGAGCTCCAAGACCTTAATAAGGAGAATGGAAAACAAAGTGAAACAAACTCACCCACTCATAACGGTGATAATGATACTCCACCGGAGGGTGTGGAGCTGTTGGGGATTCGCCGGCTGGGTAACAGCTCAGAGGCATAGCGACTTACAGCTTGTTAATAAGTATATACTTATAGAATATTTTTGAGAACTGCCTTTATGTTTACTATGTACACACATACATATGTGCCTATTTTTAGAATCAAAAAATATTATATTTTATCGGAATTTATTAGTCTACGAAATTCAAAATAAGTATATAAATATTTTTGAGAATGTAAAAGACAAATTTGGCTGTTTATCCAGTTTTTTTTTTTATTGACAAGTTGAATTACACACATTGTAACACTTTTTGTATATGCGCTTAAAGTCGAACCTATACAGCGAATGGTCTGTCCGATGTTTTAAAGCAAGACTAAAATTGCGTAGCGTCAGTACTCCCAACACAATGTGGTCAAGTCAGGCATACGTTTTTAAAAAGGGATGTGTATGAAGTCCATTGCTTAGTACAATCCATATGCCATAAGATCTTCAGTCAAACAAAGTTTGCCGATACTCGTATATATATATATATATGTATGTAGATAGTATGAATACCTAACATGCTATGAATAATGCTTTCATTTGTTTAATTTAGATTTAGATGTGGTTGTGTGAATGTGGATTACCAAATGGTGGCCACATTTGTGAAAATGGCGGCAGCTGCCGGTGTTGTTGGTAGTGCGTTGGCGACCACGACCAGCAAATGATGAAGTACGTCGCACCGGTTAAAGGATTGTTACAATAATATAGCGGTAGGCAGGGATGCGCAATTGTATCAAAAGCGCCCAAATCTGCTGCGGCTGTTACTCAGCTGCTGCCGTAGTAGGAAAACTCATCTCAGTAGGGCGCATAACGACGACCCGGAGGTGAGGGACCGCGCATGCCACGCGATGAAATCATCCGTTCATCGAACGAATCGCGGCTAAAGTCCTCGTAGCTATGAGGCGTTGGAGAACTGCCGAGTGGAATTTTAGAACAGAGATGAGTTAATAATTTTGGAAACATTTAGGCGAAGTGTAACTCACCCATAGCGGCTCATGCCATTGCTGCTTCGTGGGGGCGGCGGTGAGCGGCGACTAAACATTGTATCATAGCCTCGAGACACGCTGCACGACCGCAAGCTGCCGCTTAGCGGAGGCGGTAACGGCATGGGCTCTCGTCGGGAAATTGGTGGAGGTGGAAAGTCTCGCATACGTGAGCTTTGATAACGACGTTCGTACAGATCGCGCGAATCTTCAAAACGACGGTCATAGTAGTCATAATCCTGTTAAGGGGAAATGAGAATAAAATTAGTCGTTTCTTAGGAAAATTAAAAGTTTGGAAAAAGTGGTCATACATATATATCAGCATTTACCCTAAAGCCATCCATGATGCGATCACGCAGGAATGGCGGCGGCGGCGGTGGAGGCGGATACGGATCACGACCGTACATGCGATCTCTGTAGCCGCCAGCGCTCAGCGGAGGTGGTGGATCGCGTCCACCCGCACCGCTGCCGTATAGGCGCGGACACTCCTTCGACCAATGACCGGAACGGCCGCAACGATAACACTGCTCCGGATCGCCCATGCCCGGCTTTGGGCGCACTCGACTTGTCGACACCTGCACCTTCAAAGGTTGACCATCGACAACGCGACCGTTCAGTTCCTTAATGGCATCCTGCACATCACCTACACAGTCCAGATGCACAAAGCCATAGTTGCGCACAATGTCGCACTCAACGACGGTGCCGTATTTCTGAAACAATTCGCGCACCTCGGGCGCTCGCGTTTTATCGGTTAGATTTCCAACGAAGATTTTCGTTGTGGGTGTATTGGGCGCGCGTCGACTTTTGGCGGCTTCCACTTTGATGGCGTTATCATTCAAAACATAACCGTTCAAGTTTTGTATGGCTTCGCGACCCTGCTGTTCAGTTTCCATATGAACAAAGCCATAATTTTTCACCACATCGCATTCGACGACAGTACCGTATTTCTCGAAGAGCGGGCGAAGCTCGGTCGCTTGCGTTTTTTCATCGAGATTACCGATGAACAACTTGAACGTGCCGGCTCCGGGCATGACGGCGACGGGATCGGCTGCGGCGGCGTCCACGATTTCAGAGTTGTTGCTTGGTGGGAGTGAGCGTACGCGACGAGGGAGTGCGGGCGTATACAATTACGCGACGATAACGGCGGCAGCGGCAGGTACGAGGGTAACCGCGACCTCGAATTGAAAGAAGAAAGGCAATGCAATTTTTTCATCTTGGTTGGTTGTCAAGTTATCAAGCGAAGCAGAATGAAACAGCTGAAGGTGCCAGCATATAAAAAAGACCTACAATCGCGCTTATCTAATGTTATAGTATTAATAATATCTTATATTCTTCCTTAAACATGCAAATAACGCGTGAAAAGTGCGCATAAAATGTTCTTTCTCACATTATACACACAAAATACAGAATTTCAAGATGGCGACGACGGCGGCGGCTTCTTCGGCAATTACATAGATTTTCACGGCAGCAAATCGAACATACTAACGTTTTCAAACGACTTACCTGTGGAACAACAAACGAAACACCTGCACTGAGGAAACTGTTTAGTTTTATTGTGCACAACTTATATTCTTTATTTATTAACTAATAAAAGCACAGCACACTATTCGCGACAATAGTTTTTCTTCGTATGTATTGTGCTGCCAACTAGTGCTGTGCGAAACATCGATGTAAAATCGATACATCGATGTTTTGCAATTTTTTCCAAACATCGATGTTTTATTTCCGATTTTCGATGTTTTTTACTACTTGTAAAAAAAACGCGGGAAAAGCTAGGTAAGTAAAAGCTAAAATTTGCATTTTTTAATAAAACCCCTAATATAATACAGAACAAATTACTAATATTATAGATGGATATTGGTGTTGGCAGTGCTTGGAAATGGAGAAGTTTTTAAAAGAATCTAATAGCAAAGGTAATTTTTATCTTGCAGCTGCAGTCTTATTTGTGTATGTGTATTTTCATTATTTGTACATATATTAATATGTTGTTCTATGTACTTAGATTGTAATGCAAACTCAACCGAAATGGATAAGGAACCTGAGGAAGGTGGTCCTAATAAACGTGTAAAATATGGAAAGTCTACTGTGTGGAATTTCTTCAATAAGTCTAAGGATGGCAAGTCTGCTAAATGCTTTAAATGTGGTAAAGTGTATCAAACATGTGGCAATACCACCAATTTATCTGCACATTTTAAACGAATGCATCCTACGTTGACAATTGAAGAACTACCAACGACCTCAAGCTCTATTTTGTCGTTTATAGACAAAAAATACGAAGCATTTTATTTACAGATCTCAAATGATAAGTCCCTTAAGGCATGTATATGCAAGTACCTCTGCGTTCCTGCAACGTCCACTGAAAGTGAGCGCATGTTCAGCAAAGCTGGACTTATAGTTAGCGAAAAAAGGAGTTCGCTTAAATCAAAGAATGTAGACATGCTCATTTTTATTAACAAAAATGAGTGGATCTCAAATAATTAGTCATGAATTATATTTTTTATGTTATGCTTTTCATTTTGTTATACTTATATTCTTTCAATTTATGAAAATATTGTTTTGTTGTTTTATCTGAAATTAGTCATTAACTATAATTTTTTATGTTATACTTTCTCTTGTTTTTAGTTTATTATTTGAAGTTATAAAAATATCGTTTGTTTTAAACCCTTTTTTTCCTTTATAAACAGACAAATCAAAACGAAGTGCCCTATGATGTATATTAATTTTTTTTGAAAATTTGTTAGTGGAATTTCGATGCATCGATACATCGATGTTCTTCCTCCAAAAAAATCGAAACATCGATGTTGGCAAACATCGATGTTTCCCCAGCTCTACTGCCAACGTATCACAATTCAAGGTGCCTGCAGACAACTAATTTGTCTATCTGGGCACATTATCAGTGTTGGAAAGCTTACCAGGGATGACAACACAGTCCTACCAGCACTACCGCCTCGGAAGCAGCAGAAAAAAGCGGGATTATAAATTTACAAAAGTTTATGGTGGACTTTTTAAAGTGCGGAACCTGCAAATATGGAAACGCAAACGCCTACAAGAAGTGGGCGGCCTACACGCACGGCCACGCCTCGACTCTCCGAGAGAAAAAAGCAATTGTTCCGCAGCAGAAGTTCTACGAAACATGACATTGAAGAGGATAGCGATGCGGATGATCCGCTTAGGGGGATATCGCCTCTGACGCCAACAAAAAGTGGCGCGAACGAGCACAATAAAAAGAATGCACAAAGCGTCAGCATTGGCTCACGTAAATCGAGCACAATTATTGATGAAGGTCGTAGAAGGTTGCGCAGCAGCACTAGTAGTTCTCCTGAAAACAACAAAGAAAATAAAGTTTCGCTTAAGACACGTGGCGTCGATGGAGCAGCAACAGGAGCGTCAGCAGATCAACTGCCCTCGCTATTTACAACAACGATGCGCATCAATAGTAATAGCAGTAGTGCTAATAACAGTCCACGCACGCCCAAGACTCCAGCCCGCCACATTGTGTCTGATTCGGATGAGAGTGACGATGGGAATGAAAAAATGAAAACAGTACGTCGGTGCACGGCAATTAAACGTAAGCACTCTCCTCGAGTTGTCAATCTAAAAGCGTCGCCAGAATCCGCATCGGGCTCCCCTCAAAGCAAACAAAGCAGACTTCAAAAGCAATGCATACCAACAATGTCGTTCTATTCGAAAGGCGGTGCTGGTTTAACATCACCAGACAGCCCCCGGAGTAGCAGGACGTCCCTGTCAAGCGCTGCAGGGCAGCAGTACCATCAACAGAGTAGCAATAAAGGGAAAGTCATATCACCGACCACACGTCGTAGAGTTGGCATTAACAAGGGCGTGAGACATAAAATACGGAAGCCACCACGTACGGCGCAGACAAAAGCGCTGCCTCCAACAGATGTGGATCTGATTCTAAAGGCCTTGCGAAACGATAAACTGCGGCTACTTATAACCAAAAACCGCGAGGAACGCGCCAAAATTGAAGAGGTGCACGAAATTTTACGCAAAGCTAAAGATCCGATACAAATGGCCAAACCATTAAGCATTATGGCTAGCGATGATGCGAATAATAATAATAATAATATTACCGGCCCCAAGGAGAATTTCGATGCTTGGCAACCAACAACAACAGATTTTTCTGATCTAAGTGATTGCGAAGAGTGTGAAGAAACAGGAGTGCCTGATGCAACTTCCACTACTACATCGGAGCTTATAGAGCCGGTAATACCAATTATCAGGCATGACGCACCTGGTACACGAAAATTCTTTAAATCAGGTCGACGAAGCAGTACCTGCATGGAAGTAAGAATTACGGACAACATAAGGGCAAGTGTAAGCAATGGAAAGATCGCATTGGTAGAGCCCAAGAAAGTTCGACGGGTGCGCGTCAGATCGACAACTCATTTCTCTATGGAGCAGGCTACAGTGGATGCAATATTACGGAATTTGGATGATACAACATTTGGGGACTCGATTCAATCGTCACCAGAGTTCAGTGCACCAACAGTAGCCCATGAACCAGAAGTAGTGATGGACGCAGATCCCTTCGCTAAGTATCGCCAACTTCTTCCTTATAATACAAATGATCCTGCAGTTATTGAACAGCAAGAATTGCTACTCGAGTTTCTTATCAGCAATGACATTTGCACAGATGAGAACTTTAAGATATTCATTGCGGATCCTGACAATCATAAGGATGAAGCTACACGCATTGTTGACGAGCTCTACGTTGTGGTCAATGCCGAACAAATGGCGGAAGAAATGTGTGTAGAGGAGAATGTCCCAGTTAATATAGTCCCAGTTGAACAGCCGGAGTCACACATCGCAGTGACAGCTGTTGAAACCCAACCAAAACTGTTTCCCATTTTCACACAGGAACGTGTTCAGCCGCTTCCCCAAAGGAGCACTAGGCGCAAAGCGCCTGCTTCGATGCAGCTTTCTATTGGCGCTAGCGGGTCCAATCAAATGCAAATTGATGCAGGACAAAAAGCGTTTGGAGCTAAGCAATGTCAGCAATGCGGCCTAGTCTATACGGTGCACGAGCCCGAAGAGGAGCAGCTGCATCGTGAATATCACAATTCGGTGCATGTATTACGCTTCAAAGGCTGGATCGATGAGGATATTGTGGCAGTTTATACTGAGTGGGCGAACGATGGACGCATCATTCGATTGACTGAACAGGCGCCTGCGGTGCGGCTAGAGCGGCTCAACGAATTAATAAAGTTGGTGGACAAAGAGTTGGGTTATGCATCCTACATAGTTCCCAAGACATTTGTAGCTTTTTTCGCCGTTCGTAAGCAGCAAATTGTGGGCATGTGTTTGGTACAGCCTTTAACACAGGCTCATCGTTTCATGCAAATCGATGGCATCGATTACTGCAGTGAAGAGGCTTACGAGGCTAGGTGAGTACATCGCTCTCCCCGCTGTCCTTTTCATATGCATTTAATCTTTCATTTATACTTTTCAGTTGTGGCATTTCCCGCATTTGGGTTTCACCGTTGCAACGGCGCCGCCGGATTGCAACCAAATTATTGCGCGCCGTGCAATTGCATACGATTTTGGGTCGGGAAATTCCCATGAATAGGATAGCGTTCAGCTCACCCACAGATGATGGTCGCATATTTGCGAGGCAAGTGACGCAGTGTGACAATTTTTTAACCTATTGATTCGACGGGGGGGCTATAAATTTGGCTATTGAATAGCTAATGTTTACAACGAAAAATACTTGGGAATGTTATTCAATTTTATTGTTAAGATCAAAGAAAAGAATCGCTTATTATTAAATTTATATTCAATTACATTTAAAGCAGTTCAGAATGACACAGCAAGTTCTCGATCGACTTTTTTGGGGTTGAACTCTGATTGTAGCGTATCTAATCTAATCAGATATGCTGTGGTGGGTGGTGCCAACAAAATTGTAACATTTAGCAATACTTGTGATTTTAAAACAGCTAGTCTGGTAACAGGTTTTAAATTATCCTTGACCAAAAGTCGTTCTTGTTACTTATCTATGATCAATGAACTCCTGTGCTCTTCAGGTTACTTAAATTCAAATTAGCCTAAAAATTCTCATAAGAAAAACTTCAAAAATGTTACCAATAGATTAGTCTAGTAGTTATTCCATCTCATGATCTTTCATTATAGTTATTTCTATATGAAGAGGTTAAAAATACTTCAAACACCTCTCAGAGATGCTGATAATGGAATAGTCGGCTTTGGATAACATGAACTGTGATTTGGGGGTCACAGTGATCAGTGATCTTTGGTACATCACTAGCTTATATCGCACGTATACCTACAATGCTATGATTTAATCTACATAGAAGCGAACTTCAACACTCTCATATAAATACAACGTCACATGCGCATATTGAATTTATTTGAAAGAAGTACACATCATGGAACGTTGGCAAAATCGTGTAGCTGTCGTGACTGGTGGCAGTTCCGGCATTGGTGAGGCCATTGTAGATGAATTGCTTCAGGCAGGACTGGTGGTTGTGGCGCTGGCTCGTCGTGTAGAGCGTCTGGAGAGCCATAAGCGGTCGTTGCCCGAGGAGCAACAGAAACGTCTGCACACGATTGGCACAGACGTTTCCTCCAAAAAATCAGTGGACGATGCTTTTGACTGGGTCGAGGAGAAGCTAGGTGGCATTGATATACTCGTCAATAATGCGGGAACTATGACCCTAGGGAACTTGGTTAGCATGGACATAGAGAAGGTACAAAGCACGGTGCAAGTAAATATAATGGGCGTGGTCTACGCCACACAGCGGGCTTTCAAGTCGATGAAGGAACGAAGCTTTGATGGACATGTGGTGACCATAAATAGCGTTTTGGGCCATCATATAGATAATTTGCCAGGTGTTGCACCCCAATTTAATATATATCCGCCCACAAAGTACGCAGTTACGGCCATGTCAGAGATCTTTCGACAGGAATTTGAGGGCCTAAACACGGGCATAAAAATGACAGTGAGTCATAATTATAGAAGCAGAAAATATTATTGCAATTATAATTTTTACAGAGCGTCAGCCCCGGTCTGACAGATACCGAAATTGTTCCGGATGTGTTTAAGAAACGTGTGAAGAACATTTTGAAGCCTAAAGATGTGGCTGATGTGGTGTTATTTGTAATCTCCACGCCCCCCCATGTGCTTATTCCAGAGGTCAAGGTTCAGCCCGTACGGCCTCTTTAGCTCTAAGACTAAGGTGTCTCCATTAAACAAGCTTTAAACGATTACTTTTATATATCTCATATTAGACATGAGGAATCAGTGAAAACTCCATAATATATCTATGTATATACAATTCTTTATCTTTCGATGGGGTTGATGGTTTCCTCAATAAGCAGTGGCGAACTCCAACGCATCAGGAAGTAAGCCGATCCCGATTTATCGTTTGTGCCGGACAGTCGATTTCCTCCAAAAGGCGTCAGTCCACGTAAATTTCCAGTGCAACGCTCGTTGACATACAAATTGCTGGCGGACATGCGCAGATTGGTCAGACAGTGTGAGATTACTTCGTCCTTGGAAGCGAAAATTGAACCGGACAACGAATACTTTGATTGGTGTGCAGCCAACCTTAAAGCTTCGTTAAGGGAGTCATCAGCGTACACGAAAACCGGCAGGAACGGACCCAAGATTGGCTGACTAAGCAGCTCACTGAGAGGATCGGTAACCACCGCTATGGTGGGTTGGACAAAATAGCCCGTTGTATCATCACAAACTCCGCCACACACAAAATCTAACTTATAAGCATTTATGGAGCGTTCTATAAGCTGCTTTAGTCGCGTAAAAGCCTCCCTGTTGATAACCGGTCCCATTTGGGTTTCAGGCATGGCAGGATCGCCCATTTTCAAGCTCTTGACGGATTCTTGCAGACGTTTCCTTAGCTCTGGCCACATAGATAAAGGCACATAGATGCGCGACAAAGAATTCGCATTTTGTCCCGCAAAAGTGAAGGCAGCCTCCAAAATTGAGGAGCAAACATGCTTCACATTGGCACTGCTATGCACAAAGTGAAAGTTCTTTCCATAGCATTCGGCAACTAGACGTGGGAAGCAGATGAAATTATGCATCTTGTCGCCCACTAGCTTGAAAATATAACGATACTTCTCAGCATCGCCATGATAGTTGAGACCCGAAAAGTGTGTGGCGTCGGTGATGGTGTTGAGGAACAGGCGCTCGTTGGCGGGCACAAAGTTTATGACACCTTTGGGTAAACCGGCACGCTTAAAGGCCTGATAGATGAGATAACTGGCTGGTGCCACCTCCAGGGCAGGATTCCACAGCACCGTATTGCCCATTAGAGCTGGACACAGCGCCAAATTGGCCGACATGGACGCAGACTCAAAGGAGGCCATTGCTGCCACAATCCCATCCATGGGACGCAACTGAAATTTGGGAAACACATTGCTGTCACAATGGATCTCGAAACGTAGCAGCGACAAATGCTCCATATAGTCGGCATTGGAGCGCAACGTCGATATCAGACGTCGTACATCGTTGCTGGCATCCATAAGAGTCCTACCCAGCCCCAGCACAATGTGCGCAATGAGATATGGAGCCTCCAGTTCGATTAGATCTGCCGCCTTACGCCAAATATGCAGACGTTCCGATGCCGGCACGAGGCTCCAAGCACCCTGGGCAGCCAGGGCGGATTTGATGGCGCTCTCTATTTGGCAGCGATTGGCGTAATAGACCCGTGCCAGACACACATTGTGCTCATGCGGATAAGTAACCGTCTGGGTATCGTTGGTGTAGATCTCCTCGGTGTTTACCACGGTGGGGACCTCGAGGGGCTTTCGACGGTAGCGGCACTGACTCAGCACATGACTGGTTACCAAGTTACGTTTCCGCACTCTAGACTCAGACTCCTCGTACGCATCCGTCTGCTGCAGCTGGTCTGCCTTTGGTATGGGAACCATTTCGCTGCTCGCATCAGCTGTGCTTAGATGGCGACAAAGACTCAGGAAGCGACAGCATTGCGCCTGACATGTGGCCGTTATGACGCCCAGCTTATGCATATTAGATTGATGATTGACTTTTAATTTTGAGTGCAATGCGCTAAATTCGTGATTTTGTGTTTCCCTAAAATATTCAGCAATTTTCCCGTGTACATTACTATTTGAATACTAGATTTCTTGGATTAGAATTAGGTGTCAGTTTTTCAAACAGGAAATTTATTACACACAGATGCAGATATAGTACATAGTACAAAGATAAGAATGTGTTTAATAAATTGGCACCCTCAAAAAATCGTAATGCTGCCACCCACAGAAAGAGGAAGTGGGCGATCATACATATTTCGATTTGTGGAAGCTACAATTTATGGAACACACTCTTGATCAGATACAAATGATATGGCCATACAATAAATTGTTGTATGTTGTCCTAAATTAAGTGCGCAAAACAAATTGTAAGTAGGAATGTGGTTCACAATCAATACCGAAACTAGTGACTAACGAACTAAGACTAGGATGCACAATTCTGTGTGTGCAACCTCGTTAGGATAATTTCGAACACATTTAATAGCTAATATGAGTAAGATATGTCTGTAGTATGTACTAAGACGTTACAGCAGCGTCGTTTTTTTTTTTTTTTTTTTTGTTCGTTGTTACGTTATTTTTTGCCCTATCGTCGTATAGGGTGCGTCCAGTCCTCTGCTACCAATCCTTGAGCAGTGTCGTTGTGTAGGTGTGTGTACAATTGTTCCAAAGGTAACGCGTTTCTAAGGTCACTAAAGGTGCTAATCATGCTGAGTATATACGAGTGTGTATGTCGTCATCTGTATATATAACAGTGTTTCACAGGGAATGTTTTGAGGGTACGGGGGCCGGCAGGGGCTCGCGTCTAAGCTATTCGAGTCTTTTGCATTACATTGTGTACATACTAAACAGTCTTACGGATACCGTCGATCCAATGCGGGCTTCACAGTTGCGCCACCAGCCCGGAGGCGGAAATATTGTCTCCGGCACCAGCCGTTTTCTTGGCTACACGACAAACCAACACCGGCGCCACACATATTTCCACCTCAATTCGTTGCAAATCCTCGCCATATTGTATATACTCCTTCCAACAGGGCACGGCATTGGCAGCGCCCATACGCATGCGCGGCGCATGCTTCTGAGCAGAGGTGGCGAAGCTGTCATCTAGAATCTTCAACACTGATTCCGGATTGATCTGTAAAAAATTAATGTTCATTATTTTACAAATCAGTTCAAACGAACAAAATTAGTTAACCTGGTAAGGCCCTGTTCAAAACTGCTCAACACAAAATTTTTTTAATGCCAATTATATAAATGAATGATGCTGGATTATCAATATACTTGCTCTGCGTATGGATAAGAAAATTCATTCAATTCCTCTTGTCATGCTGATTAAAATATAAATGGTCTCTGCCATGCCTCATTTAGACTATATTACTTTATGCCCCGTACTTAAGGTTACAGTTTATAGAAATATCAGTCTTTGGTAAACAGAAGATAAGAAGTACACAACATTCTTGAAATAAGTCACGTTTTAAATACATTTATACTTGTTCTAAAAATAAACCGCTATATATTAGAAAGCCTTTGCACTGTAATGATGAGAGTACACAACAGACTAACAAAATTATCGTCTTAAACTTATATTGTAATGCAGAGGGCTGAGAAAATTCCCTAGAGCCCTATTTCTACACACGCTTTAAAAATTCGTCATCTATCACGAACTTATCTGCATGGGGCGAAATTGCTTTGAAAAGTAGAGGTATAATCTGTTCTGTTCCCTGTGTATCTATGGAATCACACTTATGTTCATACTCACGAATTGCGATTTGCAGACGTAACGATGGGCCGTTAGTGCTGCCTTGGCGGCTGCCGCACGAGTATTCTTCCATTTGGAATCCATTACTCTCAAAATAACTTGATAAGCCAGGGTATGAACGTGAATACGTGATACCAACCGACGCTGAGGATCCGCCTTACGATTTCTGTAAAAGTCCTCGACGAGACTAATAAACACCTGCCTTATTTGGTCAAGAGTGTTGGCTATACGTGGATTCCAGTCTGTTGCTAGCATGGTGCGTCCGTGCTCGAGTACCTGTTGCAGGTTCGCCAGCTCCTGCTCGTTCATACCCAGCGAGTCTACATAGGGCAGCACATATTCTCGCAACTGTTCCAATAGTTTCAGCTCAACATAGCTGGCCATCTCAAAGTGGTGCAATGTGTTGCGGGTCTGTTGAATAAGCTGTGCTCGCACTTGACGTAAACGTGCCTCCCTCACTCCCGGCATGAACTTAAACATGTCCATCATCTGCAAGCCGCTAATCACCAGCAATTGTGGTTGATAGACCTTCAGGGCATCCGTTAGTTGCTCCACTGAACTCAGATGTGGATTATTCCTATCGTTGTGTAAAATGTACCGATTTGCTCGAGGCGCCACATAGGGTCCCCAACCGTCACCGGCCTTGTACTCAAGTATTAGGTGTATATCGTCGTCAGGTATTTCATCTCCGGCTAGTCGTATCTCCTTCGGCAACAGTGGACGCAATCTGCAAGTAATTACTGATTAGCTAAATGTTTATTTTGATTTGCGTACACGGACTTTTTGGACATGTGTGCGCCCAGAAGCACATCTGCGCCTTCCATAAAAAAGCGCACGGCCATCAGCGGCGCATTGCCGCCCATGTACCAGTGTATGTGCTCCTTGTTCATAACCTTGGCATAATCTAGGAGCTGTTTGAATAGAGTGGTATTGGGCATGATGCGTCTGCAAGACAACAAAATTAATCAATTTTGTTCGATATTATTTGTTTTGGTTTGCTTACTCGGCTGCCGCTCCATTCTGAAAATAATAGGCAAACGATTGGAGCAGCTCATCCTCGTTGTTCACATGCTCAAAAGCGTAGTCTGGACGCACCTGCGGCACACGCTCCCTAAAATATGTGCCCAAGAAATCGGTGGCGTTTATTTGCAAATCAGTGCAAGCGCCATATCCAATGGCAACTCTGGGCGCCGGCTCCAAAACTGATCTCTTCAGACTGCTCTCAATGGCCAATAGGCCGGCCAGTAGCACAGTCGTCTTGTTGAGAGCCTGCAGCGAAAGCCATGCCTGCCAGATTATCGATACAAAGGCCGTGAACACCGAGCACGTAGTCAGCCAGCCCATATAACGTAACGCCCTCATTTTGTGGGACAACTAAGGCCTCACTTCCTCTTTTATGTATGCTGTCGTTGTTGACGCCCCAATTGCTCTTTTTTCCTACTTATCTTACTTGATTGCGTTTGTATTATACGTCAATCGCTGGATCTGACCAGAGCTGAGCTGAGCTGCCCACTTGCCATCAAATATTGTCAGATTTGCCGGCAGCTTCAACCCTAGAGATGGGAACCGGCACTTTTCTGACGTTGACATAACGTTGATGGTTTGCGTCATCGCTGCAACGTAGTAGTGGGTGAGAGCCCGTGCTAAGCCTGCTACTTGATATGTCAACGTTGGCGTTAATTCAAAAAATTTTAGACTTGTCTGAGATATACAAACATTAGTATATCCACATATTATTCCGTTGCAGTATCCGAAAAACAACATATTTTACAATGCAATTAGCCTGAATATAAAAAATAGAAGTTTACTGAAGCAGGAAAAAAAGTCGGAAAATGTTGCTGAACTTTTGAATGAAACTTATTTTTAAGAAATTCAAATTATATGATTAATAATAATATTGTATAATATAATTATTAAAAACTGGCTTCAAAAATAACGAAAGCTCTTCATTTTACAAACTACTTGTAAAATAAAAATTGGCAATTATATGTTACCTGTAGTAAATAAATGATAATATTGTTTTATGTAGCTAATTTATTTCAAAACATTTTTACTTCACATTACTAAGTTTTCAAATTCATGATAAGCATTGTACATCGAAGGGATGTGCTTTTAAATCTCAAACCAGCGAACATTAAAAGTGGGCATCTAAAAAAATCTAATTTATTCGTTTGCGTTGTGTGTGTTTTAAAATGATTGAAATAATCCTAAGCTTATTTCCTTTGAATCCGACACCCTCAATTCGCAATCTGGATCATTTACCTGAATTTGTAGTGCGAAAAGTAATCGCCTTAGCGGTCAGCTACTGGAAGTTAAATGCAAGTGCTGTCGTCCTCATAAAAATAATACACGTTTTTGAGAACATTCATCCGACAAGCAATAACGTCAAAGGAACATATATAAATAAATAAAATAAAAATCCAATTAAAGCACACCTCTAACCTATCAGGGGAATTTTTAGTATGACAAGTTTTATATAACTTTATAATTCAGCACTGAAATAGTGTCATAAATGAATTTCAAACTGTTTTATCAGTTGGCAAAGCGTACGAGATTTCGGCTATAAAGTACAAATTAAATGGAAATTAAGTTTAGATGGAGCGAATTACATTATGTGTGGGGAGGGCCAATTAAAAACCAGTATGAATCACGACGCTTTGTTTTAATCTAGACATAATTGTCGTGTAGTTTTTGTTCACCGTTTTCTTGCCACCTACGTCATCACTTTTTAAAGTTTATCTTGATTACAAGCAGCACCAGTAAAGCTGACAAGCCGAAGCCACCTAAAAGTTGTCATGTCGTTGTCGTTTTGCGGTTCCTTAATGTTGCTGTTTTATAACAAGTTGCTGCTTCTTCGCAGTTTCTGTTTCTCTTTAATTGCTTAATTCCGTTACTATTGATACAAGGTTGGCAATTGCTCGGGAACTTATAGGAAGTGTCTCTGTCGAGCTAAGATCGCCCAAATTGGTGTTTTGAAAGGAAAATTCATTCTATAAAAACTTTATGTAAATTAGCATAAAGATAACAATGCTCAGCATAATCTCTATAAAAGTCTACCAAAGGTGAACCATGAAAGTGATCACCGCAAAGCGGTTTATTTTGGCCGATTTATGACAAATTTTAAAAAAAATTGATAAATTAGCATAATAATAACATTGCTTTGCTGGCTTCTGGAAATCTTTAGAAAAGTCTACTGCTGCTGAGCTCTCTTGGATGGAAAATTGCTATTAACGTAGCTGACACGATCTAAAGCAGATCTGGAATTCTAATAGCTGCTGATAGTTTGCTTGGAAAACGATGAGCCCTCATAAGCAGTATCTACCAACATTTATGGAGTGTCATTAACTTCAATAATAGTCGAGTCCCCAGACTTAACTATATACGTACTTATTCAGCAAGTTACATGCCGTGCCGACCTTTCCACGGGTATAAAATTGCGCGTTAGGCATAATATCGCTCAAAATGCGAGACAGAATAAAATAATAAAAATTATAAATGTTTAAAGCTTTAAATATTAGTAATATAAAACCTAATATTTTCAGACAATATGCTAATAAGACACAAAACAAGCTCGCTATCGGATTAAAAGGAATATTTATTCTAAAACGAGCAGAGTCCTCTTCTCTAGGGGAACAATAATTTGTCGTTGACATGCCGTATAAAGCCTTAGTTTTGTTTTTTCTTTCTTTTAAGCATTTGATGTGATAAAATCAGTCTCAGCAATTAGGGGCCATAAAGCGTCTGAGTTGTGCCTTAAGTCTATGCTATTTATAACGAAGCTCCGACAAACAGCTCCACACACTTGCCGGTTTCGTCCCATTTTTTATGGCTATTCTGTGCCTTATCTGACCACCATATTAGCAATCGGCTTGCCATTATACATAATATTTTCTTAATTTAGAATGCTCAAGACGACACATTTCGTATGGCCAGTCATTCTTTTGATCCAACTATCACCAGTTGTCTGGGAATTCTTGCTGGTCATGCTAAACCCGCTAAATGGCCAAGTCAAGTGCGAATTCGTGCTATTTTTACCGCGTCGTAACGAAAGTGAATTTCAGATTCTAGATGGCAGACAACCCCAAGCGACCAACCAGCCGACCAGCCGACCAACAGTCCAACCAGTCTATATACAATATATGCATGAGGTAATGTGTGTGTGTGTGTGTGTCCAAGTTGTTGTTCTTGCTTTTTCGCTTTGCTCGAGTATTGTGTTCTTTTTGCGTTTTTTGTATTCTGCCTTTAGTTGTATATTTTATTCTATGCGTAGCCAGCCGATGACTGCGCTGTCCGTCCATATAAAACAAACATAATCAGAAATTCTAGCAAGCAGTTGATTCTTGACAATTGACAGCGCCGGACAGAGCGCGCAGCATAAGTTTTCAAAAATTATACATTTCGTGATCTGAGTAATTGTGCAATTGTTGTGTGGAGTGTGGCGAGAAAAGTTTCATAATAATTGCAAGATTTACAAACAGAAAAATTCAATTATAAAGTGTTACACAAAAGGTACGAATTTTTGACAATATAAAAAAAGCAGTGGGTGGCGCGTTCGTTTCCTAAGTCTTTTGTTTGACTTGCCAGACACATTTTTAAAGCAGCATATGTAAATCAATCTAGTTTATAGCGATTTAGCACGCTGCCAGCAGTCAGCTGTCAATTTATTTAGCTCAAACGCGTGTTTCCTCTATCTCTGCAACTTCCGCCTGAATTTTGCATACCCGAACGGTTCATTATTATTATTTAAAGATATTTAAAAAGATTTGTTGGTGCTGCTTCTCTTGTCAAATCGTGTCAAATGATGTGCTGAAAGCCATTATTGCGAAATGCGGCCAAAGCGCAAACGAACTGGCACTAAAATTTGTTCTTGAATAATATTCGATGGCATAATTTGCTTGTTTCATTTTAATTGCTTTTCCGTATTTTAAAAATTTTCAATAAGAGTTTTCTAGCCTTTTAAAAATAAACCTTAAAAAACAATAATGAAAAAAATGTAGTAATGAGTAACACGCGTAAACAGCAGCAACAAACTAATTTACATAAAACAATAATAAAGAAAAAAATAACGAGAAATTGGTCTAAGCAGCTGATTTGTTGACTAGCCGGCGCCGAAATTCAAAATCAAAACAAGAAAAGGTGAATAAACTTAGCAAGGCGTCTGTAACGAAGTACTTGTATTTAAGTTATGCGAGATGAGAGAACTGGTTCAGAGACGAGGACGGATGGCATTTAAACAACAAATAAAAAGTGAAACCAATTATGCGAAATGGTACCCCTATCCCAATCCCCCCTTCTCCTCCTTCTTTTCACAGCAAACATGCGGAACTCATCATTGTCGCTGCTTCTACCTCTGCTTCTGTTCGCCGTTAGCTCATTTATTTGTGTGACATCACAGCGCACATCTCTGGACATTGCTCTGCAGAACGTTTACCGTCCTTGGCGTCTATTTGCGTTGGCAGTTACCGGTCGATCCGGTGACGATGCACAGAACGTGCAACGCGTTCGAAATGCCGGCGTATGTTTTAAATAAATGAAATGCGAAACGTAAGCTCTCCTGCTTATTAATTCTCAAAAATGTTTCGTCACAGAAAACCCAAAAGTCCAATCCACGCACCCGTGCTCTTCTAGAATTCTGTGATGCCGAGCACGGTCCTGGCAGAAGGAGTGATGAGCGACCCACCAGCGTTCACCGTCTGCGACCGGGCGATATTGACATCATTGGCGCCCTCGGGGATTCCCTGACGGCGGGTAATGGCATTTTCGCAACCAATCTGCTGCACGTGACCGTCGAGAATCGTGGCGTTGTGTGGTCCATTGGTGGCCAGTATGACTGGCGGAAATATCTGACCTTGCCGAATATTCTAAAGGAGTTCAATCCTAATCTCTATGGCTATGCGGTGAAAGATGGCCTTTCAACAGACCGAACAAGCCGCTTCAATGTCGCCGAATTGGCCGCCATGTCGCGGGACGTGCCCTACATGGCCACAGTGCTGGTGAAGCGCATGCAGCGCGATCCGCACGTGAACATGACCCACGACTGGAAACTTGTAACGCTCTTTATAGGCAACAATGATTTTTGCACCGACATCTGCTTCTATCCACAGCCAGAGAAGACTGTGCTGTGGCACGAGCAAAACATGCTCAAGACCTATCGCTATTTGAGAGACAATGTGCCGCGCCTGATGCTTAATGTTGTTCCCGCACCAAATCTGCGTTTTCTTACCAACCTCACGGGACTTCCCGCCGTATGCTATCATACGTTGCGCTTCGAATGCCCTTGCCTGCTCTCGAAGTCCAAAGAGCACTTGGAATACTACGAAGGCATCATGAAGCGCTGGATAGCCAAAGACTTCGAAATTGCAAATAGAGACGAGTTCAATACGGAGGTAAGCCACATTGCATAGAAATTGTAAATTTTAAGAATAGAATTATATAAGTGTTGAAAAGAAACCGTGCAAGCCAGCTTATTCCAAAAGATCAACGAATATTTTAGAATTTTAAGTTTAATTTTATTTTAAGTGTAGCTTCCTAACAGTGAAATAATTCTTTAAATCGGTGCAGTAGTTTAGGAGCCCATTCAATTCAAATAACAATCAATGCAATCACTCAACAATTCAAAACAATCAAATCTTTCCTCTTTATAATATTAGTATTGAAGAGCTAAACTGTTTGTTAATCTTCAAACAAATGCTATAGCTTTAAAAAAAATTCCACTACCTCCCGAATATCAAATATGGACTCTACTTATTCTTTTCGTAGACCTTCACTATCAACGTGCAGCCGTTTTCACAATTCAATGACTTTCCACGCACACGAACAGGTCAGACGGATACACGTTTCTTCTCGCAGGATTGCTTCCATCTGAGTCAGCGCGGGCACGCCGCAGCAGCCAATTCGATTTGGAACAACATGCTGGAAATGCCGGGTGAGAAGAGCGGCTTCAATCCGCAACTATTCGAAAAGTTCAACTGTCCGACCGAGACACACCCCTATCTGATAACCAGGGAGAACAGTCAAAAGGACTTTGTTGCCTAGACAAAAGAACACAAAGCACCCACTGTGATATGTCGCATAAGTCGTCGTGTACATACCTAATATATATCTGTAGAATTAATTAGCACTTTGAAATACATAGTATGTATATAAAAAAAATTCCGACACTATTCGTTGCTTCGTGTAAATAGGGGGTACAAACAATGCAAAGTAGGCACTCATATGATAATTGATGACTGATCCGCTCCGGCTCCAGTCTGCGATTTCCATACTTGGGACTGGGCCTGAAACTGAGATGCCGATGTCCATATTAATAAGCTTTCGACTTTGATATTTGTGTCAGCGATCTCAATATAGTCCAACCATTCGTCTCTTCTTCCTTGTGGGGGGCAGCTATAAAAATTGTTACAATTGGTGTTTCGAAAGGCACGACACTTCACAATTCGCCAACTCATAATTGTAATTTAATTTCGGGCCGTGCCGCCGCTTCGATGGGTTAAATGCGAAATACGTGTTTAATTTTTTAATAATCAATCGTGCCCGAGCTTCAGACGATTGCCGGTACCGGTTAAGCCAACAGTTTCGCACGCCCAAAGCAAAAGATTCAAAAACAAGCAATTATCACATTTATTTCTGTCACTGATTGCAGGCAAAAAAATAAGAAAAAATTGCAAAGCTTGTATGTCATAAAAACGGTAAATGCAACTCGTTATACGCCGATCGATGGTTATGTAACATGGTCAGTGTCAATGTCAAGGCCAAGCTTTAATTGGCCACAATTTACACGCAGCTTACACTTGCAAGCCGCTCATAATACATACATATGTATGTATGTATGTATGCCATTACAAAGTGAATATTTTGATAAATATATAGTATGTAGGACGCTAATAACAGAAAATAAAACGTTTGTCAAGCTTGTTAAACCAGTCCTGGGCTTTAAAAAAAAACCGAATGCTATTAAAATTCCACTTAGCTTTTACAAAAGATATGTTAATATTTTATATCAGTACTTGATATTTATGAAAATGTTGTTTTGAACGCCTTAAGAAATTCAATAAACAGTTTTTATAATTTGTACTTGTATCACAAAACTGTTGATACAAAGACAAATGTTATAAAAATAAACTTGTAAGGAGAATTTTAATTGCTCTCTCAGAAAGCATTCAGAAATTTGTTCACAATTAATTAATTATTGCGAATAACAATTAAGATAAAGGTTAAAGCAATGTTCCATAGTTTCTGATTATTGTTATTGGAACCCTTCAAAATAGCCATCTACCGACAACTCCAGCTCTTCATTGCTGACAAATATTGGCAATAGCCAAATAAATCTAAAAATCGAATGTTGCTATCCTGTTTTTAGCTCTTAAAAGCATTTAACTTCAATTTTCAACCATAGTGAGTTTTGTCAAAGCAGGTATTACTCCCGAATATAGCAATCGATCCAATATATAAATTACACCTTCACAGATCGCTTTATAATTTTTGTATTCAAATAACTTTGATATTCCCCCATTCTAAAGGTATTCAACAGTCGTCTACGCCTGATTTGGTATTCTCCATTGTATATGTAGACATTGAACTTGAGTGGCTAGAACAAGTCAGAGCCGTTGATGCATTCTCTGTTGTCAGCAAATATTTGCCCACATTTGTTCTACGTTGTGCATCAACAGTTTTTATGTATCCACGCGTCGACTGTCTGGCTATCTGAGTAGACAGTTTTAAGTGCCGCCTTCCATCCACGCATGGCCAGCAAGTTTCGCCTAGACGATGGTTGAACTTGACCCGAGTCGCACGCATTTCAAGTGCTTCTCAGCCACTCTTAGCGCTCAAAGTTTAAAATTGGCAGCGCTATTGATACGAGTTAAGATATAAGGTTGTTGCGTTGTGGGACAACGAAAGACGCGCATGAGTTGTGGATCCATTGAACTCTTGTTGTACGGTGGCTCAAACAGATTATTCCACAAGGCATTTGACACTGCAGGGGTAGGAATTTTATAGTTATACTCAAAACGGATATTCGACTTACCCATAGCATGGCCTCGCTGACTCAAATGAAAGCAATCGTAGGAGAGAAAACGCAAGTCAGTTCGGCCATTCGCAAGCTCTATAAACTCATCAAATGTGGTAAAGTTGTGGTAGTTAATGGTGAAGGTCTGTGTGTAAAACAAAGTTAATATTTTAAAATATAATGGTAAAAGAATATACAAATGTATTGGGGAGCAAATAGAAAGCAAAAAGGTCCTTTAAGTTGATCTATTTTTTTCCACTTAAAAATGTCAAGATCTTACTTTCTGGAACGTTTTAACAGCGGTGCATTGACGTAGCAAAAAAATAACGTCCTGGACCGCTGTTACAGAACCTTCCCGTCCTGAATAAATTGTCTAACTTAAAGAAAAACCTTCTATTTCTCCACCCAATACACAAGTACAGACCTCTGTGTTGAACTCAGCACGATTCACAATCTCTTTATCCTTTGCCTGCCATTGCTTTATAATGGGTGACAGCTTAGGCAGGCGGCGCTTTGCGGCCAGGCCATATAGGCAAGGACATTCGAAGGGTAAAAGGATGCGGGAACAAATCCTAGGCAGTCGCTTCATACGCATAAGGAACGTCAAGTCCGGAGGCTGTATCACATTAAGGATCAGACGAGGCACATTGTCCCGTAAGTACCGATATGTCTGCAGCATGTTAAGCTCATGTCGAGCCACTGTCTCTGCAGGACGGTCGTTCAAGCACAGATCCAAGCAGAAATCATTGTTGCCTATCAATAGGGTTACCATTTTCCAGTCACGCTCCATATTCACATGCGGATCCCGCTGTAGGCGCTTCACCAGAACTCTTGCCATGTAGGGCATGTCCCGTGACATAGCAGCCGGCTCAGCGACATTGAAACGCGATGTCCGATCCGAGGCCAAGCCATCAGTTAAGGCATAGCCATATAGTCTGGGATTAAACTCCTTTAGTATATTCGGCAGAGTCAAATACTGCTTCCAATTGCCATGCCCGCCTATTGCAAAAGACACTCCTCGATTCTCCACGGTCAATTGGTTCGCATTGCTGGCATAAATTCCATTTCCCGCTGTGAGGGAGTCGCCGAGTGCTCCTATGATGTCAACGTCACCGGGTCGCAGACGATGCACAGAGCTGGGTGGCGTGACGCTGCGACTTCCGGGTCCCTTAAGAGCATCGCAAAAGGACTGCCCATCCTTCAGCACCTCTTCATTTTGGGTGCGCTACAAAGCAATAGGACGACATTATGATACGATCAGAAATTTCTTATTTCTCGCACATACTTCCAATGCTTTGAGGTTTTTCAAATTTCCCTGCTGTTCGCCAGTGCGGCCAAAAAGAGCCAGACCCAGAAGACGTACAGGTCGGTACATATTTCCAAAAACTTGATCCAATTCTGTACGCTGTGCATGCGCGGGATGCGAACATTTTAAACACAAAAACGCTGCTATAATTAATAGGCGAACAAACATTTTTAGCCTCGGCTATCTTTAAATTAATGCTACGCGTGGAGGCGCGCGATTAACTAAAACTTTGTCAGTGCTCGGCACTTTATATATATTCGTACGCTGCACTATTAATTGAAAACACATTGCCTTGGCGATCCTGTCAAGCCAGTTAGCAACAATTAGCTGTAAGATTCTAGCACTTCTAGTTAGTCAATGAAAACAGCCGCTGTTGCATTTTAAAGGCAATTACAGAAAACACACACTTGATATGCGACTTTATACATAATAGTTATTTAGCTAAACACATAACTAATATTACACAGAGATATGCATAGTAAGAAACTAAAGCTAGCTGAATGAACATTCGTTGGATTTGATTCGAGTAAGTTGGTGTGAGCTTATAAGTAATACGTTAAGGCACTTTGTTTAGTAAACTTAGTGTACAAATTTGGCATTAAAGAAATTCGTTTGTCCTTCCACTACTGCCTGCATGAGTGCGAAACGGTTATGTAGTTAAAATATCGCTTGATTTCCACTGCAGATGTTCAAGCAGACATTCAATGTTCGATTACAAGTAAAGAGTGAGATTAATCGTCAATGTCATATTTAAGCTACTTAGATCTGTCGGAGAGAGTTCTATATTTCATGCTGTGAGCCGTTACCTTCACACTGAATTGCTACACTCAAGTGAAACACTCATGCAGAACTCGAACTTATAGTTCTTGATGATTTTTGGCAATGCTGCCAGCTACATTAGGCAAAGAATTGCTGCTGCTTTCTCTCAATTGCAGCTCTTTTTCCAAAATGTTTTCATCGTTGGCAAATATTTGTTCGCGATCGCTTTTTAATCGCGCCCCACCGACCACACTTTCCGCTGCCGCAGTCACTTCTACAGAGTCCTCAGTGTCCGAAATGTAGCCTGTCTCTCCGGTATAGTGTGTAGGATAAAGCAGCAGAGGTGCAGCACTGAAGGCAATTAAATTGCGGTCCTTAAATGCGCTGCTCCAGGTTTGATTCGGATGACGATCGAACATGACTGGAAGAAATTCATCAACAGGTATAAGCTTTTCAAGTGGCTTAGCCGCAAGAAGCTTGCGGGCGCCTTGAAGCGAGATGACATATCCAAGCGTCCAATACGAATAGCCGGCATGCACGAGGTTGTCTGCTCTGTCAACTCTTGCCTCGTTTTCCTTCAGACGTTTCCGACCGAAATAGCTAATATAACAAACAAAATTGTTACTGAAAATGTCAGTCTTCTGTTATAGACGCATCTTTCTCTTACATAAGGTCGTACTCGACCACACTTCTGGCCTGTTCTAAAACACGCACGGCATTCGATCTGAGGTAGGGCTCAAAACGTATGTCATCCTCTAAAATGAGGACTTCCTTTTGTTCCAACTCCACAATTTTCTGCCAGATCTTATAGTGACTCAAAAAGCAACCAATCTCGCCCATTGTCATGGCACGATGATGATAGGGATCCTCATAGCCTGGCAAGATTGTGATACCCATATCTTTGACAATGTCTGCGTTGAGTGCTCTAGAAAGAGAATGTAATTTGAATAGGGTTCGACACATTTACACGAATATTATTTTACGCACTTGCCATCCACTGCTGAAAAGTGTTCCACGTCTAGTGCCAACTCTGCGAAGAGATTTTCCATTTTCTGTCTTCGCTCCGGCCGTCGCTCCAAATTGATCATATAAATATGGTCCAACGTTAACTTTGTTCTAATTAAGAGGTAGTGTGAATGGCTTGGCAGATCTTATACAAATTGCTACTCACTTCTCTGGTTTATAGAGATAGGGCTGTAAATAATCCAACACTGGCGGCACAGCACCAAGGTCATGTACCATGTTCGCCTTTATATTGACGATTTGCTGAATATCCTGATCGATCGTGTCGCTCGTCTCTAGAGGCTGTAGCACATAGCCAAAGGGAATCTGATTCGAAACAAACAATGGTATGCCCGAACTGTTGGCTGAGATGGCAAATACGATGATGTCGTCCACTGGGCCATTATATGGCCGTACGTGCTTTTGCTCTGCTTGGGACCATTCGCTGTGATATTTTTGCATTTCCATTAATTTTTTCCGATCGAATGTCAAATACCGAGCGCCTTTATAATTCATGTCCACCAATACAGCGGTGTGTACCATAGGTACTTCGAACACACCCTCCTTCTTCACATAATATATCTCTTTATATTCATCAGTGCGCTGATAATAATAATCCGATGTCATGCCGCACCAGAAATTCGAATAAAGACCCTCCGAGAGCAGCATCGGTGCTACAATGGGCAACCGCAAGCTGGTAAGCGATTTGAGTGCCTGTGGAGCTGTGAGTAAAACATCCACGTCTAAGAACTAATGGAGAACACTTATGAATGGAGGCAAATATTTACGATTAAATACAATACTTACGAATATAAAGTCGGCCCAAATAGATTGTGCATACGCCATAGCTTGCTCCTTAAGTTCAATAACATGTTTGAACCGCGAGACGGGCCAATCGTTGGGTGAGCTTTCGTTACGGTACGAACTGGTGACGTTGTCGAGATCATAGTTCACACTGTGGTATAGATCAGACGAGTGCTCAAGCCACTGTTGCAGCACCTCAATGCTGTTATCGGTGCTATGATCGCAGCGCAACCTAATGGCGGATAAAATGAACATTATAAATCTTAGAAACATTTCTAGTTCATTCTGCTTACCATAAGGAAATGCGTTCTTTTGGATAGTCCAACTTCTCTAAATAGCTTAGAAAATATGGCAATACATGACCCTTATTGCGCACCAGTACCGTAATGAGGACTGTAGGCGGTTGATAGTCCAGGTCCGCAGGCAGCTTCGACCGGGGATCGTCTTCATAGCCCTGTACTGTCAGAGAGCCAGTGCTCAGTGCACAAATTAAAAGCAAAACCACAATTACGCGCATGTCCACGTCATGTCACAACTACCGCCGATTATTACTAATTACATTTCATTTCGTCTCTCGAAGGCGCCTCACGCATAAGTCTACGCACCGATATTCCTATCTGCGGCGGAAGCGGCTGCTGCTGCTGGCGATGCTGGAGAATGTCTGATCTATTTATAAACTTTGAGAGCGGCGCAATGATCGGCGTTGTCGATTATTCGTAGAGTATTTGGCGGGAAGTATTTGAACTTTGGGTCTTGTAATAAAACAACGTTATTTTAATTGCATTTAATTTACATTTTACAAGATACAAGCATATGCATACATGAAGCTTCAATTTACAGACTTTTGCAACATTTTAACTGCACTGCTTAGCCAGCAATCCAACGGATATTAGATTGCATCGTCTTAATACATGTGTATGTACATTATATACATATATACACACATACATACATATGTACATGCATTTGCAAAATGGGTTGACTTTGTAAAGTTTAATGCAATTGGAATACTCCTTAGTTGTTTGTGCTAATATTCCATCGCACAATTTAAATCTAAAAACCCCAACTTACTTGAAGTCCCTATATACATAAGTATTGCACCAACATATGTATATTAAAGAATTTACTAATCGGCCTTTGATAAGAAATCTTCACCCTAAAAACAATTGCCATTGCCGGCAAACGAAACTGGGAAGAGTGCCTTATCAGCTGTTTTAGGGTCACAGCTTGCAGCCCTGGACAGTGATACCAATTTATCGCTATCGGTACTTTGAACAAGAAATTGAGCAGCAAAACAAAGTAAATTTAAAACATGAGCTAATCAAAAATTAATAAATTATTGCATAAACTTATACATTTAACGAATATTTAACGTTATTTACGCAACATGGGGCTTCGCGTAGCTGGGAAAATTAAGTTTCAGTCCCTCCTTGGCCTCAAAGAACGTGTAAGACAGCGTAATTGTGTCACAAAATTCCAACGCGGGGTCTTTTACGTATTCTGGGTCGATGTAGAAGAATACCGGCATGTCCACTTCCTCGTGTGGATTTAGCTGTTGCTCCTCGAAACAGAAGCACTGTATTTTATTAAAATATGCGCCTGCCTCAAATGGTATCACATTGTATGTGCTGATGCCAATGACTGGCTTGTCCGTAGGATTCTTGGCCGTATAGAAAGCCAAGGCAGTTTCCCCTGGAGCCACTTTTAGTTCGTATTGCTGTGGCTTAAAGTTCCACCGCATCGAAGAGCCGATGTCAGCATTAAATCGGATCTTTAGTATCCGATCATTTACCTTTACCATGTGCTCCACTTTCTCCGAATCATGTCCCTCGGAAGTGGTGCCACCATAGCTGTACGCCTACAAAAAAAATTGTTTTTTTATTGACACAGGCATGGATTATAGTAACTCACCTGGCAAAATATAGTGTACAAGGGAACCGCTGCATAACTTAGACCCACAATGAATATTCCACCAGCAGTGACGTAATACAATGTGGACCTTAAACGGAGCTTTCGGGCCGCTTCAGCACCGGGATCCGGTCGGTGGCCACCAAAAGTAGATTTCGTGCGAACACGAGCTGTTGACTGTTGTAAAAGTTGTCGCTGTGGGAGTGTCCGTCTGATCAGATGTGCGCACTGGCCACACACATTTGCAAAACGACTCAGCATCACAAACTTATAATTAATTGACTAATAAATGAATTTGCAAAAAGCAAAATTGTTTGTATAATCTCTCAATTGTGCCATATAAAAACTCAGCTGATATGACCAGTGTGTCCATTGTTTATTGGCAAGTATTCTCTGTGCGAAAATATACTCGATACCCGATATACTCGAGCCGAGCATTTCAAAAGCCTAGCAGAAGTATTAAAAATATAAACATGTTAAAACGTATATTTATGCTGTTGTTCGAAATGATCTATTTCTCTTATTAAAAACTATCCACTTAAAACGTATATTTATGGGAAGTTATTTGAAATGTACGATTTCTCTTATTTAAAACTATAAGTATGTCACCAATGTTTTGCTGCATTGCATATGCCAAAAGTATTTAGGTTGCCATTCAACAAAAGTAAAGCATTGCACCAAAATCCCAAATAACATTGAACGTCGAATTTTAGTAGGGCGGTCATATTTTTGTGCTACTTCAGCATACCCACTATACAAGATGAGTAGTTCTTGAAATTTTCTGCTTACCATGCTGATATTTATGGCACCCAACTTTATAAAATGCCGACACCATAACATACAGCTGTACATTTACGAAAAATCCGTCAGCTAAAAAGTACTGCAATGAGACACCACAAGCTTCGAGTAACCGCAATGGTTTTACTGTTGGGTAAGGTTTTTAACTCTTCAATGCCTGTTGATAAGTTAAAGTAATATCTGAAATATTTTGTTTAGTGTGCCGTGCCTGCACTGCGCATCCCACAGGCAATGATATAGATGACAGCAATTATCAAGGCACAGGCGGAGGCAACAGACCCGTCGACTACCACACTGTCGTTGGACATTTTAAAGATTTCTTCATGTACCTGCCCGTTATGATGACAACTTTAAAAGAGACGATGTCTGGATTTCCCAAATTCGCTGAAGGCATTCGGATTCTGGCATCAGGAAAAGGACGAGTCGACGGCGAAGATTGCAAGTGCAGTAAAAACAGCATTGCTGCAAGCAATGAGGTCGAAAACAGCAGCCGTTACGGTTGAGCTACACCACCGGTTTTAGTTTAGTGTATATATTGTAAATATAAGTTCAACAGACTTCAAAGACAGAAAGAAAGTGTATTATTATTATTACATTAGTTATGTGCTTGCAAAACTATACCTTAAATAAGTCTCAGGATAAATAAAGCACTAATATTCCAAAAATTAAGGGAGTTATGATAAGACATTAAGAGTGGTATTACTTGGATATAAGTTGAAATAATTAAAATATAGGGGTTTGTAGATCCACGTATCACAAAATATAAAAACCCTTACAATCTGTACTAAGTACGTGTCGCCCACGCAGAAATACGCATATACAATCAATTTCGAAAACGCACATAACATTAACTACCAATTTCACGAACTGAACCTCTTTATTTCAATGTATTAATTAGTTGGGCCGAAATCCCGGCGGTACTGCAATACCGGGCCAACCCGCGACAGAGGTGGAGCAAGCTCCTAGCACTCCGTCTATTTCCAAAAATCAGTTTAACATTTGTTGTCCTCCGATGGAGGATCTATCAGATGTTAAGCTGATAAGAACAGATACTACACTTTGATCTTAGCCATAAGGCCGAGAAGCGATAACTCTACACAACAAAATGTAATTCAGACCACCACAAATGTGTTTGAACCGGTTGTGAATTATAAGATATTTGTTGTGAAAATTTGCTACAGTAACAATATTTAATGCTGTCAAAGTGGTTAACTGACTTGTTTTGTTCCTGTTAAGGGAGGATTGTGCAATTTCGAGTTCCCTTGAGTAACTTAATTATCTTGCTGTTTCGCATAAAGCTTATGAGTATTTTGTGTGTTCTTTTTTCATACATTTATAAATACGAAGTATAAATACGAAGTATAAATACAAACAGTAAAATTACTTCGTTGATAAAATAAAGAACGACGTTGGAAGAGCTGTGGTGGTTGCAAGAAAATGAGCGATACGTCATGCGCATTGGCGACTGAGTAAGCAGCAGTGTGTGCGTTGTGTATACATTTTTCAACTTTTGCGCGCTCGAATTCACAACCGGTGCGTACGACTTGAGATTGGGAAGCAATCGCTTTTCTCTGTTGAAGTTACTCTGGCTTCTCTTCAGTTGTCGAATAAATCTTTCGCCTTTTACTAAAGATTTCCGTGGAGAGGAGCACTCTAATGAGTCTAAAATAATTTTTGTCTATGCCTGGCCGAAAGGTTGGGCAATTAATAATACATTTAAATTTGGGAGCAGTTCTTAATTGGTTGACGTTGCAAATTACTAAGTATCCGAAGCTTTTGGTTTTCCATGGCACACTCGAATTCTATTGTAAAAGACTGATTTGCTTAAAATTACTTTTTGTCCGAATAGGATTCAGCTTGTTGAAAAGACTGGGATGAATTTGTGCTACGATCCAAAATATTAAATATGCCTACTATTATTAGGCATCTACATTTGTAAAGGAATTAATGTATGTACATATATCAATCCAATTGGGTTGCAAATTCTTTGAAATATGTAAAGAGCCTTTTAACGAAATAAAATATAACAGGCCAAGAACTATTTGGGAAGTTCAGTAAATATTATAAATACATAAGTACTCGTAAATATACGTGTGACTATACCAATAACATGCTCACCTGAACTTCTAGATATGTATGCATGTTATGAATTTTGCAGAGTTTCACACAAATTTAACATGTAATATGTTGTCAGCCCAAAATCAAACATATAATATATTTCCAGCACATTACAATAGTCTTAAAATTTTAGCTCAGCTTCAAATTATGTCGTAAAATCGTTTGACATGGAGTCCGCCGGCCCGCCACCTGTTTCCAACCCATCTTTTGAGCCAAGCAAGCCACCAGTAGCGCCTAAGCCACTAAAGGAACCGACCAGAAAGCAGCTTCGCCGACAGGAGAAGCGCAAGCAGCGGCTTCTGGATACCCAACATGTTCTTTATGCCAAGCACTTTTCCAATTACCGCCTGCCTGTTGTCCAGTCACAAAAACGACTTACTCTTCAGGAGTCGACTATAACGCCGGAAGTCACTGAACGTCGTCCACCGATCTTTAAGCAGAAAAGCAACAAATCACCCTGGGCCAGATTTCGAATGGTGCAGTGCCCTTGCCACAAATGTTCACACATGCTGGACGCTCAGAGTTGGCTATCCCACTATCTGGAGGTGCATCGCCACATTCCCTTCGTGGAGCTAAAACAACCTCTTTCGCAGCATCCTCTGCGAACCACTTGCAATGTGGCACATCTGATTCGAGATGCACCTGCACTACTAGGCGTGTTTGGCTATCAGCGTGAGGGCTTAAATCCCCAAACCTGTGCACGCAACACCTTCCTTCCAAATGAGTATCGTCAATATTCGCAGCATGGCGTCCTTCTCCTCTTTGCCTGTCGCACTATGAACGCTCTACCGGGATGCAGCAAGCAGGCGAGGGAGGTGCTGGTCTTGTGGGTTGCCACGTCACTGCAGGGTGTTTCCATATCACTTCGCGGCCTGGTGCAGGTGGCTAACTCCTCACGGTATTATGCGAAGCGCTTCAAGGCCCGACCACTGCAAGCGGAGACGCAGACCTGCCGCGATCTCATAAAAAACGATAGCAACTGCATGCTCATCAGCTTAGAGGATTTGGCGAACATGGTGAATGTGGGCCGGCAGGGACAGGAATTTAGCATTCAGGTGCACATAACGAGCGAGAAAAAGCAATAGATTGGTCAAATAAAGTTCACATATGTATAAATACTTTTATTAGTAATTTACTTTTGCATTTAATCAATGATTGGAAAAAGCTTGTACACCTAATATGGATTCACACTAATTATGTTAAGCAAATTTTGCAGATAGCTTTCGAGGGGTCAACGAAAGATCTGGTGGACAATAACAAACAATAAGAACTTATAATACAGAGATTTTAAAATGCAATCCAAATAGGGAGCTTTTGAAGATTTGAAGAATTTCACTGTTAATCTGTTATCTGTACATTCGAAACTCAATCTCTAGCATTAGCTGTTCCAAAATATATATAGTTACGTATAATTTGTAGACAAATTAAAATTTTAACCGGTCTTTACCAGCCTGGACCGCATCATCCATCCATCCATTCATCATCACTTGGATTCGTATAAGCCTTATATGGTATATCATAAAAGTTACTGAGTTGTTCACTCTACACTTACAACATAGTAAAATTTACAAATTTTGCGCTTACATACATAAAATTTAAACTTTAAATACTGGTATACATACATACATATATATATATAGGTAGATATAACTGTAAATAATAAGCATGCAGTTACCTGTGCGGTCCGCAGCTTTTTTAAATTGTACTAACGCTTGCGGATTCAATTCCGCAACTACTTTGGGATTGCTTAATATGTAAAACAAAACAAAAATCGAAAAAGATCGTGCTTGGTACAGAAATTGAGAAAAACAACAAACGATGAACTCAACTAAACGCCTAATTTTTCTAAACTGTGTGTGGCTGCGTGTTTTGTTAACTATTGAGGCAGCTAGCCCGCCTTCTGTGTAAGCTTTTGACGCTGCAGTGCCTCGAATGCTTCAATCTCCTTCTTCTCTTTGGCCTGGTTGCGACGCTCGTACTCGAGCCGATGTGAAATGATGCGCTCCACAATCCGCTCCGTGGTCATATTGTTGCCGGAGTCGAGAAGTGTAAATATGCCGCGTGTCTTTGGCACGGCATAAGGATCAATTTTCCCATTTTCCATCGCAATGGGCGTGCTGCCATGGCAGACTACGTCAATTTTGAAGTGCTCCAGCAGCTCTTCGGTAACGCAATAGGGTGCCCCGATAACCACCTCGTTGACAAACTGTGAAAAGTAACATTAGTATTTGGAGATATCAGGGATTATCAGATGTGTGGAACTCACCTTGCAAGCTAGCACGCTAAGGACACGCTCATGCAGATTCATAATTGGATAGTTGCTGCCTTTGTAGGAGTTGACCACAGGATCTGTGTGGAGACCCACAATCAGATAATCGCCCAGCTCATGGGCTTTCTCTAAAAAGTCTAGGTGTCCCACATGGAAGAGATCAAAGGCGCCAGCCACATAGACCTAAAAAAGAGAAGAAAATCTTGTTTTTTCGAACTGCGTCTGAAGATCGTCAGATGCTCACTCACAATTTTATCGCCCGGATTTGGTGATTTGCCATCACTGAATTGTATAATCTTTTGTGTGGTGGGCAAAAACTGACTACATCCGGTCCAGGGGCTCTTCGCTGTCGAGTCTTGACCCATATTCGATGAACCTGAGTGGAATTTTATTTGTTGTAATTTTAAAAGTTTAGCTGTTTTTAATCAATTTTCGATATAGACATATAAGCGTTACATTTATAGAGCGAGCGTAATTTACAGGAAAATTTTGATTTTCGGTTTTTGATTTGATCACGACAGGCGCACGGGTTTTTGATTCGATATCGGTATTTATTTTGACATTTGGCAATTTTTGCATTATTCATTCATTTGACATTTGGTTTTTGATTTGATTTTTTTTTTTTTTTGTTAGTGGTAAACAGTGCGTACATAGAAATAAAAAGAAGAGAAATAGTAAAGGTGTAGAGCAACATAAATCAAAAGGTTAATTCGTTGTATTAACGTTCAAAGGCTATGACTAGCAACAGAAAGGAAACTCAAATTAAATACTAAGCGTGCGTGGCCTAAGGATTCTACAATGCGGTTATAAAATACTTTGCAGAAAGCAAAAATTTATTTTTGAAATTTTTTGTTATACTTAGAACTTGTCGGTTCGTGTTATTGCGCAGCATGCAGGGCAGAAAAAAGTATGGAAAAATAAAGTAAAAAAGGTGTATAGGTGATAAGTGAAATTAAGTTTGAAAATCGGTTAGTAAATGAAAATTTGAATACCAATGTTGCACAAAATATGACCTGTGCAGGGGCCGTGAATACCAATAGTAAAATATTAATAATAATAAACAAATGAAACTTAAGTTATAGTACCAAGGTAATGTAACAAGTAATGGATACCTTCTTTCTCGATATCGTATTCGGCGGAGCCTTGACGGAAATGATTGCGTGTGAGCAGCAACATACGACCCACGAGGTCAGTGGTAGAGACGCCAGCGGTGCGACGAACTTCCCTGCGGATTAGAGGAGGTGTAAAAAGTTAGTAAACACGTCAGTGGCATGAGGCACACAACATCTGGCAGTTTGACAGCGCATAAAAAAATGGCTTATAAGCCCGCAACTAAAGAAATTTGAGATTGAATGTTTCAGGCTGGCGTGATGGGAGAGCTGCGCGCGTGACAAAAACTACAATCAGCAAATATTAACAAAGCAAATGTTTAGCAGTTTCACTTGTTATTTTTTGAAGGTACATATAACCCAATAGTCTTTAAGTGATTGGCACAGTTTCTAAATTTAGTTTCACCCACTTTCATTTTTTGTCAGTGATAATACTTTTTGCTGTTTATAACTAAAATAACTATATTGTTCTAATCGCCGACCCGATGCTTTCTGTGGTGTATGTAGTTTGAAGAATTTTAAAATTTTTGTGAATTTTAGGAAATGGTGCATATATACAAATCGCACGATAATGTTGGCAGCCGTAATGTTCATAAAATTCACGGCCTTTTTTTGACTTTTTCGATCACGCCCGAATTCACGCACAGCTCTAGATGGCGTGTGGTATTCAGAGAAACGGAATAGCTAATAGCTCTTTCAAAGGTCAAGGGTTTTCGCTGAATTATTGCCAAGGAACGGCCAGTGTTGACTTTCACAATGATAATACTTACTTGTAGCGATTGGCCGACTTGACCAGATGATATGTGTCTAAGCCCTCAGCGGTCATGGTTATGTCATCTGCAGAATTTGAATTATAATCAGATCACGTGTAATTCAATTTACTGGACTAACTTACCGCCATGTACACAAAAATCACAGTTATTTTGATCCAACACTTCCAGTGTGGTCACGTATGGCGCACCCAGAACCACCTCGTCTACCCATTTGATGCCCTTGACCATCTTGACGCGCTCCTCCTCAGTGAACACTGGCGGTCCTTTGTGTTTGGTGATCTCTTCGTCGGTGTGTATGCCAACGATTACCTTATCGCCAAGAGCCTTGGCTTGTCTCAGTGAATTGGCATGACCGAAGTGGACCATATCATAGCTGAAAGTTGAACATGAACAGTAATTAGTTCTATTGTTTGTACAAATCCCTCTCTCAGTATATTTTTAACAATTTCCGTTAAACACTGTTGCTTGATTCGCTTATCAACAAAACAAAAGAAAAGTGGACGGAAATGTTTTTATCATTCAAACATTTTATGTTTTGTTATTTATTATTTCTGGTTTGTTATTTTTATCTGCTCTCTTAAATTAACATGCAAGTTTTTAGCGCGTGCAAAATGTTAAAAAGATTGGTTTTCTCAAGAGCTTCTGACTGGCTGGTATTCTCAAGGTTCCCCACACTCTGGCTATATACAATATATAGAAATACACACATTTGTTGGGTGAATGTATTTATAATTTTTTAATTTGTGCACATTTTATTTCAATTGGCATTCTGACGACGTATGTAAACAATGGGGTCCATACACCTGGTCTAAAATTAACTCAAATAATTAAAACTGACGATATTTTGCCAGCCAACAAGTTAATCACCCATACGTCATAAAGCTTCAAAATAAAAATGAGATCATTTAAAATTAAGATCCGTTACTTGTATGTGTGCAGCTCCATTCCAATCAAACTATCATCTTCTTCAAGTAATTACAAATATCATTTGTCCAAGCAACGCTATTTAGAAATTGAGTAATTAGTCTTTAACTTGAATCTTTAAATGAAGTTCATTCTCAAAAATGATCAGTACTTTTTTTACATTTTCAATTAAACTATTACTGTAGTATTCACGCTATTAAAAAGATTTTAAGTCTGTTCTACAAATGGTTAAAGTTATTCCAAATCTTTTTTGTTTACAAATAGTTGGTATCTGCCGAATTAATTTCCTTATTAAATCAGAACTTGATTTCTATTTTTCAAGCTTATGTGTGTATTTTAAAAGCGGCAATTCCAAGTGCAATGTCAAGCGAGCTGGGCTTAAAAATTGCATATCATTTTTGCAATTGAATCGAATGCGCTGAGCGCAAAGAAATAACAAAATACAATGTACAATGTCATTTACATAATGTAACATTGAACAGTCGAGAGAGGCAACAACAAATGGGTCAACAGTTTAATGTCTGGAAAAGACATTTATGACGCCGATCATCGCGAGACGCGACGACTAGACTACCCCAACCGGCTTGCTCTACTTGTTGGCAGCACAGACAACGCTTAAAAGCGGCTTTCAAATTGTACGTTTATTGCCCAAGTTTGTACTTTGGACGCGATCATCAGGTGGTTGCTACATAGTCGATGATTGCTGTCTGCCATCTAGCAATTTTATTCCGTGTGTGTGTATGCTATGGCTATATGGTGTTATTGTTTATAGACCCCACAACGGTTCTAACTCTACACGTGCCCGCTTTGGCATTCTGGCTTTTGGCTTTCTATCTTTTGTTTTTCATGCGTTGTGAGACGTGACTTGACGCTTAAATTGCTTTCAAAAAGTCTCGCTGCCATTTGCTAAACCGATTCGAGGTGCGTTCTCGAAAATTTTCTTCCATAGCCATACCCACAGCGTAACCGCCACACTTGAGATCTGTTGATGAAACGAATTTACTCAATTTATCGTGGGTGGTGGTGTCAGATGAATCATTAATTCCAAATAATAATAATAAAATAAAATAATAACAAATAATAATAATTTTTAATTTTCTATAATTTAAGCCATTCATCACTTCTGTTCGATTTATTTAAATATAGTGAGATAAAAAAAAGCACTTTGTCAAAATTAAATTTGTATTTATATGTAAAATTCGTTTTCTATTCTGAATTTATTCCTAGACATTATATATTAAACTCAATTTTAAACAGATAGTTGCATTTAAAATTAAATATTTTAGTCATACAATTGAAAGGAAAATAACAATATTAATACGTTTTTATAAATATTCTAGTTTTATTATTGGTATATTTCTTTATTTGACTATAAAATGCGTTTTCTACATTCTACAACAACTATTTGCATTTTAATTAAGTCATTTAAAAACGTATTTAATGCTTAATTCAATTCAAACCAATTTCGTAGACCTTTTAGAATTCTAATTTGCTTAATTTATTATTAGGCATTAGTAGGCTAAGAAAAGTGTAACGTAGCAGTTAATCATTAAATCAGCTCTTTTTAAAGACTCTGACTAAACTAAAAGCGATTAGTTTTCCACTTTTCGTTTGGGCGATTCTTTGATGACAGTATCATTTAATAAGGCTTAATAAGGAAAACTGTGTATGTTAAGTAAAGTTGTATCTATTGATACAATTAATCTGTGATGGCTTTAATGTTATTAACGATAAGAATTATACCGTCATATCGAACACGCAGTTGGCCAATCGATCGGTAAACTTCCACTCGTCGTACAGTGGCAATTAGCAATGGCCCACATATACATACGTACTTACATACATACATATATATATATTAATGGAGAAGAGCTTTTAATAGGTTATATAATGTACACAAATCGTAAACAGCTGCCATATCACTCCCACACCTACTCTATATAAACAAGGTTGACGATTTACCTTGACCATAAAACAAAATATCATCAAATGGTTTTTGTCTTGATAAAGAAACAACGTGAAAAGTATACGCAATAACTGCGACGTCACAGAAGAGAAGAATAATCGGACAGAAGAATGAAATATTATAAAAATAATGGCGAATTACTTCTTGTATATATATTTTTATTTTCAGGTGGGACGGCCGGCCTAACAACGTCCACCTACTTCGCTTGCGGGCTAATCGCGTGAAGCAGACATTGCCATTCATTAAGAGAATGCGAAAAACCTTTGCTCCCGGAGATCTTGCACAGAAATCTGTGCCGCAATAGGGTGGAGACAATCGCACTAAATGGGACAATGAGCATATAGCTGGGGGCTCTAGCTGCCCTGGACCGGGACTTTAATCAATTGAATGAGTGACGGCGACAACAACGACGGCGTCGTCGACCAGCGTGTGTTGTTGATTAAAAAATATCACGCGATTCTGAGTAGAATTTGCGCTCTCGCGATAGTGGCCAGTACAAAAAAAAAACCACCACGAATTGTTACTATAGGCGGTGCCAGGGGTATACTTTGTAATTAGGAATGTACTCGTTTCGAACACAAATTGCCATTACACTAGTCAGCCATTGCATTCCCATTTGTTTGATATCTCACACACTCTCGTCTAGGGTTCATTGACTGACTGGGCCGGGCTCAGATTGGCCGTCGTAGTGGCAACATTGGGGACAGCGATTTCGGCGTTTGCGTCAATGATCTACAATGATCTACACCTACTGATAGGCGCAGAGCAGGGTTAATAGACATGCTCGACAAAAATAAAGCGCTTGTTTATAATTAAATTTAGCACACACATGTGTACACATTTATGTACATATTTATGTATTAGGCAATTAGGCAATGGCTATATGGGAAGCAGCTGACTGGTGTGCTGTTGAATGAATCTGCGAATTGTTTTCCACGCTGCCTTATCATCAGCTGATTTCGGGCTTGACCCATTGACAAATCATTCCGAACGGGGACGGAAACGTGCGGATTATTGGTAGAAATAACATTTATAGCATGATATTCATCAGCACCCGGAAACAAAGGCATTTACGATTTATTAATGAGTACCACATTATATTAGATTATAAGTAAAATTTGACCTCCAATATAATTATCCAGCTCAGTAAGTAAAAACAGAGTGTTTTCTACTTATGTACAGTAAATTGTAAATGATTTTATAAGATATCGTAGCTTGTTTCGTTTATTTGAGCCGAAGCCCAGAAGCTAGTGCTCTAAGCTTGAAATAGGTTGCAGAGAAACTTGGGGTTGTATATATTCAAATGTATATGATTAAAAATATGTGTGTTGAGAATTCCTACCTACTTACTACCCACCATACTCGTAAACTCCTATACATATGTGTACTTTATTCAAATTAAACTATTTATATATGTTGCAATTTCAGTATAGCATTTACATATGTACATGTATATAATAGCTGCGAATCAACTTTATAAGGTGATGGTGCCTCATGACCTGTAGTGAAATGCTAAGTGTCCACTACATACACATACACTCTTATATACATTTATACATATGTACATACGTATGTCCAAAGTGCATGACAGACCATGAAAGAATGTCAAACAATGACGCAGCGGATGCAATGCCAACTCAATTGTACATACATATGTACCAATGCCAATGGTCCATCCACACACAAACATATATGGATATGTATACATACATATGTAAGAAGGCCTCGGTCGCCGGCTGGGCGTGGGACGGGGCATGCGCAAAAGCAAAACAAGAAAATCACGTGATGTTGGGCAGATGACAGCCGGTTACCTCAATAGCCACGAAAATGCGGCAAGCACACCAAACGTGCTGCACAAACGAAGAGAAAGGTGAATAGAGAAGTAAACTGAAAGCAAGAGCCTCAGCTCCACCGTGGTTCGAGTTGCTGTGATGTACACACTGAAAGTCGTATGATGACTTGTATACTTGCATACAAAGGTCTCCTCTCATCAGTACAGGAAATAGACGAGATATTTTTGGCATATATGTATGTACATGCATATATAAATATCTATTTTTTACTTTTGTACATACATGCATGTATACAAGTATAAATACATATATGTACATACATGGTTTGGGCAACCAGACGAGGAAAGCAAATTCTATGTTGATTGATAAAGCAAGAAAAACTAGTTATTGTATGCGTTCCATTAGGCGGGCGTTTAATTGATAAAAAGCAATTGGTGCCCATTTACAAAAACAAAAAACAAAAAAAGTAACCGGTCGGGCGGGAACTGGTCGGTAGGTTTAAAACGGAATGATGCAAAAATATATACGATAAAATAGTAATTATCATCATTTCAATAGCTGGCTGCACATGGCAATTATTCGACGCTGACCAAAGTAAACAAACTACGTCACAGAAAACTAAGTAGAATTGGCATGCGCAATCAAATATTTATATGGCAGACTATAAATTAAATCGCTTCCCCAGACAGCAATTTAAATACATATTTGGGAGATCAAACAAATTTAGCTGTGTGGCTGACCTTGAACCTGAAATATGCACAGCCACAGAGAGCAAGAATTGCACACTCTCGTGCATGAGGGATAAGATTAACCCAAATCACAAAATTGTTTTCATCGGTCTAAAACACTATGAAAATTTCTTATGAAATGAATCGATTTTAATTGAAATTTCACTTGCTTTAACACACTGTGGCCCCTTGTGTGACGCAATTAACAGTAATACGCGGAAAACTGCGCTATTTTCAATGTCATAAAACAGAAACAAAAATATATACATATGTACATGAATACAAATATTTTTAACTAATTCACACTCACCAGCCATCGCACCACACACGCACATCCTTACGTGGCTGTGTACCGTTGCATTTGTTGTAGGTTGCGGTATCACTATCGCCGTTGCAAGTACCGTTTACAGGCTTGTCACTCATTATTGAATTTTCTTTTGGCTGTTGCAATCACTCACTATATATATAGAAAACTTTAAACAATTGCTACGAGCATTCGCTGGCAGTTAGAGACGAAATCCACGAATACTGCATATACGTATATAAAGATTGTTTGTAGATATTATAGGCAAATGAAAGACGAGCTAGTAACGATGTGCTCACTTCGAGCGCTGTGTGTATTTTGTTCTGAGCTATGACTGCCGTAAATAAATTTATTTCAAAAGCTACTCTGTTTGTTTGCTTATCAGCGCAGCCCGTGTGTGTATTATGTAGCACTCTCGACACTTTTCTTTTTTGAATAGCGTGATACTATAAGAATGAGCAATCGAGTCTCCAGCTGATTGCGCGTCTGTGCGCTAGAGTGACCCTATTTTGAAGGGTGGAATATTATTTCGGTATATTCCATAATTCCATAACTTCTATTACTGACCTAACTGCTGATTCTACCAAGTTTAACAATGAATTTGGCTCAAACGAAATAATAAAACACCGACAAAATGATATATTGACACTGAAAAAAAGATTATGCACTTAAAATTAAATACCAATTCAGCAGTATCGATACCCGATCTTCTTCTTATCATAACGACAAGTGCGGCGATTTGTTGCTCCCAAATAAATGAAGAATTAATAGTAGTTTCTAAATACAGGCTTGGAAAATCATGTCATATACAGATTCGGTACCGTTCAGTAAAAAACTAAAAAAAGCATATTCCTATTTAAATTTTACGTGCTAAATTCAAAAGCATATCAATTTGTTTTTCGCGTTTTTATTTTTCTGCCGTGAGTTAGGGATCGAATAGTGTGTGTGGACGGTAAAAGCGGTTCTTCGTATATAAGTCCCATATGAGCCCAAGATTCCAATAGTACGTGGTCATGTCGAAGTGGTCCTCAACTCTGAAGGCCTACGCTGCGGCTGAAGAGCGTTTGCTCGATGTCTTCTCTCCTCCTGCCGACGCGCAAGATATCGGTGTCTCAGTGGCCCAATGCTCCGCCAGTATGGATGCGGAGATGGCTGCTACAACCGCAAAACAAACTCTAGAGGCCGCACAATCACTTGAGGTACAATCTGAGCATCTGCTGGACCCTGCTGTAGATTGCGTGCTGCAAATTATTACAGATAATAACGACATACAAAGTCTGATATCGAGTGCAGACGGCGATGAGTTCAAGGGTTTTGACGACCATTGGCCCGACGGGACCCAGAGGCCTAGCGAAAACGATATTGCTGGACAGCTTATATTTGGTCTGTGCCGCAGCCAGTTGCATCGTACCGCTCGTCGCAGCGAGGATGAGACGTCAACGCCAACGCCCAAGAGTTCCACATGCGATGGCTTCTTGGATTGCACACCGCCAAAGAAGACGCGACTTAGCACCGAGGAAGTAATAAACATTGAAGGTACGTATATTTGTAAACGATTATTATAAAAGAGTAACGTTTGAGTTTTGTAGATTCCCAACATGCTTCTGCATCCATTAACTTCCTAGAAGTAGTGGCCTCCCAAACGTCGTCCTTTATGGCAAACACACCTGCAGCTTGCAGCTATGACGCTTTAGGATCTATACTCATGAATGGCGACGACACTCATATTGGGGAGAATATTGACATTGTGGAGCGCTCGGACGATATGGAGATGCAAGAAGTGATTGAGTCTCCGTCGGATCAACCACCACCACAATGCGTCATCTACGATGGGATTGGAGGAGGTGCAGGAAATGTCGTTCTGCTAACAAACGAGCAGTGCTGCGAGATTATTGTTTCAAGTCATGGTGTTTCCCAGGATCAGGGCTTGGCGCGTGCCTTTCTCATTGCCAGTAACGGAGCGAACACCCTCCTAGAATTACTGCCAGAGCAGGTGACCCCACAGCATCTAAATGGCGCCTTTATAACAGAGGTTCCCGAGGAGGAGTCGAATGTAGACGCGCATAACGTTTACCTCAGCGACGCGGCACTGGAGCAGCAGGACCAACAGCTTTATGTGGTAAGTGAAGAACCACTGGAACATGATGAGGAGGCTGTGGTAGAAGAAGAAATCGAACCTCGTCTTGTGTGCTACGACGGCGAGTCCGACGACGACCCGAACAATGAAAATAACACTTTTGTGGACGACACTCCATTAGAAGAAGATCGGCCAGATATTTGCCCTGTCTATGAGGATGAGCTCGAGGACCATGATGATGAGTGCGATGAGAATACTGAGGAGGAGGAGGATATTTTAGAGCAGGAGTTACTTCAGATTGCCAAAGAGCGTGCGGAAGAGGAGCTACGGCAACAGCAGCAGCAACAACAAGAACAAGATGAGCATCACATTATGGTTGATGTACAAGAGACCATAACCATCGGCAGCGATATAGAGTCACATGAAATAGTGCCACCCAAGGAGCAGTCAGCATCGATCGAAAAACAGACGCCGCTACCCGAGCGAAAGCCACTGTCACCGAAACAACAAGAAAGAGATGACTTGGAAGCCCATACAGCACAACCCGAAACGCCGCCACACCCTCAACTGTTTCCACAGCCAACAATTCTGTTCCAGCCTCAAACGTTGTCACAGTCCCAACCGCTGGCACAGTTTCAACCAGCCACACAACCACTAACCATTAGCGATCATGATCATAGCAGTACTACAGAGTTTCCAGTTAGTTCATCATCGATGCCAAATGGCAGCGACTGTGATGACTACGACGATGAGCTGGCCGATGATCAGCTTTCGCCAAGTGCAGCTTTGCCGCCTACAACTCGGCGGTATCCATTGCTAAAGAACACACTTTCCGCTGAGGCGATGGATCGGAAATTGGCAAACATCTGTCAGACGCAGCCACAGATGAGCCTCAGCGAGAAAATGGAAAATTGGGATTTCTCGGTGGAATGCGAAGCTGTCGAAGATGTGGAGAATTTTGATACGACATTTGAGAATCATGAAGTACAGCTACGGACTAATAATGAGAGCGCTGGCTCAAAAAAAAAGAAAAACTTCAAAGATTTTTGCGAAACGCTTTCGAAAAATCTGCTCAAGATCACTGAGGATCTTTTGCAAGCAGCCGGTGATGTGTCAGCGATTCAGAAAGATGAACCCGAAGCCGACAGTATGTCTCGCTTAGAGATGTCAGCCAGGCGGATCCTGAATCGCCGACAAAGTGAGATGGCGGATCACGCACGTATCAGTGAACTGACATTAACCAAGAACAAGCTAGTATGCCAGAGCTATAAGCGGCTGCTTGATGGCATGCACAATTCGGAAGAGAGCAATCCAGTTGCGGCTAAGGAGAATGTTAGGCATGAAACCATTGTGCTGGATGACGACGATGGTATAATTGAGGAAGTAGTCGGAGAAGACGAACAAAACTGTAAGGAAATATCGGAAAAGGTGTGCGAGCTAAAGGAGGCTGGTTCCAGTGCTACATTAGTGCCGCAGGAGGACATGAAGTGCACACAATTGTTGGAGAAGGAAGAACAAGTCTTTACAACTTCGTACACGCAGACACAAACGTCGCCGGTGGTGGAACAGCCATTGGTGGCGGAAACTGTTGCGCCATTAACAAGCGAGTGTAAGGAGACGTCAACTACAGATCTAGAGCATTGCATGCCTCCTCCGCCGCCAGCACAGTTGACTCCCAATGCTTCCAAGTCGGCGCCAACAACCACATTGGGTCGACACTTTGCCGACGTTGTGCTAGACGTGATGCGTGCTCAGTCACCAAAGCACCGAACTGGTAAGTAAATTATATAAAAAGCTAATAAAGGCTAATTAATGAATACATTTATTATCATTAGTTTCCCAAGCTGCTTCACCTAAACCTAACGATAGCAACGAATGTGCAAATGTTCAGGATGCCCTTTTCTACGAGCAGCACGAATTCTGCAATTATCTAGGCCTCACCGAACTAGCAACCGCCAATGCCGTGGCCACAGCAATGCGTGAGCTCGCTAACTGCACTGTGGCTCGTCGTTCCTTGCGTGTTCGCACCCAACAGCAGCTCGATCGGATGCGGAACGACGTTCGCGGACGCAGGCGCGAAAGACGTCAGAAGGCTATGGCTGCAGCCCCGCCAACAACCAGCAGTGAGCGTAGTACTAGTGCTACAACCGACAAGGATGAAACAACTCCTCCGAAATTTCGACGAACCAGTGAGCCAACATCTCCTAAGCTGGACGCAGTCAATGATCCTTATGTGCATATGCAGAGCATTGGGGAACCCTGCAAGTCATCCTCTCGTGAAATGTTTGAATATTATTACCGCGCACAAGGCGACGGTGCTGATCCCAATTCTAAATCATCGTCCACAAGCCTGGCGCATAATCAGACGTTAGAACAAGCCTTTGCTCAGGTGTACGCTGCTGCCGCGCCCGCAGAGAGTCAGTTGCACGAGAGCATGCAAAATCGCCTGAAACAGGCACGCGAGACGAAGCCATCCATTTATATAGTTCAGGCCATGAGTCATGCAGCTACGAAACCAACACCGGCCGTAACCCCACGGCCCTCGCTGGAGGATCGCGTGGGTGAGCAAAAGCACGGCACCGTCATAACGCCGCAATCGTCCCCTTCGCCGACCCGTCGCTCTACTGAGCCGCCCAGGCAGACGGCAATGCAATCTCAAAGCAGTCCCAGTCCAAAGCGTAAGAAGGCCGGAGGAGCTGCTGCCAACAAACATGGAGCGCGACGAAGTACCAATGCAGCCGATAGCTCGGCTCACAAATCACGCAAAGCACAGACGCATGTCTACGTGCGTGACCTGGTCACGCGCTCGACCACCCATTTAAATTCCAAAATGCTCCGAAACCGACGAATCAATCTTTTGAAGAGTTACACGCTGTCCGATGCCAGGACACCAGGCCGACTGAGTGGTGGGTCAGCGGCTATTCACCGCACGCGCACACCAAAGGCTGTTAAAGCGACACTGAAAAAGGCGGTGGACAAAGCACCCACCACACTAAATACCACACAACTGAATTCCCAGCTTGCGCCCATGCAGCGTGAAGTGCGTCAAGTTATTTTCGATAACAATGAATTACTGGAGATTAACAATCCACCAGAGCAACATCGTCTGCAACAGCAGCAGGAAATAGCGCCCAGCAAGAAGACGTCGGTGCGCTCGAAAGCTACCAAGCAGACTAGTCCGGGCAAGGGAGGTGCCGCTACGGCAGCAAGGGCGCAATTACGCCAAGACGCCAAGAATAAACTGAAAACGGTGAAGCCGGTGCGAGCCAAATCATTGCCGGCACCGTTGACGAACACTCAGGAGAAGAAAGCGGCTGACATGCCTCTACCCATGCCTGAGGCGCTGGTCGCCACGGCTGCCGCCACGCCCAAAGAAACTACCCAGCTATCCAAGCGGCAATTGGATTTGATACGAATGGCTACAGAAACGCAAGATTTTATCACTAAACAAACGATGGTGCGGCCACCAATTCAAACGGCAGCCTCACGGCGATTCCTGAACAACTTGCGTAAGATAGCCGAACAGCATTTACCTATCCTTGAGAACAATGCTGGTGGTCCACCTTATGAGAATGTACCCAAGCCTGCTCTCACATATCCAGCTGCAGTGGTTGTACCCTCGCCACCACGCACTCATTTCTCGCACCGACGCGAGAGCGCAGGAACCGCGATGATGGAGGATCGCCTGCCCGATATCAAACAGACGCCGCCGGGCGGCTTAATGCGGCTGACCTCGGGCTCACCCATGCTCCGCAATCCTCTGGCGGGAAAGCACGGCAAGGTCTTGTATATGTACTATGAACTCGATCAGCTTATAGTACTGCAGGAGAAGATTATCACGTTTTGGAAGTACAGCAAGATCTACAACCTGGTGCGTAAAGAGACGACAGATGCCAACGATACTGCTACCCAACGACGAGCATACAATGCCTACATGAGCGATTCGGAGCGGTCCTTTGGCGCTACTGACCAGCAACAATGGGTCCATCTGGGTCGGGTGCGACGCATAACCAATGGTAGGTATAATAACATATATATTTTGAGGATATTACCCTAAGAGTCGGGAACGTGAAACTACCAAAATTAATTTTAAGACATACAAAAGAAAAAAAAGGCCTATACTACGTTGGTGAATTGTGACGTTAGTTAGGGACCACACGTTTTGATCTCCTAAAAAGCTTGTACGTTGATTAGACCAACATTGCTATCATAAATGAAAGGACGTTTTACAATTACTGATGCACAATCCAACCCAAACAAAAATCTGTGTGAATCATACGCGCTGCTCTTATATAGATGTATATACACTTATTTTGTTTTTTCTTTTTCCTCACCAACCAAATATGTTTTGATATTTGCAGATGTTGAGATTACGGCACCATTTGCGAATCGTTTGTGTGTGCACAACTCCACACCCGTTTACGTTGAGATGCGTAGTCATGCGCTGGACCATAATAAACGGGAACGCGTGCTTCTGTCCTTGTATGTCAATGTCTACTTTTATTGTGAAGAGGAGCTACGTCCCAAAATCCATTCGGTGCATTTGGACGCTGTAAACTGGTGAGTGAAGGGCCGTCTATTTTAAATTCTAGTCAACTAACTGTGGTGCTATCTCTCTCTAATGCGGTCTGCAGTGAGCCGGGCTGTGTCCTGTATACGACCATAACAGAGTCGCGCTACTTTATTATGGCTTGGCAGCAAGAACAGTCGATGGGCAAACCACGTTCCGGACTCTGCAAGTACTCGCTCACACCCACACTGGACACGTTGGCCAGTATCCGCGAATTCAAGCAGCTGCGCTACGAACTGAAATACATTGAGTGCTTGACGGAGGATCGCTTTATTGGGTATGGCTTGTCGCAGGTGGCCATTTGGGATCATCGCAGCGGTGACATGCTCATGAACTATGACTTCGGCTTCGAGTTGGGTCGAAATTTGGGCGCCATGTATTATCCTACGTTCGATATCGATATGAGCAGCATGCTGATACTTTTTCAGCACCTCAAGGAACCGGACAAACAGTCGGAGCTGCGTGTTATTGCGTGCGAGATGTCGCATGCGACACCAACTCATCGGATATTGCACGTGCATCGACTGCCCTCCCCAGATTTTGATTATCAGATATCGGCCATCAACACGGGCGATCATTTGATACTCAAAGGGCACTCTGAAGGCGAAATTTGGATAAGTGCCGCCGATCCGAGAGAGCTCACCTATGTGGCGCCTCAAGGAACTCAGCGATTCTATGCCCGCAATAAATCGCAAGTCATCGAGGTTTCCCCACACAGCCTGATGGTGGACAGTATAGCTAATCATATGTTAAAAATGGCCACTCACCAGCAGTTTTCGTCGATGCCTGTGCAGGGAGTGTAAGGAATTCCTTGGACACTTACCAAAAATATAACTCCACTAATATGTTGTTGTTTCCCCAATTTTATTTTGTATAACATAGTTTTACATACCAATGCAAGCATAAATGCTCTCAAATACACACATATGTATGTACTTGTACACACTTGTAAAGCGTACGCAACACAATTCACTAACTAATTCGCGAAGAATCGGAATTGGCAACAGAAAAAAAGTTGAAAAAGCTATTATATTAAGTTATCAAAAAGAAAATTACATAGTTCAAATACAAATATAAAAATGAATTCAATATATCAATACATCAATCCAATCCAGTTTTAAGAGTTGTATATCGTTGTTTATTAGCAAACACACCGAGCATTGTAATATGTATATGATTATTCTAAGACGTTTGCAAACGCATGAAGTCACGCCTAATTAGCCTATTAGCTTTAGTATCTAAGGATTACTTAAGTGATTATGTTGTTCTTTTTTCATTTTAAATTATTTTTCTAAAAGAAAAACAAAACTGTTTACATAAATGTAGTCTAGGACTAAATACAATTCAGACTTACATTAATATGTATGTATATGATTTTTAACATGAGTGCACTTTATGAGACCTACATAAAGCGTGTCATATTTAGACTATTTAAACAATTCGAAAGTTGAATACAAAAGAAATACAACGTCAAATTGGAGTTTAGTAACATTTTGTTTATTTTTATACCCATATCGGAAAGCAGTTACAGAGTAGGAGGTAGTACATATCAATCATATTTGGTCATCAATGTGCTAACAACTGATCATTGCATTCAAGTTTTAAAATCGACGCATCTACATATGTAAAAGCTATTAATATGCTTAGCAATATTTTTGAAATTGGTAAGTATTGTTCGTATTACAGAAGAGTGGCGCTAATCTAAGTAATACTTCCGATTACACATAAACAATCCCGCTGTGAAATACCTTTCTATATTAGATATGTAAACACGTATGTATATACATATGTACTTGTATGTATATACTTAACTGCACCGCAACCAGTTGTATATTCTTATCTCTAAGATAGTGCTATAGCTTTGGTGAGAAGACAATATTACAACAGGCAGATCAACTGATTTTTATGGTTGTATTTTCCAGACAAAATATTGTATAACATTGTTATTTCTCCCTACAGGCTATATTGATAGGCATCAACAGCTTTCATTTTATAATATATGCCCATAACAATTTTGTATGGCATACTGGAGGATCTTGTCATATTCTTCTAAACCCAAATTCTTGAGTCACAAAGATATCATTGACTTCGGTTCACTATCCTGTCAACCCAGTTTCCAATAACCATTTATCAACTTCCATCACAACTGCCTCCATTTGTACAAGTTGCGTACTTCCGCTATTTTTGTGTTCCATCAAACCTTCAGTGGGTAGGTTTAAATGTATACAAGTATAGATTTTACATAAATACATGTGTCAATGGAGAAACAAACATGTAAGGTAAGGGATATCTACTTTAATTTAATGTATTAATTAGTTGGGCCGAAATCCCGGCGGTACTGCAATACCGGGCCAACCCGCGACAGAGGTGGAGCAAGCTCCTAGCACTCCGTCTATTTCCAAAAATCAGTTTAACATTTGTTGTCCTCCGATGGAGGATCTATCAGATGTTAAGCTGATAAGAACAGATACTACACTTTGATCTTAGCCATAAGGCCGAGAAGCGATAACCTTTCGCATCAAAATTCTGTTGCCACGACCACAAACTTACTACAACCGGTTGCGAATTACAAGCAAATTGTGTAAAAAATACCTCAAAATATGCTATGAACATTAAAATGAGTTCAAAAACGTATGGATACAAAACCAAACTTAATATTTGAATAGAAGATAATAATAAAAAATAACAAACATTTTTAAATTGTAATATTGAATATATTATCAACTGCTGGAGTTGGTATTGTTGCTTGAATTTAGATTATCGATAATGACCACAAAGCCCGAGTTCAATTTCACTCATCTCTGAGTGAGTAGTATCGTTTCAACTCGTTTATAAGCTAGGCTTTTGGGCGTTGTTTTCGGTGCCTTAAATATATAAGAAATATTCTCAAAATTGAATAAAAATTGTATAAAATTGAGACTGTTCCTATTTGCATTCGCAGTGGCTACGAATTGCGCGCAAATGGTAATTGATTGAATTAAAACGGAGTTGTCTGTGTTTGTGTTGCAAGCACAACTTGTGGAGTGGCATCGGCAGAAAGCAAATACGCCAACGCCACACCCAAACTAAAATAACAAGTGCTGTTTGGGGGTAGCAAGCAACGTGCGTGTGTTGTCAGCGTTTATTACTCACTTTTTCGGATGCATTTTCGTTGCAGCGAATAAAGCGTCGTGTGCAACGACAACAGCAGCAAGTGGGTAATAACCCAGGAGGCCATTGACCGCGTTTCTAAACGGAACCGGAGTTTTGTATACCACACCCAGTCAAAGAAGAAGCCAAGCGTCGTGGGACTATGTCCACAATCGAAGAAGAGCGTAGCGCGTACGAAAGGAATCCATATTTTACTGGGCACATCTACGGAAATTTCTCACCGTTCTATGTGACAATTGCCATTTGCACCGTTGTACTGGGCTCGATAATAATATTGAATATTATCTTGGGTTGCTGCTCCAAGTATCGCAAGTACTGGCAGGACAGGCATACAGGCAATCGCTGGTTAGTTTCGATCTGGTCTGCCACGCCACACAAGCAACCACCATTGGATTTCACTGAATTGAAGGACGGGTCGTATTTTCAAAGCCTCCACGTGAGTTACAACATCGGGATTTTTTGTAATGTCTATTTAAACAACTGATATTTTAAATTTCTTTACCATATATTAGCCGACCACACATCAGCAAGTGTTCCCTGAGGAAGTGATAGTGGGTGAATTGGAGCCCGTGCATCAGCAGCATCATCATCAGCAACGTCCACCGCGTCCAGAAGGTCGTACTTTACATCAACAACGTCAACGTGAGGAATACGTTGAATTGCAGAAGCGCGAGAGTGACATTTAAGCCAAATAGTTTGCCCACTCGACGCCTGAACAGCTATGGCTCTTTACATTTTATATCCAGCTGTGGCTGCTTTGGCGCTCTTCATTGTCGGTGTCATCATCGTCATGCTCCGCTATGGGCCACGTTTGTGTGGCCTACGTCATCATGCATTACCCGACAACTATGATTTGCGGGAAAAGACCTACGAGCATGAAATCAGTTATGCATGATTCGATTCGCCATCGTTTTTTATCTCCATATTCTTATACACTCCGGCAATGCAAGAATTTGCCTTTTATACACAAGCATTACTAACCATAGCATAATAAGGTATGCTGACCATTTAAAACTAATCCATTGTATTCAGTACGCACAGTCCCAAATATTTTTGCATGCAGTACAAATTAATTTAACTTTTTGTTTACAATCAGTCCTCATATCATATATTAAAACCAATGTAATCGTGCCTTAAATATAGTGTCGAATCTCAATGAATGAAAATTATTCCGTCCAAATGTCTTCTAGATCCGTAAGCTCCTTTTGTCATACATAACATATCATATAAAGCAGCATTAAATGTAATAGTTTTGGCTTATATATTTTTTGAAATGTATGTAAAAATATTTGTATTTTTATACAATAAACTCAATTTTGTCCAATAACAGTCAATTTCGTTTAATTACATAATGGCGAAAATTTCGAATTTCATGCCAAAAACAACTTTACGTATTTTCTATTTAACCCCTTTTCAGAAATTCCAAAAATCTTGATTTTACCTTTAATTGACATATTATAATATGCATTTATTTAAATAATAATATAAGCCAAGGCTTTGAGTTTTATAGATTGAGTGGTTAAATTCATTCGCATGCTGAAATTTAGATAACCCTCTGTATGATATAAAAATAAAATAAAGATAAATATTTTTTTTTTTTGCAAGACAATCATGGCATTTCCTGATGATACTATGTTTAGGTTTATATTATAACAAAAACAAAAAAACCTACTCGAATGTACCAGAATGTAGAAAGCTCTCACGATTTAAACGCATTTTTTCAGTAGCAATGCAAATACTGGATAATAACTGATACTTCCTTTCAACAGTCAACAAATCCGATATACCCGGTCCACGACAGAAATCGTATGGATTCATTGAAGTGAACCGTATGGTGCTTACTAGCTTTTTAATATATTCTTTTTTCTTTTGTTGCTCTCGTTTGTTTTTATGCTCTTGTTCAGCATTATCCACTTCCTTAGCATCGTTTTCTACATCGTTTTCGTTTTCATCTGTTTTGTCTTTTAAAAATTCTTCAGTTTCTTCAGTCGGCACAATTATGTTTGCGGACGCCATTGTTTCTGGTGATTGTGGTTTTACTTTTAAGTGAGCAGTATCTGAATCGTCGTTCTTAATCAGGATCTTCAAAGGGGCTTTGATGAGGCCCTGGATTCGGCAATAGCGATCAATGACCGCAAAACGTAATTTTTCCTCAACCAGTAATTCGAATTCGCTTATGAATTTCAAGAATATTTCTGATCCCAGCTCGTAAACCGCAGCTGTGTCGATATACATAGTGGGATTGTTGCACAAATGCTGTAAGAAAATAACATGAGAAAGTAAAATATTGATCGCTTACTTTCTATAATAAATGGAACTCGTACCGTTTTCACACCTGCAATAAGATCAATATCTTCGATTTGATGAGCATATTCGTAAAGATCAACTGTAGTATCAGAATCCAAGCCGATCGCCAATCGGCGTTTGATCACGTTCAGGCAGTTGGTGGTCATTGTAGAAACCATGAACTTCTTGCTTAAGTAGATCAGCGTTTGTAATGTAGAAAGCTCGAATCCGTCTAGCCGACGATTATCGTGCCAGTATAAATATTCTATGAATTTTTTAAAGTCAAGGCCAGACACATCGTCCAGGACAATATTATCCGGACTCTTTGATTCCTCAAAATCACCGTCAAACATGCGTTCAAACACCGGTGATGCAGTCATCAAGACAAATTTGTGGCACTTTAGCACTATTTTGTTGCCTTCCTCATCAAATACCATAAAGCTGCAATCCGACAAGTGACCGGAGTTCAGTAAATATTCCATGCGCTCGCGGGGTCTTTAAGCCGAAAGGGAAAATACAAACATACGTAATTATCCCAATGTTAAAACACAATTTTCATTAAGATATGTTACCGAAGATCCTGCCAGTTAGCATTTGTATTTTCCATTTTTAAAATTAAGATCGCGTCTATTGCGTTCCTTTTAAGCAATGCGCAAGATCCAAGCTAGAGTAGACAAAGCCAAGCAGGAAAGCCAAATTAGCTTAAAAGAGTGTTGTAAAATGAAATCCTAAGCCACAGCGCGCGTTGTAATAATTAACAAAATTCATATATTTTTATTCGCATTCACTTCAAATAAGTAAAAGGTATACAAAATTGGAAAATCTTTCAATTGTCAAGTCAAATTAGACGACACACCTCTTTGCAAAATTAAATTAAACAGCTGATCGATTGCCTATTGAAGCGAAAAAATTTAAGTAATATGGTTCATTAATGCTTTTATACAAACTGAACTAAATACGCTTTTATGTAAAACATATGTATGTATGTACACACAAGAAAACAGACTAATAACGAAAAACATCGAATAAATAGTTGAGTGGTAGCGCATTTACTCCTTTTCCCCAGACTATAATAGTCGACGATAACACGCAAAATGGAACATCGACACTTTCACGCAAATAAATAATGTATGAAGTATTAAATAAATATGAATTAAAATTAATATTACGAAGGAAGCATCAAACATCACAGTTTATTGAGGTCGTCAAATCTAATCATTTTGATTATGTTTGCTTGTTTTCAGCCAAAACTGCTTGGCATAGATTAATTGTAACTGAAAAGGCGAGTCAAATTTTTGTTGCACTCTAAACTCTACAAGAGCAAAGATATAATTTTAATTTTTATACAAATTTACTGAAAAATTAATGCATTTCAAGACCCAAATAAAGAAAAACAACTAATAATTTATCGGCGCTTGCCCTTGCCCTTTTTGCCACCACCTCCGCCACCAGCTCCAGTGCTTGGCTGCTGCTGCGGCTGTTGCTGATGAAAAGTTTCGCCACTGGGCTTGTTTTGACGCGTCTTTAGTTGTGGAATTCTGCTGGCAACATGATGCATGATGGACTCACGTGTGGCGAATTCTCCGTTGCACAACGTTCCGTCGGCATTGCGAAGCTGTACGCGTATGCGTCCACGGAACTGAAGTTCCTTTTAATACACAAACATTAAGAATTCATTACTTCAACTATACATACTCCGAACATAGGCCTTTCAATAGCTTACCCTGCTCCTTTCACGGCTGTACTGTTTGTTCTCCACGGCAAAGTGCAAGTTGGACACGGAGAGCACGTCTCGAATCTCTATGTAGGTGGGATTCTCAACACAGTTCTCTTTGGGTAGTCGGCGACCCTCCTGACGCGTCTTTTTGCTGTTAATGTAGGCAGGATATATGCAAATCCAACTGTGTTGTAAATAATAATTTATTATACTTCTGGCCATTTGTTTTGATTGTTTTTTGCTTCGCTTTTACCGTTCCACTTCGCTGTGCTTCATGTTTGGATGCCAATTAGTGCGTATGGGCGGTGAGGCTGCCATTTTAAATATTTATTTTCCTTCAACAACAACAATTTAATAAAATTTCGTTAATAGCTTGCAAAAAATCGTGCTAGAAAATTAGTTTATCCACGAATGCAAGGTGGCTTCCAGGGATGGAAAAATACTTATTGGTCGATGTATCGACTACGATAGATCTGTACAGCTGATAAAGCTTAAGCGATATATATATCGCTATATATATATTATATCGATATATTTGATGGTAGCAGCATAATTATTAAACAGTCTGTGCGTGCATCCCAAGTGTTAAGCTCGTCTGTGCATATATAAGTAGTTTTTTAGAGTTATTTTAAACATTCTAGTCACGCATTGGGTGTTTCGCTGAACTTAAAACAACGTGCTCCAACTGCACATACAAATCAACGACTATAGTACTAAAAGCAGGAGCAATAGCAATAACAAAAGGACGCGACACAATGGACGAACTGAATAGCATATTGCAGAAGACCAAAGATAAATCCACACAAAAGGAACAGGATGAGGTAGTGTGTAGTGCCAGTGTAATTAACAGAAATGACAGCGCTGTCACTCGACCACAACATAATAAGCACTTGACCTTTGACATTTTTGCGCCTTTGTCATTGTGTGGCATTCGGTTTGTGGTTAAATGAAAACACAAACACTAACCAACCTTCTATGCTTACTTCTTTTCTGCTACGGCTTATTTACATGCTCGTCGTCGTCGCCCACGCATGCCTGCCCGCCCATCTATTCATCAACCTATCCATCCGTCGATTTACCCATATATCCACGTTCGACGCCTACACACAGATTCTGTTGCAACCCTTTACGTACATACAACAAATTCCGGGCAAACAATTTCGTTCAGAGCTGGCCTTGGCCTTCAATCACTGGTTGCTCATACCGGCCGAAAAGTTGGCGCAGATTGGGGACATTGTACAAATGCTGCATAATTCCAGTTTACTGTGAGTATACACCAGTTATGGGCAAAATTTAAGCAGTTGCATTTTGGCTATTAATATTTTAATCTTAATGCGACCTTTTGCTGCTTATGCTGTGGTTGTGTATAGGTATTGTGTGTCTGGCCTTTTGTTTACTTTTTGAATCGCTCATGCCATGTTTTATCTCATTTCGCACTTACATATTTGTTATTTTTGTTGCTGAGTGTGTATTGTGGTTTGGTGCGCATTTTGTTTTTTGTTTATGTAGCATTTCGATTTTTCAGACAAAATTTATTTGCTCGTGAAAAAACATTTGTTTTAGAAACGACCTAGTACTGGGAAAGCGGTATGGGGAATGAGTCAACCCCTTATGATCGGTTATCTGCATAATTTTCAAAGCTGTTTTAAACTTGTCCATTCGCCTTCGTTTATCTGACGAAAGGTTGTTAATATTTTATTTTTCAATATCAAATAAGTATTTTGCTTTATCATCATTATTGAACCCAATGACTCACCCAACAGCTAGGCGCCCAACTCGCTCAGTTGGCCTTGGTGGGCTGCCTCAAATTATTTCCAAATTTCCACACACACACAGAAGCGCCCGCAGCTTTTTTGTAATTGTTTATATATACTCGCATTTTCAATAATAAATTTCAATTGAATTTCTCCCTGCCTTTTGATTGCTTCAAATGAAATTGCATAAATTATTCGAATCTCTCAACGTTTTGCATTTCCAAACAGCACACAGATTCGTCGGAGGGGGAGAGTGTCTCCAGACAATATTTAAACTTTAAACTGCCACAATTAAAGTAGCTGCCAGAATCATTTTAATTGATGTAATGTTTACTGTCAATCAAAAGCAATCGTTAAGCCAATACTAACGTATATTTAGGTATTTCTTTTCTACATTTTATTTCCATTGTAATTAGTTGCGTACAGTGCATGGAAGTAATGTAAAGTACCCCTCCGTATTCACCACCAGTCGTTTTGTCCGACAGCCGTCTGCCTTCTATTTAAATGTAAACGCTCTGAAATGTCCTTAAAGCCACTTCTAAAATCCTTCATTTGTTCGCGAGCATTGCCTTGCAATCTCATTGGATGTCTTTTGCCTTTTTGTTTTTATGTCCTTTCTTCATCCATAAAGGATGGACGGGCATTCCACTTTCCTTGGATTGCATGTAACAGTGACAGCAAAAATATTAAATACATCAATAGTCAATGTTAATAGTAATATTTTTTGACAAAATAAATAAAAATATATAAAATATATAATTATAGTTTTATCTGCTATCAGAATAGAAACCTAGCATTCAATTACATTTGTATGTCCCCTGAAAATGAAATTCCAATTAAAATATTCGCAATTTTAAAAACTGGATTCTTCTACAAACTTTAATCAATAGTTATCCTATTCTCCGAAGTAATTTACTTACTTTTTACATTACAACGATAAAAGATAAGAACTGAAAGATAACGTTTAGCAGTCCCATCTTTTATATATCCTGTACTCCATAAAGAAATTGTTTTTTTTTTTACATAAATTTAAAAAGGATAAATTAATAAATAATTTCTTTGGAAATGTGGGAAGTATTCGATAAATTCTGTATCGGGGAATGTCTAGATCGATCTGTGTGTACACGTATGCATACGAGTATACATTATGGCACAAACTTAATATACCCTTTTAAAGGCTATAAAATGTTTGTTTCTGGCTGTGCCAGAATCGAAACAATACAACTATAAAGGGTACACCACAATCGTTGTCCCACAATTTCCGACTTGGTTTTTATTGTTGTCAAATAATGCAAAGTAGCGGCGTCTGTAGGCGGGTTCGAAAACTTTGCATGGCATTTGCGGATAGAACAGGGAGGGATGGTGAGGAAGACGGAGGGGTATATTGCCAAGTGTTGCTGCTGACAGTTGAGAGCTTCATGCCTCCTCCCTAGATGTGTCGCACTTATAATGCATAAGTCGCTTGTGTTTTTCCAAATGCATTTTCATATCGGGGAAAAACTATGCCAGCAGCTTTGAAGGCGGCATAAAGTCAGTTTGACTGTGTGACTCAGTCAGTCAGTCAGTCATTCAGGCAGGCATTCATGCAGTCATTCATGCATTTATGCCCATTGTGATTTAGTCAGCCTGTTGGCGGCTATTGTCACTTTTTGTGCTCGTTACAACTCTTGCAACGCGCCAATGGCTTTGTGCGTCGCCCCAAACACCCAACCCCATCTCAACACCCAGTCGCGGGCGCAAACATTTTTTAATTACGCAAATGTTGTGGCGCTTGTAACTGAAGCTCTCTTTCATAGCTTGGCTGGACTGGGAGCCTTTACAATTGTATCTCATACTCGTGCCACATACTAGTATGTATATGTATGTAGTCCTATGCTCTGGCCAGTTTGCCTTGCCAACGGCTGTGCTATTGAAAGCTAGTATGCAACTTTTACTAAAATGTGTGTTGGCTTTGATATTTATGTTCGTACAATATTCTAAATTGATGTAACAATGAATATACGCACTTATTCTTGAAAGTAAAATGCTTAAATTAGAGCACAGCTGGGTAATTTATTGAGTTGGATGTAATAAAAGGAAGAGGCATGAGAAATGGGACCATATATTACAAATTTTATATATTTTCTATCTCGCTGTTAAGTTAGGTGTTCACTATAAGTTCTTTCTTACATAAAATTCCAAACAATTTTTAAAACAGCAAAGTTTACATACTTGTTTAGAAGTTGCCTAATGGTTGACTAATCAAACGATTCGTTATGGAAGTTGAAGAATTTTTACATAAAACATTTGCATTTTAATTATACTTTTTTTTTGAACTTTTTTTGAGAAATAATCAATTTTCTCAGCCTGCTAGCTATATGTGGCGACATAATTTAAGCCATATAGTATGTGGGGCATCCCCACCAACTCTATCCTGATAGAATAGAATGAAATTCTATTTATGTCGCTTTATTGATTATGATAAACTTAGCATATATGTATGTATGTATATTTTTTCCATTGGCCTTGTCGCTTTACATTTTAGTTTACATTGGAGTTTGATCACTGCAGGGATGCTTGAATAAATAACAATACACAGACAGGCATTAAAAATTCGGTGCACTATATGTGTTCTTACCACTAACCCTATACTTACAGCATTGATGATATTGAAGACAATTCAATACTTCGCAGAGGTGTACCAGTCGCGCATTCCATTTATGGGGTGGCCAGCACCATCAATGCGGCCAATTATGCGCTCTTTTTGGCGCTAGAGAAGGTCCAGCAGTTGGGACATCCAGAGGTTAGGCTCATATTCATTTCATCAGATCTTCATTTCTCATTGACATTTAATCACTTTTTGCATTCAAATAGGGCACCAAAGTTTATACTGAACAGTTGCTGGAACTGCATCGTGGTCAGGGCATGGAGATATACTGGCGCGATAGTTTTACATGTCCCTCCGAATCTGATTATAAATTGATGACTGTACGTAAGACTGGTGGCCTATTTATGATGGCCATACGCCTAATGCAATTGTTTAGTGCCAACAAGGAGGACTACTCGAAGCTAACAGCCATACTGGGTTTATATTTTCAAATACGTGATGATTATTGCAATTTGAGTTTAAAGGAGGTGAGTGAAGTAATCTCTTCAATTATTGTCGATATTAGGCAACAATTATGCACAATAATAATAATATCCTCAACAATTATCCACAAATTCTATCCGCAGTATACAGAGAACAAGAGCTTTGCGGAGGATTTGACGGAAGGAAAGTTTGGCTTTCCAGTCATACACGCGGTGCGCACCCAGAAACAGGACAAACAGGTTTTGCGTAAGTACTTCAAATTAGTTCCGTTGTTGTGAGAACATAGTCTCAATATCCATAGCAAGGCAAACGAAAGTAGAGTAATTTGTCGAAACTCGAAAGCAGACTAATTATGCCCAATCTTAATGAGTAGATATCTTTTTTGCTCGCCTAGCTATGTGATCGCGTCGATCTCAAAAAGTATAACACCTAGAAAAATATGTTGTCCAAGTCATTTGTTTTGTTTGCAATTTTTCACAAAACAAGCAATATTGATTAATTAATGAAGAAATAGTTGATGATTTATTGGCGAGCTTTTACTTAATTTTAAAATGATAAATAAAACAATAAAGAAATGTGAAATTTCGAAACATTGAAAATACGGCATTGAAAATATCTCATGATATTGGGTAACTAATTGAGTACTTAAAATAATTGAAATAGAAATCGCTTTAGCAGTCTTAGGTAAATCCCAATAAATTATGGAAGCACAAAAGGTTAATTACAAATGTTAAAAAGCAAAAGTACTTAAAAAAAATTGAAATGGAAATAGCTTTTGCGAACCTTGACAAATCCTAAAAATAATGGGGTCTCAAATGGTTAACTGAAAACATTATTAGTTTTTACAGCCCATGGCGAAATTGTGGGTCGGGCTCGGCGCTCATTAAATGTGTTTTTGTTTTCCACAGATATATTGCGACAACGCACGCACGATATTGAGGTGAAGAAGTATTGCATTAGTTTGCTGGAAAAGCTGGGCAGTTTTCAGTACACCCGCAAGGTGCTGGAGACACTAGATGCGGAGGCGCGGGCCGAGGTATGAAGCAGGGGCATTTAAAAATAACATGAATGTAATTGATTTTTTGCCTCTTTGGTGGCAGGTGGCACGATTGGGTGGCAATCCGTATATGGATCGATTGCTCAACAAGCTGCTATCGTGGAAGACGAGTGATAGTGCCAGCATCACTCAATCGAATCAAATCAATCATAATAATGTTACGCGCACGCAAAACACTCTGAATTGCAATTAACAACCAAAGAGGCAAAAGAGGGAGTTGTGAATTGCCACAATGGCAACAACAACAGCCACGGCCTTCTCCAGGCTATGGCCGACGCCAGCCTCTTTTGCTGCTAAACAAAAGCGACCGCAACCCCAGCACCAACAACAAGTTAAATTGCAGCAGACAGAACAGCAACAGCATCAGCAACAACAACAAGCAGCCTGTGTAGTCACAACGCACTTGTTCCGATTTTTACAAAAACTGAAAATATTCTAATGTTTTTTAATTTCACCTTCCAATCGAATTGAGATCCATCTAAAATCACGCACTGCATCGCACTCAACTACTGTAATACGATTAAGCTGAAAGAGTTAGTAAACGCAATATGCTAAAGATATTCTAACATTTATTTTTAGAAGAAACCAACAGCAGCCTTAAACAAAATTACTCTCACACAAGCACTCTCAGAAAATGAAATGAAATTGTTAAGCCAAAAGTTGATTGTACTAAATAAGCCAAGCTTAGTATGAGCAAAGCCATGGGGCAGTCCGCCAAGAATTTGTTATACCTACTGTATATGTATATACACATATACTATATATGCTTTAAAAAAATAATTATTATTATATTTGTACACGGTAATGTTTAGTTTAGTTTAACATATTCGGTTCCTTACACACACACACTTTTGAATTCAGCAAGCAAAAAGTTAAGAAGAGCTCTCAAATTTAAGAGCAAGCACTAAAAAAATATATAAATGTGTATTAACAAATTTTACATGTTGTACTTTGTATGCGCATCTAATTGTATTTTCTCTGCGTTTCAAATTTCTAAGTGTAATTTTTGATAAATACAAACAGAAACACAAATTAAATGCCACTCGATGTAGATGTGCACTTCCTTATTGACGTTGTTCCATTTTAAATTTGTTGAAAGTAATTATGCATTAACAAACACAAATCGTTAACGTTAACAAAAACTATAAAATAAACAAAAAAAATATATATACACATATAAATGATGCACTGCACAGCAGGTTTTGGCACATTGCACCACCTAAAGTATATACTTACATATATATACATATATTTATTATAAAATAAATATTTAATTACAAAAGAAAATGAGGTTCTTTATGCATTAAAAATTGTTTAAATTGGGGGTTACTTCCTGAAATTTTCATCGCTGTATAAATTGTCTCCTCATTGCCTCAATACGCCAGCATCTGGATTAATAATTCTAAGATATGGATAAGACCATTAGAAACTTTACTAGATCGGTTCAGTACTGAAATTCCAACCATGCGACTTGTCAATACGTTTTCAATCAACATCGTTTTAAGAAACTCAATAGTTCTTTAACTAGAAGGGAAAAATACTTAAAGCAAGGTATTATTCCTTTAATACTTTCCACACTTTGCGATATTTGTTTAGCTGACTACTTATCCAGTGATCGCATAAGAAAAAAAAACAGTTTGGGAAAAAAATGTATGGAATAAAGAATTGGTAAATAAAATATGAAGTGAGAAATGTTGAAATTCTCACGCTCGTTCTGACCAAGCTATTACTCCTAAAGAGTAATCTATTTGGTTTGCGCCATATTTCGCCGTTTAAAATTAATCTCGCATGCATACAGATTGATGATAAAATTCGTTGGTATTGATTGAAAACTCATAAATTATTATTAATGCTAAAGAATTATGTACATTGTGCCTATTTATAAAGTTAGGTGAGTTTTGCAAAAGACTATGTATCCTGTTCTATAGTATCCATCAGGTCCAGGAATTCCTGCGATGCGCCATCAGCTTCATCATCATCGTTCTATAAATCGACAGGAAATAACTTATTAATCGCAATGCACATTAAATTTTAAAGTGAAAAGTTGGTTACCTCGAAGCCAAAACAATTCTTTTCGTTGATTTTCATATCCGTTGAATTTGTTGGTTCCTGCTTAATGGAAACTTCATCATCGCTGTTAACAACCTCGACCACCATGTATTCTTCCTCGCCCTGTACTTCCACGGTATACTCGGGCGCTTCGGAGTCCTCCTTAATGCGGAACGTTTTTATGCTACTCTGTTTTAAAGGTTTTGCTTTTGTGTTATAGTTTCGAATACTTTGCGATCGCAGTTGGCGGTTAATAATAACGGGCTTGGTCGGTGAGTTTTGCTTTTTGGCTGGCAATGCGGGTTTATCTCCAAGCTCTAATGTGCTCACTAGTTCCCCATTCATATCATCAGTGAATTGTATTAGCTCGTATTGGACGCCCTCAGCATCATCCTCGGCCTCTTCTTCGGCTTTGGTCAGGGCTTTAAAGTGGGCCTCATTGAGAACCGTCACTACAGATCCGTCTGGTTGAAGGCGCATGCTTCGGCCAAGCTTTATTTTCAATTTGTCTTCGTTCGAAAGGGAGGAAGGATCATGAGTTTCCATATGCCGCATCAGGTTTCCCTTGTGTGTGAAAGAACGTTGGCAGGTAGGACAAGAGTGCATCTTTTGGCGTGGCTCTGGGGGTTTGTAGTCCTTGTTGTGTGCCAGATTCATATGCCGCTTCAGTAACTGATGCTGTCGAAAACTTACATTACATTCCTCACACTTAAACGGCTTTTCATCCGTGTGTATAAACATGTGCGATTCCAGATGACGCTGAGAGACGGAGGCGTAGCTGCAGAGCGTACACCGATAGCATTTCTCGCCATCGTGCGTCTTGATGTGCAGCTTGTATTGATAGCGATCAGGCAACTCTTGGCCGCAGCGTTTGCAAGGTATAGGTTTATCCGAGCTGTGCATGTTGTTCATATGCTGGCGGAGATCGGCTTTGCGGCCACAAGTCGTTGGACATAGTGTGCATTGGAAAACGGGTTTGTTCACCACGCTGTGTATGAGTTTGTGCGATTTCAGCGAGTTTGATTGTGTGAATCGAGACTGGCATATGTCGCACTGATACTTTTTCTCACCGGTGTGCGTAACCATGTGACGCTTCAATTTGAACATGTCCTGGGAAGCGTATGTACAGTGAGGGCACTGGTATGGACGTTCACCGGTGTGGCAAGTCATGTGGCGACGCAGTTTAGTCATCTCTACGCTGGCATAGCTGCATTCGCTGCATTTGTGGGGCTTCTCTTTCGTATGCTTGTACCGGGTGTGACGGATGAGTTCGCCACTAGTGGTGAAAGCGCTGTCGCATTGCTTGCACTGGTGAGGTCTTTTTCCCAAATGTGTGTTTATGTGATTTAATAGCCCAACATTAGATTTGAAGCCGCGATCGCATAGGGAACACTTGAAAGGGCGATCATCCTCGTGGGTTTTCATGTGGCGAGTAATTAGACATTTTTTATTGGCGGTATAATTGCACTGCGAGCACGCGAACTTGTGTTTCACTCCAGTTTCCACGGCCACGGGCTTTAGCTTGTATTGTTTGGTCGTGATGCCAAAGTTTGTATCATTCATGTTGACTTCCGTTTCTGCTGTAACATCCTCGAATTCATAAACCTCACCGTTGTCCGCCAAATCTTCAAAAATTACGCTTGGGTCGTCAACTTCTTCCTCGTTTTCCTGTTCCTCCTCCTCCTGCTCCTCCAGCTCCTCTAGCTTGACTTGTGATTTCATCCCACGCGTGGACCTTACGGACGTCGAAGGCTTCACGGGACGCACGCTGACAGCTAAAGTACATGCATTTAAAACGGAAATATGAACTCGTTTTTTACGGTCTGGTAGAAAGTAAGAAAGTAGCTACTAACCTTTGAGTGCATTGACGGCTGAACGACGAGGGGTCTGTCGGAGGGCGATTGGAGTGCTTGTCACGACAGATTTCTTGATGGCCTTTTTCTTAAGTTCCTGCGTTTGTGGTGTAGTTTTAATGTAGCAATTACCCTCGTCGTCCACATAGTAGATATCATCTTCGACTTCATCAATAGCGTCTGTGCTAGCGTCCACCTCTTCTTCTTCCCCCACATCCGCGCCAGATCTACTAGCCAGCAGTATCTTACGCACAACCTTGTCCTCGCCCACATTTTCAGGGGTTATAGTAATCACAGTGCCATCTTCGACCTCTTTGTGCAAGTTATTTATAAACGATTGCAAATCCTCCGCTGCTGGCTTTGATTTAGGCATTTTACTGTAAAAGTTTTTTTTTTTTAGCGCCAACGTTTCAATAGTAAACATAGGCCAGAAGTTCTAGTGGCGACCCGTAGCGGCCGAACAAATAGAGGCTACGACACCAAGCGGCGCTTCTATTGATTTCTCGCAATACATACATACATACATATGTAAATGTATATTAGTATGTACACACTTCTTAATGTGAAAACATTAAAATACTGTATAACATTTTTGCGTCTTACAAGTATTGTATTTACCTTTTTATTCAGTTCAATGCGGGTATCTCAGCTACAACATCCAAGTATCTATTGAATTAAGAATTATTTAGATTTATTTTATCAAGCTATTTCTATAGAGTTGCCCACAATTGCCGTCAGAGGTGAAGTAATGAAGGTTTTTAATAAAAGATGGCGGCTTGATGCCATACGCCTTTTTCACTTACAAACAGTACTAGTGTTGGTTACTGCCAACAGCTAGTGATGGCTACTATAATTGCCTTAATTTGTACTGAAATTCGCTGCTAGAGATTTTCAAAAGATATTTATTTTATTTATTTTTATTTATTTATTTATCGACAAACAGAGCTGTCAATGTGAGAAAAAAATCAAAACAATACATAACTAGTATTAGATAAAACTAAAGAAAAATAAAGCCTATAGAAATTTAATTGTGTATTTATTTATTGCGCTAAAACAATGATCATTTTTGAAAAAACCGCCGTCGTAAAGAGTCGTTTTTTAACATCAACTAGAGGTGTGTGTTCAGCAGCGTTTGTCACGCGTGACAGAAAAACATACGTACAGCGCTAACCACGGCAGCTGCTACATTAATTGTTTTGCACCACCACCGAAACGAGCCGGTTTTCCCGCGCATTTTCTTTTGCTGTCCTTTGATATATTTGCCTGACGAGGGGTATTTATTTTTTGAAGAACCGGCGCAACGTTTAGTAAGACATTGGCTCAACCGAAGGACAATTGCCAGTGAGTATTCTGCAAGAGCGTGCACATAACCACACACGTACCCATAAACGCCCTAGCAGAGTTGGTCATACAAACCTACTTACATATATATATGTACATACGTATATACATAACCTCGTTGCAGTTTTAGACACAGTCGCTAAAATTGTGAAATTGTGCACAAAAAACGTCCGGATTTAGAAAATACTACACAAACACACACACATTTTCCTAAACGATTATGCCGCGTCGCAAAGCACTTGCAAACAACAGCAATGCTGGTGTAGATTTAAATGAAACGGGTCCAACAGCGGCTAAAAGGGGACGCTTGGTATTTCATTTAGAATTGCCAAAGCGTCGCGAGGTGATTGGCAATGTGTTGGTGTGTGGCACCGGCGACACTGGGCAGCTGGGACTTGGCGAGGACATTCTCGAACGCACACGCTTGACTGTCGTCGAGAACATACCGAATCCTGTTGATATCTCTGCTGGTGGCATGCATTGTTTGGTGTTGTCCAAAGGTGGCGATGTCTACTCGTTTGGTTGCAACGATGAGGGTGCTCTTGGACGCGATACCAGCGGAGAAGGCGCCGAGGCGCTGCCGGCGCGGATTAATTTGCCTGGTAAAGCGCTGTGCATATCAGCGGGAGATTCGCACTCGGCTTGCCTGCTGGAGGATGGTCGTGTCTTTGCGTGGGGCTCGTTCCGCGATTCGCATGGCAATATGGGTCTTACCATTGATGGAAACAAGCGAATGCCTATTAATCTGCTTGAGGGCATAACGTGCTGCAGCATAGCCTCTGGCGCTGATCATTTGGTTATCCTCACAACATCAGGCAAAGTTTATACAGTTGGTTGCGCAGAGCAGGGACAGCTGGGACGTATATCAGAGCGTTCGGTATCGGGCGAAGGTGAGTTAAGAATATATTCGATGGAATTTGTGCCAAAGACTAACTGCATACAATTCTAGGGCGTCGAGGCAAGCGTGACTTACTACGGCCCGATCAACTTATGTTGAAACGGGCAAAACCTATAGAAGCCATTTGGGCCACAAACTATTGTACATTTTTGCGGGAATCCCAGACAGAGACAATCTGGGCCGTGGGACTGAACAATTATCGGCAGCTAGTGCATGACCAGGAAGCTGATCGAGTACTGATTCCAATTAAGACCCAGTTGAAGGATGTCAAGCAAATATCTGGTGGCCAACATCACACACTGGTACTGGACAACAGTTTGCGTTGTTTTGCTGTGGGGCGGCCAGAATACGGACGCCTTGGATTGGGCCCTATAAAAGATGTGGTGGGCCAGCTGACGCCAGTTAAAGTACTCGGTGAAAAGAAGATTACATATATAGGCTGTGGCGAAGCCTGCTCGTATGCCATAACGGACACTGGCGAGTTATTTTCCTGGGGCATGGGCTCAAACAATCAGTTGGGTGTTGGCGATGGCGACGATGAACTGGTGCCGGTACTTGTTAGCAGCAAAAATACACAGAACAAGCGCATGCTGCTCGCTGCTGGTGGTGGTCAACACAGCATTTTCCTTGTCGAGGTCGATGTGCAACAGGAGCAGAAAGAAAATGTGCCTGCCCAGAAGACGACGGCCATTAAGGACAAGGGAGCGGCTGCTAAGGAAAAATCATTGCCGGATGCTGAACGAAACGAGCCCAGTACTTCAGGGGATGCTGTTAAACCACCCGCAAAGCGCGGACGTAAGAAGACTAAAGACTAAAAAATCATAGTCATTACTACATTTCATTACAAGGCGTCATGGTCGTCCGGTGTAATGAAAACGTTGACCATCCTTGGTTACTTTTTGTACTTTGCTTATTAATACGCTTACTGAACTAAAAATGTTAATTTTTTGTTTTACAATCTTGTTTTAAATACGAAACCATAGTTAATTTGTATTTAAAATTATTACTCATGTAGATCCGTTTTCGCAGATGCTAAAAGAACAAAAGATTTACTAACAAACTATACCATCATAAGCTACTTTCTAAATTTTGCTATTTGCTCTCACTTTTGATTCAAATTCCAAAGGATTTGTGCGACTTCTGTAAACCCTCTAATTGATTATTTTCCTTGCTTTCTCTATTATATTTTTTACTTTAAATTCGTTGTAAAGGCGAAGCTGTAGTTAATTTGTATTTAGACGCCGTGTGAGCCGCTGGTTAAGAAATGAAACAAAGAAATTTGTTTACAAACTAATCAACTTTTTTTATAATAATATTGTAGTTTACATACACGAATATAAATATGTACGTACATTCGCTATAAATTCTTTGCTAAAGCAGGTTTACAAAGCAATGGAGAGTTAAGATTAGGTTATAACACAAATATGACGACAGAGATGGTTCCTCGGCCTCAAAATGGAGATTTATCCAAACTAGTCTTTGACTGGCAGTAACACAAACGGCAAAATGCTAAATAAACACCACCACCTACTTAACATCATACAAAAAATTGAAAATATTGTTTTTTTTTATTTTTTTTTTTTATCTATGTCTATATATATATTAGCTTTGTATAGTATATATTATGTATCGTGGTTGGTGTTGTTGATTGTGTAGTCTGTAGTGCTCAATTGACCGCATTGTGACTCATACTACATTAAACATGATGGGAACTAAGCTAATTTGTGGGTCAGGGCAACGCTCCGCTGACTAAATAATGGCCATTAAAGCTATTTCGTCGCTGCTCCTCTTGCTGCTGGTGATGTCTTTCGTCAGGCGGCACTATTGATTCTAAGGATGTTGTAATGGGACTGTAAACTGCCAGTGCAGCACTTTCAACATTACTTTCATTTGTTCCTTCGTAGGTGCTGCCCAAGTAGAAGCTCACAAAAAGTATGGAGCATAGTAATGAGAGCGATAGAATGACGCGCGCAAATTTACGCGCAAATGCAATAAGACCAAGCAGATAGCCGCCACCGGCGACACCGCCCACTTCGCTATCCACACCAATGCGGCCAGCGTTCCGTTTGAGTGCCAAATGGAGTTGGGCCAACATGAGGGCCTCCAGGCAATCGGCATCATCCAAATCAATGTAATCAAGTTCGAGGTCAAGAGCACAGACGCAAGGCTGTGTTGCGTCCACGTTGGCATTGGTGTCGCGCTCGTGGTGGCCGTTGCTGTTGAGGTTAGGAGGCTCATGTTGGCTGTTTGTGCTATGCTGGTGGTCAGTGACAGTGTCGCTGGTTGCCGCTACATCGTGTCTGGTCAGATTGCATTGGGATAGTAAATATTATTTACGTTTGGCGCAGCTATGTGCTTGTGTCTTATAGCAGGAGCCATGACTGGCACCGCCTGTCGCATTAGACTGATGATGCTGTTGATATAACAGATAACCTAATCCGGCAGCTAGCAACAATAAAACAAACAGTTGAATATACTGTAAATTCCTCGTAAATGCCATATTTCGCTGCAAAAGCGTTACTTCATCCTGCAAATAAAATATTTTTAATTATTAATCCAAAAGGGTATTAAGAGGCTGATTTACCTCCGCTGGCTTAACCAACGCTTTTTTTGAAGCGGCAGCGCCGCAAGGAGAAACTGGTGCGGCCGCTGCTTGTTTGCAAGACGCGGCGCTGGCGCTTCCCTTGACCTGATCGGGGCTAGCAAAACGACAGACAAGGCGATGCTGCTCCACATCGGGACAATTTTGTGGCTTATTTTTCCACATGTCTGCCACTTCGGAAGCACCACAATCTTTACTTACAGCCGGCATTCCCATCACCAGAAATTTGTCCTTGGCATCTTCGGACAATGAGTGCTCGGACTTCAGCCAAATGTTCACCTCAGTTGACTCATTGGGTCCCAGGACACCGCAGCGTGGACGCACGCGAAACTTCTCTGGCGATGTTGTTTGTATCTGCATAAGGAAAAAACCAAAATTGTTTATCTTTGGATTTGAATTTACGAGTGGAAGAGTTGTTTACCCATCAGGGATAATACCTTGTAAGTCACCGGCGTTTGTCCGACGCATTTTATGTTTAGGGTAGCCTCAGCGCTTTGCGAGTCGAAGTTCACATAATCACACGGTTCCAATGCCAGCATATCTATAGTAGATACAAAATATACAATATGTTTGTTTATTTTTTTACAATTTAGTATTTATATATATAGATATATAAAATTTGGTTCGAACAAAAGAAATGACTAAACTAAGTGTTAAATTAAGTTTTTATGACGTAAAAATCTATGCAGGATGTTAAATCTCTATCAAAAATGACATCAATTGTAAACACATTACCAAACTTGAAACACAATTATTTAAGAAAAAGTAATTAAATTATTAGCTGTTATAAGTTTTGTTCGTTCAATTTCGGTTCATAAGCGCCTCAATTAAATGAATATTGAATATAAGATTTATGTTGATGATTTTTGTTTTTTGGAAGTGTGCTTGAGCATTAATTTAGATTACAAACATACTCTCTCCGGGCGTGTGCAGTTCCGCATAGTCAGTAAGATCCGGCATCACCGTCGGAACGCTATTCGCAAAGTGTACCTGCAAAGTGTTTATTGAAATTTTTTGTAGTAATCGTGTAAAAAGGATGTATGTTTGTATGTTTTGGTATGTGATCGCAGTAATTTGACACACCATCATTACACGGCAGCGGTCGCAATGCAAGTGAGAGTAGATTGAATATGCTACAAATAGAAGGACGACCCCTATCCGCCCACTTAATAGCACTTCATTCCGAGCTTTTATGCCAAACGTGCCGATGGCTGGCTATTTTTTGCAGGCACACACATTTTAGCACCCTTGAGCTCACATTAGTGCATTTTACTTGATGTGATTCGCTTTACGCTAATAAAGAGATGATTCGCCATGCTTATGTATTGCAGTTAGAGTGACATATTTATATAGACATGCATACATACTTATTTGTATGTATGTATATATTAAGTGAAAAACCGCAAATTGTCTTTTAGCCGGAAAAAATAGTGTCTATCGAGTGTTTTATTATTACTATTTATAATGTTGAAGCGTGTTTGTTTTTATAATTCGCAACTTGAAACGCACCTTAATGATGTCTGCCAGCTCGTATGGCAGCGTTAATTTCAAATTACACACTTTTGATATAAAGAACTATAACTGAAGTCGTGCAGGAAACCAATAATAATGCGGCTTAGAACTGAACTACACTTATCGGTTGTTGCCTTGTATCGATAGCTCGGAACAAATCATAATCGTTTTTTACGTTCCAGAGCAGCTAGCAATTGAAGGGCAACGAACAGAAAAGTTCGTCCAATAAGAAAATTAAAATGCAATTGTGTTTGGGTGTTTGCGGATGGTATATGGAAATGCGGGTGAGCTCAGGCCCTAATTTCAAAATAAAAACTCAACGTTTATGTTTAATAGACGCATTTTTGCTTTGAAGCAGGAACACAGCAACCAAAAGGCAAGGCCATTGTGTAGTTTGAATATCAATTGGCACAATGTGAAGCTAATATACTAGTTTCATTCAGCAACAGCGGATATTGTTATACATTGTTTAACATCAAATCACACACAGCACACATGATCGCAGTAACGCACAAATACACAAAGACGCAAACGCATATTAGAATATACAAACCCTGGGCATCTTGCTTTGTTTGTCAAATTCTTTATATTTCAATTGATCAAACACAGCTTTCGCTTGATAAATAGTTTCTATCACTTTGTTTTATGTTCTAAATAATAGCACAACGCGGGGGCCAGACAAAATGCACAATTATTCTTAGAATTTATATTTTATTATAACAATGATTTTCTTTAGAAAATACATTAATAAAATTCAACGGCCGTCACTGATGACGACGCCGCCGCGGCAAACGTGGAAACAGAACTGATGGTAGACCGAAAGCGAACACAAAAGCAAATTAAAAAATAAAAGAAGAAAAAGCTTTAGAGCATTAGCTTGCGTGCCAATAAGCAACAAGGCACAGCTGTTTCGCGATCATTGCTACTTCGTATGTACATACATATGTTTACATCGGAAAGTGGCTGTTTGTGAATTTAATTTAAACATTTTTTGAGGGGATAACATATGTATGCTCATACGCCCAAAGGCAAGGAAACAAAAATAGTGAACATGGGTTGAAACAATTGGCGTATGACATATGTATGTATGTACATATGTATGCACACAGGGCGTGTGAGTAATTTATTGTCAACAATCATACATACATACATACATATGTAAGTAAGTATAAATGTGTGTATATTTATGTGCCCGATTCGGGCGTAATTATGACGCCGCATTCCATATTATTTATAAGCATGTGTGTTCTACTTTTTATGGGTCAACGCCGTGACTGACCATACTATAAACCAAAAGTTTAGATATGTATCAAAGAATGACACACACAAACATATTCTATAAATATAATTTCGGGCCACTTTGGTGGGTGTACGTGGGCCAGTGGCATTATAAATTTATGTGTTATTTACAACAAACTTGGCAGGACACACGCAAAGGAGCACTCCCTAAATCAATACACGCCAAGTAAATCAATTAGTATGTGCAAAAGTTTGTTGCGTGCCTCGTGCCTACTAAAAGCAATTAACGGTCAAGCTTTCCGACTTACGGGTGCGGGATAGGTCAGAACAAACGAATACAAAACGCAACAAATCCAATACAATTTCTTCGATGGCACGCTAAAGTTAAATTTGTATATCCTTTAAAAAATTACAATTAGAAAAAGTGTTCGATAATAGATTAATCTGAATCAATTTTTAATAGGACGAATAAAAGATTATGTATTGCAAAACTAGGACGCCACAACAAATTTAATTTCATTAAAATATTAATTTGTGTGCTCCTATTTGTTGAAGTCTGTTTGGTAACACTGCAAAATTGTTGTGTGGAAGAGGTATTTCAAAAGATTGATCATAAGTCTAAATAAATTTCAATACTTGTTATACCAATATTGCTTTTGCTGAGTAAACTATTTTGCAATATCATTAATTAGTGATACAAGTATGAAGTTCTTCAGACTGCACATAACATTTATTTATAAAAACTATCATTTCTATCGGTGTCTGTGGTTTTAATGGTTTTAATGATGCAAAATTCCTAATATCTAAATTGTATTTAAAAATTTGTAGAAACCAAAAAGCATTTCTATTTAAAAACAATCGCTTTTTGACAATATTGCACAATAGCCAATTAGAATCCTCTACGGTAAGGAACACTTTCGAAATTCTCCTTCAGTTGATGTAAGGTGTGTAAAAACACACCTATATTGCGATTGACTGGGAGAGATGAGCCGACTCACCTTTTTGTCGCCGTTAAGGGCAGGCTCTTCATCGCCGGCATTGGCCGCCTGTACACCGTTCGTTGGGGTTTTAAGAGAGACGCTCTTTGGCTCCGGCACAAAGCTATATTCGTAGGTGTCATTGCCACCCCAGTTAGTCAGACAGTTGTCCTTATGCACGTACTGTGTTACATCTTTTTTCGATATCATTTTCAATATCTCAACAGCCTTGGGCGGTAGCAAAGTTTTGACGATTTTAAAGGCAGCTATAAGCAAGGAAATTCTGTATCTGAGTTTAGATCCCGAGCGGAAGAAGGCTTACCATTTAAAACCCAGGCCAGCTCATATACAAGTATATAATTTAGAGTGTTCGGATAGTATAATTTAAATGTCTCAATAATTCGTTTGACAAAATCCAAATCCATTGTCGCTAGACCCGTACCCGCCATGTCGAAGAATATGCTCAGTTGGATCAAATGCTGTTCGCGTTGTGTGCGTTCCACCCAGTATACGACAAGGCGAATGAGCTCATCCAAATTCTTAGACTTGTTGTGCAACTTGACTCTGAATATTAACAATGGCTTGCCGTCAATATCGTGGTTGTGCACAAAAACGGACCCCTCATCCAAGTACTCGCTGTTTAGGTTGGTCTCATTAAGTTCATTCGCGCCATACTCCTGACGCCAAATGCATGTGTCCCAGAGCTTGGTCAAGGCGGTTTCCATTTCCAGATCGTACATTTCGAGAAATCTTTGCAACCAGAGATTGTCGTTGCGTATGCGATCCATGTCGACGGGATGGAAGGGTGCTAAAGGATGGAAATGTGAGGTATTTTTAAAAATAAATAAATATCACATCTTTGTTTGTCAAGTGGGTCGATAAACATTTTTTAAATAGTTGGCGTCATATTGGCAGATCTTATCATGTAAACAAACTCAGCTTGTATATATGTATGTACATATGTATGTATACGTATACTTATTTATTTTTATTTTATTACATCATCCATTTGGCCACCTATGCCCCTATTCCCAGTCAAATGTGGTGAGAAACGTTATAGACCTAACAAACTAAAAAAAGAGCTATTCTCAATTTTGACTTAACTTATATATTTTATAGGTTATTTATATTTATTTAATTCTAGGAGTGAGTAGGATTACTAGGTGATAAGAAAACAAAGCCTATTTGACTCATTCATTTTTAGGTATATGAACAAACCTTTGTGAAAGAATAGTTTTTAGTATTTACACTATTTGATTATAATCGTTTAGGTAAGCTTCTAAGCCTATTGCTAAATTATTAAACAGCCCTCCGCTAAATTTAGAAAGTGTCGTACATATGTACTTGTTTATAGGCACGTGTTTTCCGCCCTGTTATATTTATGATCTTAACACTTTAACCTTTATACCTTAAGCGGTAGCTCGAACTTCAAGTGTTGGCTTAGCCAATTAGAATGTTATGCCAACAATTCCCCACCTGAAGCTTAACAAGTTTCAATATCTTTTTTGCAGCATGTCGCAGCAAATGCCAGACTACTATTTGTATAGGTTGTTAAAAAAAATATATTAATGGGAAAGTGCAGTATTTTATTTAAAATTATTATCGACTACTTGCTATAAGTATAGTATGTATACTTTTCACGAATATATGTAGTATATATGTACTCGTTTATGTAGATACTAATAATGTTAGCCGAGCATCGTTAGAAATTGCACCTGAGCTCAGCTGTAATAAGAACTTTGTACTTGGCTTTACCTGCAGGCGGTGTTTGGTCGTACTTCTCATTGAACTTTTGACGCAGCTCCTCGATTTGCCCCACCGTGGGTACTTTAACTTTAATGCCCATATCGGCAGATGGACTCTGCACGCCTGATAACGGTAATGCTTGAGAGTGCACTAATCGTAAATTTGTTGATAACAGGTGCTACGGGGATTTGGGTGGGCTTATCGCTTCAAAGAATCGATATAATCCGCACACAAATTAAGGTAAACAACTAGCGTTGGTCTGCGCCGATAAGAATTGCTTTCCTGCCGCGGCACGACTGTGCGACTCAACACAACAAGTGCGTTCCACGAGCGACGCGGGCGAACTGCCGGCTTTGACGAGCCCCATAACGGTTAATGCCTCAACGGGCCTGCGATCGGCATCGACGATTCGTTTGGCAGTCGGTTGGCGTGCGCTGCGAATGTAGAGCACCTCTACCTTTACTTTTACACGACGGCACAATGTAACCCCCGCATGTCCCACCACCAGTAGGGCGTCCCAAAACGGACTGTCGTCGCTGCAATAGAGCGCGATCGTAAGACTATGCCAGCTGCATTTCAATGAATCGCATACCCTCTGATCAGCGTTGTTACTTGTAATTCTTCATCGTAGGAAACAGGTTGGAAAAAGCTGCTAAAAAGCTATTTTTTTTAATTTATAAATTAAGTTTTGGCTATAAATAAAGAAACGTAATTTTGACAAAGAAACTTTTTATTATTATTTGGTGCCAACACGGTAATGTTTTTCTCTCTCTTGGGGGAAATAAAATTGATTGCCATATTACATAATTAAAAGGAAATATGAAAATGTAAATATTTGTAGCTATTTATCCTAGGGTCTTTTTGGTATTGCTTTGTGTAAAACTCATCTGACCTTCCCACAAGCACTTCAGAGTTGAAGAGAAAATAGCTGCATTGGCGACATCCAATAAGCACTTCAGAGTTGGCGGAAAAATAGCTTAATTGGCAACACTGCCTCCGATTGAAAGAGAGAGTGCGTGAGAATGCAAATGTGAGAATAATACTTAGTTACGAAGCTCAATGCAAAGCTTTGCAGTACAACTTGGCTTTGAATTACAAATTTACAACAAATACAAAAGTGTTACTACCAGGTTGTGACAATCAGGCAAATTTGTATTCATAGTCATCATTGCCTCCCCACAGCTTCAGGCAATTATCCTTATCCACATAGAGCGTAATATCCTTCTTGGAGGTTACTTTTAGTATTTCCAAAGCATCGGCAGGCAAAAAAGTCTTCACAATCTTAAAGGCAGCTGCAGTAAAATATTGGTAATAAATTATAAAATCATTAATTGTAACAGTCTACGTACCATTTAGCAAAAATGGCAGATCATGTACTAGAATGTAGTTGGGCGCACTGGGATACTTTGTTTCAAAGAGTTCAATTATTCGTTTAATGAAGTCCAAGTCCACGTTGCTCAAGCCTGTGCCGCTCATGTCCATAAATATGGTGACTTTCTCTAGATAATTCTCACGATGAATCCGCTCAATCCAATAGACAATGATACGCATTAATTCATCGCTATTCTGGCTTTTCGAATGCTTTTTCATACTGAGTATAAGCAACGGCTTGCCATCCTTATCCTTGTTACGCACAAAGATCTGGCCATCGTGCAAATATTCCGCATTCACATTGCTCTCGTCGATCTCATTGACCCCAAAACTTTTGCGCCAAGCGCAATTCTCCCATAGACGTTGCAGCGTTTTTTCAACATCGAGATCATAGACTTGAAGAAGCTGCGATAACCAGATATCGTTGTCTTTTATCCGCGCAATGTCTTTATCATGGAATGCATCTGGATAGTGGTAATAAGTAATGGTTAAGAAAAACGTTTCCAGTACTTCAGTCTGTTCCTGTTTCCAAACTTGTCAGAATTGAAAATTGCTAAATGTACTTTTTTGCCGCAAAACGATAGCGTTCGGCATGAAGCTAATTATGAAATCATATTCCAATAGCACTTTTTTACAGTAAATAAATAACTCGTATATTTGAGAATTGTAGATAAACCAATTTCTATTCGGAAACAGCTACGATTGTGTTTACGATTGTTACTCACCCTCTGGCGGTTCGAATTCCATTTTCTCTAGGAAACGCTTCCGTACCTCGGTGATCTGTTCGGGTGTGGGTTTTTTATCTTTCGGCATGTTGCAGTATTTTATAGTTACAAAACAAAAAAAAAACAAAAAATCACAGTCGACGGCAAGTTAAATAGATAATACGTATACAATGTATTATCGCTGTTGTGTGGTTCTTCCGCCCGATTGCTTATCACTTTGCGTCAAGATAAAGCAGAAGGTGTAGTATATAGTACATACGCGTACCCGTATACTATAAATATCACTTCGATTCTGTGAGACTGCACAGAAGTCGTTGATCGCTGTTTAAAGACTTCTTTCCGCCGTGCAGTCTAATCAACAACTGACGGCAAGCAGCTGTTGGGGTTGATTGCGATTGTGCCTCGCTCCAAATGATCGCTCGTTCTACCCGATCTTTGTTTGTATTATGTGTACATATGCACATACATACATATATAGCAATGCAGATATAGATATGTGTTATGTTGTTCGCCCTGGCCGCGGCTGCTTCTGCTCTCAGATCAATTTGAAAAACACATTACGGGAGCGCAGTGATGATGGAAACAACAAAAGTGTAAGTCAGTCAATTGCGATCTTCAAAAGCGGGAATTACAAATATATGTATTTAATAATACGACCTCTCTGTGTATAGTTACCGGTTGCGACTGCGATCATACTCTTGTATATATGTGAAGTTGGTTTTTACTAAACTAAAAGTGTGTAATAGTGTGTGAATTGTATCTAGAACAGACTACTAAGTTATTTATTTTCGATTTTCCAGATTTAGTCAGTGGATAAAAAAAAAGTCAGACTTAAATGTGGAAAAATGTATTGGTACATACATTTATTGGTAGTAGAAACGACGAAAAATGTATAGGATATGGGTTCTACGTTTTTATTTGTGCCGACAATTGGTACTTGAGGTTTTAATGCTAAAATCACGGTGTAATTTTTTATCATAAAATTCTTAGTGTTGCAAAATGTTTAAAATATAGTTCAATTATTGACAAAATTAAATGAACACTAGATTTGGGTAGCACTATAAAAGCATATCGTTTTAGACATCATACATAGATTCTATATATACTTTAATGTAGATTTAAATCAGTGAGAACTGAAAGTAAACAAATCAGTGCTTCACTTGTCGCAGTGTTGACAAATTTTACGAAGCACCGTTATATATATTTAGTCAGTGACACAGCAACCATTGACAATATGTTCACACTAGAAGTTGAAAGCCTGAGCGTTATATCTTATTTAAGTTTTGGGCCTCGTGCGGAGCACATGTAATTTGTTAGTCCTACTTTTATTATTTATACATTTTTGTTAACACAAAATATGCGCTTTAATATTTTTATTTTACTTATTTCATCACAATGGGTTTTATTCGCGATGTGCAGCAAACCTTGGTTTTATTTCTATATTTTTTTATCTTCCTTTTTCATCAGTTTGATTTAATTTATTAGATACAAAAGTTAATCTTTTAATTTCAATATTTTACAATTATTTTATTAACATACTAGCAGGTCTTGTCCGTCTTTGATGGGATCAGTACTTTTCTTTCCAATAATAAGTTTATTTAAAATATGTTATTTCTCTTTTGACACTCTCTAAAGTTTCTAAAGGAACTGCCAATGGCAAATTACTTTGGTACGTTCCGAAAACTATACACGTACTATTTACATACATATGTATATTGTATGCATGTAAGTAAATTTCTGAAAAATTAAATAATAATATTTTGAAATGCAATTGTGAAAATTCTGATAAATTAAATTAAAATATTGTGGCGCCCTCTGCGATTCTCATACCAAGTACCTAAGCGCTGACAAATCGAAAATTCCATTGTGAATTTTCAGTTTTCTGAAATAATAAATAATAAATTTGTGGATTTAAATTGGGACTCTACACAAATCAAAAAGTGAGCCCAATAAGTACTATGTTGTTTATAATTTCAATTTTTCTTCGTTTTCAGCTAATGGCTAAACATGTGAAAATCGAAACCATCAGTAGAATGCTTTTCATTCGGTAGGGCGAACACCAACTTACATACGCTGTAAGTATCTCTAAATCACATACCTACTTGTGTGTTGGTCTCACAACAACAACTTGTTGCTTGTTATTCAATCAAAAATCACAAAGAGTAAAATAAAATTGCTTCACTTAAATAGGTATCGGCTAGTAAAATAATTTTTTATAATTTTTTTTTTATATTATAACAACAGTGACGTATTTATTTGAATGGCCTTGCATTCATCATATAATTACTGTTTTATTATTTTGCCTCAGCCACAAAGTTAAAACGATACGTACATATGTATAAGCCGCTAAAATAGGCATGTTGTGGCTTATGTGGAAAAATAAGTAATTTAATTCTTATATTTTTCTAACGCTACACCCACCAAATGATTGCGGTTTATTAACACAACTGGCCAACAGACTTTACTAGACAGTTGCGCGCCGATTTGTTTTCATTGTTGACATTGAAAATCGAGAGCTGCGAGAAACTTGGCAACATAATATGGCAAGGGCGGTGGTGCCGGAGGACGATTATGGTGGCGTCTATAGAAAGCTTTGTGGCCGGTGTTGGGGCCAACGTGAAAACTTTTGGTTGGCCAGCCAGTTGGCTTGTTTACGTGAAAACGTGCGCGTGGATCGCTATTTTGCTGCTCCTTTGTCCAATGTCGAGCAGCTGAGCTCTGCACCAATAGCTTTAAAATGAAGTTTGCGGAACATTTAACGGCACACATAACGCCCGAGTGGCGTAAACAGTACATTAATTATGAGGTAAATGCTCGATTGCCTCAGATTTGTGCAGAAGGAAGTTGAGAAAATATCTATCGTATAGATACAGAAGTGTGTGCTTTTTTCGCTGCGAGCTGTCAATGTGAGCGGTGACGTCACGTGGAAAACTCTTGACCAGCTGTCAAAAGACGACAAAAGCTTGCGCTCGGCACCAAAGTTGGCGCATGCGCCTTCAAGCATTTAAGCGGCGTTTGTTTTGCTCGCCTGCAACGTAAACAGATGCGAAACAGCCATAAAGAACGGAAGAGACTCGCACAGTGAGTGCGAGAAGTAAACGTAGCACATTGCCTTGCCTAGAAAGCAAATGTTTTCAGCCACTCCCATAACAGTATGAGTTTTCAGAATAATTTCATAAATACTTATCATATCTGATAATATGATATAGTAACTTTGTAAATCAAGCTTTGTGAGTTGAGCTCCTTTTTAATAATAGAAATATCTAAAATATATCCACAACCAACAGTACACAGAAAATCCAATTTTATAATATTATCTCAAAATATCTCCAATCAGTGAAAATATCCAAATTAAATGCATCATTTGTGTCCGCTAGGATATTCACTTCAAGTTTTTGTTTCTTCACCATATTGTTATAGGTTGTACTTCAATCACTTCTTAATTAATGTGGAATGATGATGAGCTACTTTCTTTATAATTTAAAAAATATGAACTACTTGTATATTAACAAACCAATTGCAGGAAATGAAAGCAATGCTGTATGCGGCCATCGAGCAGGCACCCTCAGCTGAGCTCGTGGATCGCGAGATGCTCACACGCTATTTTGCCAAATTCGACGAGGAATTCTTTCACTATTGCGACAAGGAGCTAGCCAAGATTAATACTTTCTATTCGGAGAAAATGGCAGAGGCAACACGCAAGTATGGCAATCTGCGGAGTGAGTTAACCGAGGCTATGGAAATGGGACACGTAAAGAAGCAGCCGGCATGGAAGGCACGCACACCCCTGGGGAAGAAGAATGTACCGGCACGCAAGATACAGGATCTCAAGTTGGCATTTAGTGAATTCTATTTAGGTCTGATATTGCTGCAGAACTACCAGAATCTGAATTTTACCGGCTTTAGGAAAATACTTAAGAAGCATGATAAGCTGCTGAGCGTAGATTATGGTGCCCGCTGGCGAACCGATCATGTGGAGGCAGCACATTTCTATACCAACAAGGACATCGATCGGTTGATACAGGAAACAGAGCAGGCCGTCACGCAGGATATTGAGGGTGGCGATAGGCAGCGTGCAATGAAACGCTTGCGCGTGCCCCCCCTGGGTGAGCAACAGAGTCCCTGGACAACCTTCAAGGTGGGCCTCTTCTCGGGTGCTTTTGTTGTGCTCTTCATAACAGTTGTGATTTCGGCCATGTTTTATGGCTTTGGAGAGAATTGGCGCGTGGGCTTGCGTATGTTTCGAGCACCGTTTCTTATTACCGAGTGCCTCTTTCTGTGGGGCGTCAACGTCTATGGCTGGCGTTCGTCGGGTGTGAATCATGTGCTTATCTTCGAGCTGGATCCCCGAAACCATCTGTCTGAACAGAATATTATGGAAATCGCGTCAGTATTTGGCGTTATCTGGGCGTGCTGTGTACTTTCCTATATTTTCTGCGATCCATTGGGTATTCCTCAATATGCCGCACCTTTGTTTCTCTACACACTGATGGCAGCTTTTTTGCTTAATCCAACGCGCACATTTCATCACGAGGCTCGCTATTGGGCTATTCGAGTTGTAAGCCGTGTGGTCTGTGCCCCATTCTGCTTTGTTAACTTTGCCGATTTCTGGCTGGCGGATCAGCTGAATAGCATTGTACCTGCATTTCTGGATATACCGTTTCTCATATGCTTTTTTGGACGCAATCCCACATGGCATAAAGCCGGAACAGGTAAGCTTATGTTTGAAAATTCTGAGCTTTCTATTTTGGTACTTCTAGTATATTGCTTAACAATTTGTGAAAGACTATTAAACAATGGAAAAAGTGCCGATGGTGAAATAAGCTTAATTAAGAGATATACGAGTATCAACACATGACACTTGTATGTGATATAAATATATGGGAGGAGCAACTTGGGCTTTTGTTCTCTGGAGTTTTTGTGGTTATCTTCTTTATATATAGTAACATTTTCTATAGATTGAGAGAGTAGCTGACTTATTGAGCACTTAGGCGATCTTTTTCAATTAAGACTGAATACCTAGCTTAAGTTGTATTTGTAAGTTTAATTTAAGTTATAAATATAACAGTTAACTAAAAAAAAATTTGCACTTTGATTTTAACAATAATATTAATTGATTTAAGCTTATTAGTTAGTTAATTAATTTATTTTAATTAGCTTAATTCCGACAAGCAAACAACAAGTCGAAAACTTTTGCATAACATGAACAATTATCCTCAGATAGTCTAAGAGTATTGAGCTCAGAGTGCTCAGCTGTATTTTTCAATTAGGCTCTTGATTAAATATTTTCCCTCTGCTGCATTTCATTATGTTTTCCAGCTGGGAACCATTGCGTGCGTTATGTGTCCCTTTTGCATCCCATTGTAGCCATATTGCCCGCATATTTTCGATTTGCGCAGTGTATACGACGATATCGGGACACAAAGGAGGCCTTTCCGCATTTGGTGAACGCGGCAAAGTATGCAACATCTTTTTTCGTGGTCATATTTGCTCATAAATATCACACGACAACGGGTGAGTGCAATACATACTTGGTTTCAAACTCTATTAACCCCCATTTGTGATACGTGTTGCATGCCACGGTCGCGGTCTTATTCATTAAAGCGCTGAGCATACACAGATGAGCTTTCGCAGCAGAGAGCTCGTTATGGTCCTTGTTTATGCTCCCACTTGCCAATTAGCCAGTGTGTTCATAGTGACAAATTTATGTTAATTTTATTTCGCATAATAAAATAAAGAATGAAACTAAGAATACGTGGCCACGTGTTCATCAGTGCAATTTATTTGACTGCCCACAATCCGAATGCTTGCAGAGACCTACCCGCTGTCGAAGGAGAATCCGTGGTTCTATCTCTGGATAACAGCGGCCATATTCTCCTCCTGCTATGCCTACACATGGGACATTAAGATGGACTGGGGTCTGTTCGATGCCAAGGCGGGCGACAATCGATTTTTGCGTGAGGAAATCGTTTACTCTTCAACGGTGCGTATCTTGTTGTTGTGCGGACGATATGGGTTGTCCGCTGTCCTGCCGGACGTCTGCTAATGGAAGCTATAAATATTTGTGCAAATAGCACGTAAAACAATCTTTCAAAGCTCTTCCCCTTCACCTTTCACTTGTCTCTCCTCTGCAGTGGTTCTACTACTTTGGCATCATTGAGGACTTGATATTGCGCTTTAGCTGGACGCTGTCCATGAGTCTCATCGAGGCCGGCTATATTGAAGGTGACGTCATGATGACCATACTCAGCCCACTGGAGGTGTTTCGTCGCTTCATTTGGAACTACTTTCGGCTTGAGAACGAACATTTAAACAATGTGGGCAAATTTCGTGCCGTCCGTGATATATCGGTGGCGCCCATGGACTGTTCAGATCAGGTAGTGAGCAGCTAAACACAAAACGACTTAATAAAGCCACTTCCCATTAATGTCAATGCCAATCTATCTCTATCTTAATTGCCCACAGACGACAATTTTGCGCATGATGGACGAACCGGATGGCGTGCTGAATCGTAGACGCGGCAAAACTGCGGGGAACACTGGCAAGGCCAGCTCATCAAAGAAGAGCAAACAGGGACAGCAGCGCCTGCTTCTTTTGCAGGGCGAATCTGTGGAGGACCTCTGTGCGTAGCTTCAAGCCCGCGGGCTATGTACGCAAGCGAGATTAAACATTGCGCCAACTCATAAACGCTGGAACGCCAAAGGCGACCAATTATTGACGCCATTGCTTCAGAGATCCGAGCGATTTGCATTTGATTAGACGCCCACAAATTTGTTTCTCAATGTGCACAAATATTAAATGTACCTATATATTAATGTAAACTGATTACAAGTTGTTTATTTTGATGCAACATTTGTATTTAGATGCGTCTTTATGTGGCTTTCACACACTTTGAGAAAAACTAAACCAGTAAATAATTGCCGACGACTAGAAATGTATCATGAGACAGGACATTCGCAGTTGAAATGAGACTAGAAATTGTATTGAATATGGCTTGTTTTTGAACTGTGGCTCAAACCCTTTTATAAATTTATGACACTTTTCGCAAATCTGTTTAAGTAATTCGAATTACTTTCATAATTGTGGCGCCTTACAGGTAATGTGAAAAATGTATCTGAGCTAAGATAAACCTCTTTTTAAAGAATATTAACAGAAGCTGACAACCATATTTCTGCCAATTTTGACATGAACTTTTTATACTCTGTACATAAAATGTACAAGAGTATATTAGGTTTGCGGGAGCTGAAAAATGTAACAGGCAGAAGGAGGCGTGACAAGACGAGTCGATCTAGCCCGGTCTGTCCGTCTGTCAGTCTGTCCGTCTGTGCGTCCGTATGAACACCTGGATCTCAGAGACTATAAGAGATAGAGACACCAAATTTTGCACAAAGATGCCTTATGTATGTACGCTATACGAGTTTGTTTTATTTTTTTGATTTTTCCCCCACGTCCCCCCTATGGGGGTTTTCCCGAATTTCCATTCGTATAATCGCCTATATCTCGGAGACTATAAGACCTAGGAACACCAAATTTTAGTCCCAGATGCCTTATGTGAATACGCAGAGAATGTATATTTTGGAATTTCCCTTCCTCCCCCCTCTCCCCCGCAAATCGTAACTCCCGTAATTCTTGGAATTTCGATCTAAATTTTGGAAATACCCCTAGTTGGTTATTATGTGTCCGTATGCCAAGTTTTACTATGATAGACCGATTTAACAAGAAGTTATAGCCATAAATATATTTGCTACTGCAGCGCTGCACAAGCGCTGCTTAAGCGCTGCCCGCGGCTGTTGTTGATGCTGGTGCTTTGGTTGACTGCACACATGTTTACACAGACACGAATATACGAGCATAAACATACATACACTCACATAGAGGCAATTGTTTTGTATATGTGCAATTATACACTCTTTACGTCAGTTCGAGTACCAAAAGAGGTAAAATCGATCAAATTTATTTTTTTAATTTTCTTAATTTTTTTTATTTTCTATAATTATTTTAAACATATGTACAGAGTATTTCAAAGTCGGGACACCCGACTTTAGCTTTTTTACTTGTTTTTTAGGTGTTTTTGTCATAGTTTTTTTTAGGCAGAGGTAGTCGAAAGAATTTACAACACGAACATTGTTGTACATACTCGTGCATAATCCACTAAAGAAGGTTTTTTCTTGTTGCTGAAAGTTGCAAAAGGAATTGTTCTAGTGACATACTAGTTTGATGCATGCAGAGGCAACTTAAAGGAGAATTTAATAGGATTACTGTACATATATTATATACCACAAAAATTGAAGACTTTCAGCTTTCCCAAGTATATATGACATTTGGTTTGCGTCAGAAACAAAAAACCACAAAACTTTAACTGATTTCATGCTTTTTAATTCAGAAATGAACAAAAAATGCATGTCTACTTAATATAAATTATGTGCGTTCAAATTTGTGATTTTTTCAAGAGTATAGAGAGTTTTTTTGGTTTTAATTGAAATAACATTGTATTTATATTGTGAACTTAACTGAACTCTTAGTAGTGTAGCTATGTGTTAGTCCAGACATAATATAATTCTCAATAAATACATATGTTAAGTCATTTTTTTGGTCTATCATCTTAACAAAAAAGCGAGCTGAGCTGTTAATCTTGACAATGGGAGCAACAACAAAAGCCGCAGCATCAATAATGAACATGTCGTGCTGTGCAATGAATGACTTTATTTTGGTTATCATGTTTTGGCTACAATTAGAATGAATTGCTAAAACATACCCATTCATTTCGGCAATTCGTAATCGTGTGTGCGTGTTGCGAGATTAGAAAAATTTGGCAAAGTTACACTAAACTGCAATTTGGTTCCAATTGATGGTTGCGTGTGTAATGTGTTTGTAATGGGAGTGAAAATATTATTATATAAATTCTGTATTTGTGTAACGGGCAGAAAGAGGTGTGGTAATTCCATGTTATCCGCATGAATAGACAAGAGTGGTGCACAATCTGTCCGTCGGTCCGTCTGAGCGTCCGTATGAATATTGATAACGTTCGGCACAGAAGAGCCTTGGACACTAACCTTGATATATGTCTTATAAATATGGAAATTCATTTTATTGCAAACAATAAATAACTTATTTTTTTTGTACAGGGTGCGCCATCTTTTATGTCGGTGTGTAGATATTGAATGGCTTTGTCATTAGTGAACCGATTGACTTGAGTAGACCAGTGTTGAAAACCTCAGTTCAAGAAATTGTACAGAACCAAATTAAATAAAAATATCTCATACTTGAAAATCGGTTGTTTATTTTCAAAGATATTCAATGTTTACATACCGACATAAAAGATGGCGCACCCTGTAAATATACAATAGCCTTCGTACCTTTTTATATTCTGTCTCCGAAAGCTACAAGAGCATATTCGGTTTACGCAAAGTGAAAAATGAAACAGGCAGAAGGAGACGTGGCAGTGCCCACAAAGTATGTATAAATATTCTTGATCAGCATGAAAAGACGAGTCGATCTTGCCCTTGCCCTCCTTTTTTTTTTAATCTATAATTATTTTACCCATAGGTACAGAGCATTTCAAAGTCGGGGCACCCGACTTTAGCTTTTCCGCATGTTGTTGCTGCTTAGTTTGTTTGGCATGAGAAATAATGGAAATTGGTAAATACATTTGTGAAAACGCAATATTACATGCACAATACGAGTAGAATGTACAATTTTCATTAAAAATCGGAAATCAAAATTGTTTTTGCAACTGCATGCACGCATACATATTTTGAAGGATTGCAAGGGTTTACGAAATTAAGTTACGCTTAACCAAATAAAGGTCAGCTTAAATTTATGGAGTAGATTTTTATTATACTTGTATTCCAAAACTGCTTCGCTACAAATACTATATAAGCCTTTCATGAACCACATTGCATATTACAAATTTAACAAGCAATCAACAACCATTTAATATCAAATATTTATGTCAAAAAGTAAAGTGTGAAGCTGATTGTTGCTATCCAGTTACCAAATGGTCCACACGTGTAGACCAAATGGCTTTGCTCTCGAGCAGTTAAATATGTACGTGTGTAAGTTGATATGATATGTGGGATAAAAAGGACTCCTGCAGGCAATTTGACACAGGTACACTGCTTTTGATGCTTTTGATGTATTTATTTATTAAATGCTGTATTTAATTGGTTTAAGCTACAATTTTTAAACACAAATGAAATGATTTACATTGATTTCAGGTCATTTACCGCTGGCTGATTAATTATTTTTCAATACCAGAATTATTAATTTAAACAGCGCTTATTTAAATCGCAGAATGGAACGTGCGAATTATCAGTTCTTGCAAAGCTGGTGCAATATCAGTATAATAAATACATTTCATTAAAACCAACTGCTGCCTGAAAAAAAGGTTCAAATATATGTTCATATAAGTAGCAATGCACTTTAGGCCTTTTTGTGGGTCTTTTGAGGCGTCCCCATTTAATAATATTATATAAATATTAAAGTTGCTTAGTTTAATTCAGCGTTCCCAAGCCATATGAAGTCATGAAATTTATGATTTATGGTGGGTGGCATTTCCAAAAAAATTTATGACTATACATATGAGCTGTGATTATGTTAAAAGTATACATATGTTTCTTTTAGTGTTAAAAAACTTCAAAAAAATGTATAATTTTCTATAAACATTAAGCAGAATGTTTGTTTATCTAATTTATTCTTTTTTTATAGATCTGAATTTGACAAATTAATTTGAAGGTAAGACAGTTTTCCAGTCGTACGTGGTGACATGTTTAATTAGTGGTTCATTGTGTAATATTATTTTACGTTAGTTAGACACAAATTGTCAAACCCACGACAGAGTTTAAGCTGCCGCTTACTCGAAAATATTTGCAACTAAATTATTCTGTCTGGTATACATAATGTATTTAAAGCAAAGAATTGACCAAGTATATACAAATTATGAACGAATTTCATAGAACAAGAACGTAGAGAAACAATTTGTCACAAAGCCAAATTGTATATGTATTTCAATTAATAGCAAAAGTTCTACAAACTTTAATTTTCGCAAGTTTGGCGTAATAATTTCCGATGGAGCGTTTGGAAAGCAAGATGAAAAGTTTGAGAAAGGAATCGCAGTATGGCAGTGGAGGGAGCGATGGCCAGCCATTTTAAGCGCAACTCTGTGAGGAAATTATATATACATATATATGTAAATTTTTGCTAGACTGGCGCTATAGTTGTTGTACTCTATGGAGTATAGTGCATATGCTTGATGTACTTTATAAATTGAAAAATGCGTGTTGCAAAGCTAACCAATACAGTCAAGTTGAAACTTTAAACAATAGCTCTGCAGGTAGCCGCCACTGTTTCAAGATCCAACTCAGTGCCACATACTTGTAAACTGTTCTGCTTTAAGCTGCTTAATATCTGCTTGCTCCTGAAGTGTGTTTTCCATAAAGGTTGCCTGCCAGCACAGATAAGATGGGACTGGTTTTCTGTGTTCTTCAAAGGGGCGATATGGTTGTCATTTAAATATCGCAATACAACACAAGTGGATGTACTCCTTGCATTCATATTCAATGTTGCTTGCCTTTTTTCTTTTTCCCGCCCGGGGTGCTTTGAATCTTTAGAAATGCGTTAAATTTTTGATGTTGTTTTTTATTAGGGTCCCACAGCCTTGTTAAATGGTCTTTAATATTTTCATAAAAATTGTCACAAGATGATGCACGTTGATAGGCAATGAGCCGAGGATGAAGTTCATGTCGAAGGGCTTGGCTGTGATTTTTTTTCTACACGCCTTCGCAGGCACACAAAACATCTCAGAACTCTTTTGTGGCTTAATTAAT